TAATAATAAACTGATGAAAAACTACACATTTTTTTTCTTCCTTTCAGTCCATTCACTGTTATCAATTTAGCATATTCTGGGGTAATGCTGTTCATGATAATATATATATAAAATACTGCCTCAATGTCTTAAACTATTTAACAGACTATTATTATTTTGTTAGATTGACTTATTATGTTCGATCCTAATGTTACAGTTTCTTTTAAACAAAAAAAAGTGTATCCATTCACATCATGTCAGAGATTATTGAAGGCAAAATAGATTGTAGTTAAATGCAAACATGAACAAAATATTATTAAATCATAATTTTGAAACACTTACATGTCTAGATGCGTCTTAGAGAAAAAGCAATTGAATATGCATTTGAAAGATGCCCAAAGCAGGATCTCGTCTGTTACGCTGCAGGCAGGAATGAAGCGGAGAATGGATCCAAATGCAAGCACTTTTAAAGAGTAACTAAACACTAAACCAACTTTTTTTAGTTAATGATCTGTAAGAATGGATCTTTATTAATACCAGTCATTGATTCGAGTAACTTTTTTGACATTTGTTTATAAAGTGTTCTATTTCTACAAAATATGGTGTAAAAACGTCTTAGTGCTGCCCTCTTCAGGTTGAACGGTGGCTACTGCAGTTGAACTTTCCTATTGGATGTTCCGCACTACGTGACGCAGGTTTCAGTTCACCACGCGAGCTACACCCTTGGCAGTATAAAAAACCATCTTGTGTCGTCAAAACCACTGTTGGGAGTCAGGAATTGGAATTGTGAGTATTGAAAACGACCAGGGTAGTGTGTTTTAGCATCTATTTCGTCCCCTCTATCTCCGCAGGGGTCAGCCCACTTTTTCAGCATTTTCAAATATTGCCAGTGGGTGGAGTCAAGCTCTGACCAGGGGTTTAGTTACCCTTTAATAATAACAAAACAAACAGGGAATCCAGGTGAAAACAACAGGAACTCAGAACAGGAACTAATAGCTCGTTTCCACTGAGGGGTACGGTACGGTACAGTACAGTACGGGTCGGGTCGGGTCGGGTACACCATGATCAGGCTTGCGTTTCCACCGCCAACAGTACCCTTACTTGATAGGCGTGGTATGCTGGAAAGAAGCGATCAACGTCATTTTCGCGCGAAGAAGTAGTAAACAATAATGGATGACAGACAGCAGATCTTGTTCTTGCTTCTCGGCATGTTTGTCACAAGATACAAGCGCTGGCATTAGGCGTTTCCAAGAAGCCAACACAAAGTCCGACTCAGGAGAATGATCCCGAGGACGCGAGTCCAGTAATTCTGCTAATGGAACAGCGCGTTCTTGAACGCGGCACTCTGCTCGCTCTGGTTATCTCTGTGTGTTCATTTTAGGCAACAATAAAACAAAATATGTTATAAAACACCACTCTGCTTCTTTTCGATTTCATTTCAATACTTTGTAAACATTCTAAAGCACACAAATGTGGTTCAGGCAACGCATAGCCAATTGATTATCACTGCATGTAGCCTATGTAATGTTAGACTATATTTATAACAAAACTAAATATAAAACAACCCTGCCTCTTTTCGTTTAAATTTAAAAATATTAAACATATTCCAGGCAATATGTAATGTAATGTATTGCATATCGCATTGGTACAAATGTTGCAATAAACAACATTACAGATGATCTTGTAATAAAAGAAAGACAAAACCATCTCTTTTTGTTGAATTTCATTTTTATCAATAATAACCATTATAAAAGTACAAGTAAAAGGTACAAAATACAGTAAAGCTTAAATAACATCAAGAAACAATTCAGTCAGTCAAATATAATTTAGCGCTCAAAGATATGAAACTTCACGTAGCCTTCTGCCAACTATTGGCCAGGGAACGAATTATAGATTCACGAGACCAAAGATCACCTGTTGGGTTTATGCAAGACGAACTATATCTCATGTTTAACCAGTACAGAGACATACGAGTCAGCGGCAAACATCTGAACGACTAGCCGAGGAAAGGCTGTTCCAGGCGTGGGACACGAGCGCGAGCGTCCGGTGATCGATTGGAATGGATCTCAGTCAAATTATCATAAATCTATAAATAAACAACAGATTTGAGCTTTAAAAAACTACTTTCTCGCCTGAAAAACTCTTAAAACTACATTTTGTGACACAATAACAGAAGAATTATATTTCAACTGTATGCTTCTAATGCCCTTGTAGCACACGCGAGTGACGATACTCTGTCCACCAATCACCGTTCTGCAGTGAGTCTAGCTCCACCTTTTAGTACCCTTTCACTGTGCTAGGTACCCCAACGGAAGGGTACCCAAAAAGTGGTACGGTACGGTTTGGCTTTTTGGTACTATTCACAACTTTTGACAGTGGAAACGCAAATAATTGCGTACCGAACTGTACCGTACCGTACCACTCAGTGGAAACGAGCGATTAGAAACAGCAAACATTTAAACAACGACCGACACCCAAAAACTGAAGCACAGAGGTTTAAGCACAGAGGTGGTATGGAGGGCCAGGTCCATGGAGCAGAAGAGGAAGAGGGGACCAGGGTGGATCAGGCTGTGCAGATGACCAGGGTGGAGCAGATTGTGCGGGCGTCCAGTGCGGTGAAGACCCCTCGGGCGGCCACGGCGGTGAAGACCATGGTGGCTCAGGAACAGGAACCTGTTCAGGAACTGGCTCAGGAGCAAGAACAGAAAAAGACATGGACACTGGCTCGGGGACAGACGACACACACACTGGCTCTGGAACAAGCGACACACACTCTGGCTCGGGGACAGACGACACACACTCTGGCTTGGGGACAAACGACACACACTCAGGCTCGAGGACGGACGACACACACTCGGGCTCGAGGACAGATGACACACACTCGGGCTCGGGGACAGACAACACACACACTGGTTCAGGGGCAGACACACATACTCGCTCAGGCTCGGGAACAGACAACACACAAACTGGTTCTGGCTCGGAATCAGACAACACGCACACTGGATCAGGAACAGACAACACACACACTGGTTCAGGCTCGGGAAGAGACAACACACACACTGGTTCAGGGGCAGACACACACACTGGCTCGGCTATCTTGACCATAGACACTGGCTCGGAGTTGGCCATCTTGTCCGTAGACACTGGCTCGGAGGCGTTGACGTGAACAGACTCTGGATCAGCAGAAGTGATTTGAACAGTCTCTGAATCGGCCATCTTGTCCATAGACACTGGCTCGGAGGCGGCCATATTGGAAGTGTTGTGAAGCGTCTCTGGCTCGGCAGAAGTGATGTGGGGCGCAGGCTCGGCAGGGCTGACGGTGAGCGCAGGTTCGGCAGGGTGGACGTGATCCTCAGCTTTGTCCACCAAACCCACCGTAAAAGCTGACCCGCTCAGTTGCAGGGCCAAGTCAATATAAAACTCAAGAGTCCAGCTAGGGTCATGTAATGGCAGAAGGTAGCTGAGTGGCTCAGACAGTCCTACGAGAAAAAATATCATCGAGCATACCTCTTCCATGCAAGTCAGATGAGCATCCTTCAGAAAGTCCATCACATAATCCTCAATTGGTCGATCTCCTTGACGGAGACACATAATTCGGATGTCTGGGCACTGGGTAGGCATGGCTGCTGCTGCTGGATCTAGGTGTGGTCGGTCGTTCTATTACGCTGCAGGCAGGAATGAAGCGGAGAATGTATCCAAATGCAAGCACTTTTAATAATAACAAAACAAACAGGGAATCCAGGGAAAAACAAGAACAGGAACTCAGAACAGGAACTTAGAAACAGCAAACATTTAAACAACGACCGACACCCAAAAACTGAAGCACAGAGGTTTAAATACACAGACAAACAAGCTAAACAAGGGAACAACAGGTCATGGCAAATCAGAAACACCTGGGGGAACTCATCAACAACAAAGGACTACAAAACATGGTACGGAAAAGGAAATAACTAAAGTCCACACAAGAGAAGGAAAACACAAGACAGGAATCGTGACATTAGCTGTGTCCCAATGTGAAGGCTGCATCCTCCGAAGGCCATATTTGAAGGACGCTTGGCCGTATTTGAAGGCCGATTGCGTCACATCCGTGCTATGAAGACTGTCCCAATTCAAAGGCTGCACCCTCCGAAGGGCGCATTTGAAGCATTTATATATATATATATATATATATATGCAAAAACTATGTGATCATCGCAACTGGCCCACCTTTACAGGTACTCTGCCCTGCCCCATCTGTGAGCCAGTGGCATCGCTCTCTCCTCTCCTTTCAAGCACCAACCTTCTCCCAGGGCCAGCTCAGGGCTACATCTCTCAACACTGCAAGAATTAAGTGGTTACAGCCGGTCATCAGATGGGCACCCCCCTTCCTTGGTGTTTCGTCGATTTAAGCCCATAACACCTCGGGAGGGCTCGACAGCAGATCCAGCGTCCTGGATCTACCCCGCTGACCACCACCCAACTCTATGCCGTTTTTAGTCATGCCGTTTTTAGTCATTCCGTTTGTTCCAAACCTGTATGTGTTTATTTGTCCTGCTGAACACAAAGGAATCTTCCTTTGTGTTCAGCAGGACAAATAAACACATACAGGTTTGGAACAACATGAGGGTGAGTAAATACTGACAAAATATTCATTTTTGGGTGAACTAACCCTTTAACAAACTTCAACATGCAATGCATCCCAAGACAAATCTGCTTGGAATATGTAGATGGCTGCAGTGGTTTGTGTTTGCGTTCACATGGACAATTCATCCCCAATGGAAAACAGTAAACTTGCTGTTAATATGTTGAATATGAATGGCAAACAAATTAATTTCCTATAAATAATTCCCAGAGATTTGCAGCTCTCCACCTGTACTGAACCATCAGCAAACCTTTGGCAACAACAAACGTTTTGCTGCTACTAGCAAAATAACCTTCAGTGAATGTTTTACTAGACTAGAAACATAGAATGAACCTAAAACATTACTGTAATCAAGTGAATTCAATTTACCTCCATTTATATAGTGCTTTTTTACAATGCAGATTTTTATTAAAAACATTGGAGAACATTATATTAGAGTCTTCTGCTTTTCTGGATCACACAGCACAGGCTCCCGCAGTTCTATGTCCTTAGACATCCTTTTATCATTCTGTACTTTCCTGTTAATCTGTGTGATGGCCAGCCATAGCAGGATAAATCCTAACACCCGCAGAGAGTTGAGCAGTCCCAGAAACAGGAACCTGATGAGGGTCACATTACATTTTAGCATGAATCAGTTGGGGCAACATGATACCCCTGCCAGATTTGCTCACCTAAAAGTCTCAGTGTCATACATTCTGCAAGCACCTCTTCCACCACATTTTTTGTGACCCCATTTCAGACAGGTAGAGTCAATAAGAGCCCCAAAGTAAATAGGAGCAGGAATACCACCTTTAAAAGAGTGAAATTGCATTAAAAACAATGCTGTGCCAGACCTCAATGTGATCGACATCTGTAATTTAATTAAAATTCTTGTGGCACTTCTTCTAAATAAACCCAAACAATACAAATGTGAACTTACCCAAAACTCTTAAAACCAATAGTAGCACGCCCACCGAGAGAGACTTTAGCTCAGGATCCACAATCCTGCAAGGACAAATTAAACATTTAATACACATTTCATCCATTTAAATATGATATATACACCATTGTGGAATAAAACAAAGTTGTGATTAATCACGGTAAGATTTGTTGTACAGTAATTAAACAGAACCTCAATGAGATGATGAACGAGGGAACAGTTCCCAGACAGAACACAAAGAAGGCGAGAGACTCCAGTGCCAGATAGATGTAGAACATTACAGTACATCTGCTCTCTCGTGAACACTGTCCAAGCACTGCAGACGAGTTCCCAGCACTCATTCCCCAGCTCTGGACACATGCACAGTGGAGGAATGTCTGACAAACACGTGCAAATAAAAAAAAGAAAGAAAAGACACTCAAACACATGTAATAAAGACACTCAAACACATGTAATAATGAATTTGAGGTCAGCAGTTAAAGATAGTTGTTCACCATATTCTGCCCTGTGCCATGAGTGGAACTGCAGCCTGCGTGACAAGGAGAGATGTAGGTCACTCCATTCTGTCCACACACTGGGTCCCATTGGAAGTCAGGACACCCACAGTCGGCATTGCAAGAAGTGAATACATCACTGCTTATGTTCTGAACTTCTACAGATCTGCCACATAAACAATATTAGATTTTCTGTGACCCTACATAGGGCAAGCAGTTTGTTAAATAGAAAGATTGAATTGATGGATAATTTATAGTTTCCATGATGCAATAAGAGTGTGACTGGAGATGAAAGTACCCTTGATAGGGGACTGTGACCCCAGCGACATCTGTATTCTCACAGCTAAGAGCAAAGTTAGGTATGGTGAGAAACAATGCAGTGATTCCAGTGAAAAATGTCAATCTTGCAGATCCCAGCAGATCCAGTTTAAACCTCTTCATTATCCATCCACTCAGGAACATACTTAGAGCCGCTGGCGGAATAGTAGTCACTCCTAAAGAAATATATAAGCACACTCAGTTTAAACAGCCAGCAGACAAATAAAAAATAATAATAAAATAGACATTGCAGTAATCATGGCAGTTGTCACCTATGAGAAAGTTTGTCTTGGATGCACTTTGTCCAAACTGCTGTTCCAAATACTTTGGCGTATATGTTATGAGTATGACAAAAGCATTGAATGCCACTACATTGGAAATCAGGTAGAGGAGATAGATATTGTTGGTGAGCAGACTCTTCAGAGATGGCCCAAAATCTAGAAAACAAGCAAATATGCAAATGTTTAAAACAATCTTTTTTTACATTGTCATAGTAGACCATAATAACACTTTATAATTTATAATAATAACCTCCATTAATTTCCTGAAAACTCTTTCTTCCAAACCTGTATTATGTGTTGTAACCTGATCTGTGTTACTAATTTGAATCATGCATCTAACCCTTGTGGTCTGTGTAAGGTTGCCATACCTTTAGCTATCTCTGCAAAGCGGGGTGTATGTTTATGTCGTTTGGAGGGGTTGTCTAGCTCATAGGTTTGGGGGTTTTCAGGTAAAGCTCTTGGCAGGAACCAGAGAGGCAAAGCAGCAAGCAGAGTCAACAGCCCAGAAACCACATAACCCAACCACCAGGCCCCAACCCAGCGGGAGTCCAGAGGGGTGATGGTCACACTCTCTGATAATGAGAAGAAATTATACAAATAAACAATATATTTGTATATTAAAACCTCATCACCTTATTTCACTATTCACCCACTCCATTTATTCTATCACACCTGCTATCAAGAACAGCATTTATACTCCACAGTCTCTGATCAGAACAAATGGACTGCTCTGTTTTTAGTCAGTAGATTTACTTACCTCATGTCCATCTCAGCTTTCCTTCATCGAAAGACTCTTTTTCTTCATCTGTTCTCCATCTGTGTGGTTCCCATCTTGCCTGTCTTGTAATCCCAACAAATCTTTTTCTGTTGTCATACTTACCTATTCATGATCTATAACCCCCAAAAAAAGACCATACACTTGGGTTCCCCATGAAGCTGTGTGTGTTTTCTACCTGAAAGAAGACCAGCTCTTTATTATGGACTCAAGGGATCTTAACTTCTTGCAGAGGACAAGCTGCACAAGGACAAGCTTCTTAAACACAAATAGCAACCATATCTTCATCCCTGCCATCTCTGTTGTTGAGATTAACCATCCTTTCTTCCAAACCTTCTTCCTGACCATAGAGGACACTCATGGGCTTTAATTCTCTTAGATATCAGGAGTCTCCATTGAACTTCTTGTTCTGGCCACAAAGACCAACCGCAACCCTCCTTTACTACTCCACCAACTCCTCCATGGTATTTCCATCCATCAACTCCTCAGGGGTTCCTCCTTTCACTGGCTCCATCTGTGTCACTCCTCCCTCCATTTTTACCTTGTTACCTCTGTCCGTTGATTCTGCCAGACTCCTAGTTCCTTCAGCCTCCATGCCTTCATGTGTTGGGCTCCCCTACTTCTGTTTCTCCTAACTTTCCAGGGAGTCCTTTTTTCCCCCAAGGTACCAAATGGGTCTGTTCTCCTGGTGACAGTAATGGATGGTGGTAATGGCTTAGTCCATCTACAGCCTGAAGACCAACTCAGTGCTTCCAGCTGCATCTACTGATACTTCCCCTGAAGCATACTTACCCTGATCCGCTGAAGCATTGGAGACCCCTGTGGCACAACCCACACTTCGGGTTCCCTGTGGTGGGTTTCTAATCTTCTAATCTGTTGGCTCTTTTGTGGTCTTTCACTCAACCGGCTTTCCTGAGGCCTCATAGTCTGCCTTCCTATCCTGCGTCATTTGCTCCTCTGGCTCCCCTATTCTGCTGGATCCCCTAAGGCCTCCTGCTCCACCTGTACCCTCACGGTCTTCTGCTCCATTATCGTGTTCAACTGTTGTGCCATGGTGGTTCCAGTTCTGCCATGGTGGTCTTCTGCTCTGAAAATGCTTCTATGGTAGACCACTGTTTTCCAGATTGAGACTCTACTCTAACTCCACCTTGTCCATTACCATATTTACATATTTACCATGAATATTGAATATGTATGGTATTTTGTATTTGCATGGTTCCTCAAGGTCCTTAAAAGAGGAAGTATTACCATGGTACATGTCAAAACAAACAATGTAATACTGCACTTTTTGGTACTTTCTTGTTAGTGAGTTCTAAGGTATAACAACTTTAACTCACCTCTATCAACCAAGCCAATGTCCACGTAAAGTCTAGCACACAGAGATCCAAGCGAGTAACCAAAAATTGGCCCGATGATTCCAAGTGTGTGCAGGCAACCTACAGAATATAAACATCACATGAGAGACAAGGGTACTTTGGTTTGAGATTAAAACACTCACACACACACACAATAATTTTCTCACCAATGTAAAAAGCAGAGTTTTCTGGGTGTGCATAATCATCTATGAAAGACATTCCCAAAGGACCGAGGTTGGCTTCCCCGATTCCACGAATAATGTTTCCCAACAGCACAATCACCCATGTGGGCGAGCTTTCCTCTTCCCCTTTTTGGCATCCTACACAACCCATATAGAGTGCTCTGTTGGGTATTTTACTGCTTTTTACAATTAATATATCCCACATGCTTTTCCACATATAATCATGCATTACCGGCCACAAGCTGTTGAACAGTATTCTGGGCGTCAGGTGAGCATGTGGATCTCACTGTGAAATTATCAGCATCATTAGTGTGGGCGGCAGCTGTATCGTACTTGTACCTGTCAGAAACAAACAGACACATAAATAATAAAAGCATTTAAAATACAGATCTTCAAAATTCTGACCTTTATGAGGTGGATCTTTATTAAATATTTTAGTATGAATATGGTAATTAGGGGTATTATATGGTGGCCATCCATTAACGCTACACTGTGTGATTTTTACCCCCATCTAGCGGTGAAAAGGTATATGATCATCCAGTGAATATTAGTTTCTGTTCCTCTCAATTCCGATTTCGTTTTAACTCCTACTGTGGCCAATGTAGTAAGATTAACATGGTTTCCAGTTCGACCTCGTCCTTGATTGTTAACGTAAACGCGAAAGGCGAAGCTTGAATTAACGGGTATGTCCCTCTTTGGCTAATGTACTTTCAAGATGGAGGGTCAACATGGCGACCGACATTAGAACCCCTTACCCGTATGTATTTTCAATGGCATATTATACACTCAAGTGAATACTTTATTACTTGAACGAAGTAAATGTACATCAATGAGCACATATATTTTCGAAAGAACTAAGTGTTTTTAGCTAAGAATAAACTAAAAGAGTTACACAGTGTAGCTTTAATTTATTCAACATAACATTAATAGTCATTAGACATGAGTCATTTGACATGAAAGAGTTAATGTTTTTGATTGTCTCGTGATCCTGGTGGGTCACGGAATTACGTAGGAATGTGAATATTAGTCATCTGTTCACTGATTAAGTTAGGTGAGAGGGGGTGAGCAGGGGCGATGTATTCTTTGTTGACCTCTAAACTTTGTACCATCAAAAAACATCAGCCAGCAATGAAGAATTGCTAGTAAAAGATAATTTGCCTCATTGATGTTGTCCCTGTCTTAGTCTCTCAGCGGTATCATCATTGGGTTCTGTAGCCGCTATAATTACATTTAAACTTTTCATGAAAATGTCATATGAGTTTTTCAAAATCACATGAAACAAGAATACAAAGAGTCATATTCTAAGGACTTACAAAAGATTTGTTTCTGTTCTTCATCGCAGACATCCTTATTTGTCATTGACCCATGAACATTACTCACCGGTCCATAATGAAGTGAGGTAAAGCCATTATCAGTGTCCCTATAGCCATCAGCAAGACCCCTGCTCCAATGATCTTGGGCCTGTGAAACTTGGCACCAAAGTAGCTTACCACAGTGATAACCAACAGATTACCTAGAAGCAAATGTGAAATTATTTATGCAAGTTATCTGTTGTTTCATAGCATACCATCAATCAACTGTCCCAGATCCCACTGCTATAAGATCCCACTGCTATAAGTACTCATCTAACGGGTGAACCTCGGCCCTCATTTCTCAGTGCAGCTCGACACATCTCAACTCACCTATTTCAAAACTGCCATCGATGATACCAGCAGTAGAACTTGGGATCTCAAACCGTCTCTCAATCTGAGTGATGGTGCTTTTGGTGTAAACCCCCGTCATGGATTTGGAGAAATAACAGAAGGCAAGTACACCAATAAAGATCTTTCCAGTCACAAGGGTAAAAAAAGAGACTAAGTTAGAAGATTTAACCTTTTTTGTCAGAAGCTATACACCATTATACAACAAATAATCGGCTAAAATAATCAGCTCTACAATTGTTGCTCGGTTAAACATGCATATGGTCAAAGACAATGTCTCTTGCCTTTAGACTTGGGGAGCAGCATTTAGCCTGAGACGTTTTCTTATTACTGTCTGAATACTCCACTGGACTGGACTCAAGGAACCCCTCCGGGCTGCCCTCCAATATCATAGTGAACAATGGGCTAGTGAAGGTAAACAAATCACAAACTGATGAAAAATGAAAGACAAACTTGTCAAAGTTGAAGTTGTGTTCTTATGTGGAAAAATTGATACTGTATAAAATGTAATAAGTAAAAAAACCAAAAAAAACCAGATAAAACAAATTAAATAAAATGATAATAATAAACTGATGAAAAACTACAATTTTTTTTCCCTTTCAGTCCATTCACTGTTAGTAATTTAGCATATTCTGGGGTAATGCTGTTCATATTAAAAAAAATAATAATTTATTTTGTACAATCAACCATTTTGATGTTGAACTGCCTCAATGTCTTAAACTATTTAACAGACTATTATTATTTTGTTGGATTGACTTATTATGTTCGATCCTAATGTTTCAGTTTCTTTTAAACAAAAAAAGTGTATCCATTCACATCATGTCAGAGATTATTCAAGGCAAAATACATTGTAATTAAATGCAAATATGAACAAAATATTATTAAATCATAATTTTGAAACACTTACATGTCTAGATGCGTCTTAGAGAAAAAGCAATTGAATATGCATTTGAAAAATGCCCAAAGCAGGATCTCGTATGTTACGCTGCAGGCAGGAATGAAGCGGAGAATGGATCCAAATGCAAGCACTTTTAATAATAACAAAACAAACAGGGAATCCAGGGAAAAACAAGAACAGGAACTCAGAACAGGAACTTAGAAACAGCAAACATTTAAACAACGACCGACACCCAAAAACTGAAGCACAGAGGTTTAAATACACAGACAAACAAGCTAAACACGGGAACAACAGGGCATGGCAAATCAGAAACACCTGGGGGAACTCATCAACAAGACATGACATGGCACGAAACAGGAAATAACTAAAGTCCACACAAGACAAGGAAAACACAAGACAGGAATCGTGACATAGCCCCCCACCCAAGGAGCGGATTCCAGACACTCAACAAAAAAAAAACTGTCCAGGTAGGAGGTGGAGCGCAGACGGATCTGAGGGTGGTATGGAGGGCCAGGTCCATGGAGCAGAAGAGGAAGAGGGGACTAGGGTGGATCAGGCTGTGCAGACGACCAGGGCGGAGCAGATTGTGTGGGCGTCCAGTGCGGTGAAGACCCCTCGGGCGGCCAGGGCGGTGAAGACCCCTCGGGCGGCCACAGCGGTGAAGACCATGGTGGCTCAGGAACAGGAACCTGTTCAGGAACTGGCTCAGGAGCAAGAACAGAAAAAGACATGGACACTGGCTCAGGGACAGACGACACACACACTGGCTCTGGGACAAGCGACACACACTCTGGCTCGGGGACAGACGACACACTCTGGCTTGGGGACCAACGACACACACTCTTGCTCGGGGACCGACGACACACTCCTGCTCGGGGACAAACGACACACACTCTGGCTCGGGGACAGACGACACACACTCGGGCTCGAGGACAGATGACACACACTCGGGCTCGGGGACAGACAACACACACACTGGTTCAGGGGCAGACACACATACTCGCTCAGGCTCGGGAACAGACAACACACAAACTGGTTCTGGCTCGGAATCAGACAACACGCACACTGGATCAGGAACAGACAACACACACACTGGTTCAGGCTCGGGAAGATACAACACACACACTGGTTCAGGGGCAGACACACACACTGGCTCGGCCATCTTGTCCATAGACACTGGCTCGGAGTTGGCCATCTTGTCCGTAGACACTGGCTCGGAGGCGTTGACGTGAACAGACTCTGGATCAGCAGAAGTGATTTGAACAGTCTCTGAATCGGCCATCTTGTCCGTAGACACTGGCTCGGAGGCGGCCATCTTGTCCATAGACACTGGCTCGGAGGTGGCCATCTTGTCTGTAGACACTGGCTCGGAGGCGGCCATCTTGTCCGTAGACAAGGAAGCTCAGAGCAAGTGACGTGAAAAGTCTCTGGCTTGGTGGAAGTGACGTGAAGAGTTTCTGGCTTGGCGGAAGTGACGTGAAGCGTCTCTGGCTCGGCGGAAGTGACGTGAAGCGTCTCTGGCTTGGCAGAAGTGACGTGAAGCGTCTCTGGCTCGGCAGAAATGACGTGAAGCGTCTCTGGCTCGGCAGAAGTGATGTGGGGCGCAGGCTCGGCAGAAGTGATGTGGAGCGTAGGCTCGGCAGGGCTGACGGTGAGCGCAGGTTCGGCAGGGTGGACGTGATCCTCAGCTTTGTCCACCAAACCCACCGTAAAAGCTGACCCGCTCAGTTGCAGGGCCAATTCAATATAAAACTCAAGAGTCCAGCTAGGGTCATGTAATTGCAGAAGGTAGCTGAGTGGCTCAGACAGTCCTCCGCGAAAAAATATCATCGAGCATACCTCCTCCATGCAAGTCAGATGAGCATCCTTCAGAAAGTCCATCACATAATCCTCAATTGGTCGATCTCCTTGACGGAGACACATAATTCGGATGTCTGGGCACTGGGTAGGAATGGCTGCTGCTGCTGGATCTAGGTGTGGTCGGTCGTTACGCTGCAGGCAGGAATGAAGCGGAGAATGTATCCAAATGCAAGCACTTTTAATAATAACAAAACAAACAGGGAATCCAGGGAAAAACAAGAACAGGAACTCAGAACAGGAACTTAGAAACAGCAAACATTTAAACAACGACCGACACCCAAAAACTGAAGCACAGAGGTTTAAATACACAGACAAACAAGCTAAACAAGGGAACAACGGGGCATGGCAAATCAGAAACACCTGGGGGAACTCATCAACAAGAAAAACTACAAAGGACTACAAAACATGGCACGGAACAGGAAATAACTAAAGTCCACACAAGAGAAGGAAAACACAAGACAGGAATCGTGACATTGTGTCTTTTATATTCACATCCAAGTCTTTGGACAGTTTTATTAACCTTTAACTTACACTTTAGCCCTATTGTAGATCAATCAAAAACCATCACATTTACATGCAGTAGGTTTTACAGAATTTTGAAAGAGCAAAAACATTTTTCAACAAGCTTAAATTAACTAAATGACTATATTTGTTATGATGTTGAGGAAGGAGAACCCAGGCGCAGACAGAGTAAACTGAATACACAATTTATTGCAGACAAAAAGGGGAAAATAATGCCCACAATAGGGTAAAACAAGATGAGGAAGAGAATGACTAACTAGACTAAGACTTAGACAGAAGACTAAACACTTACTAACAGCAAATACACGAACAGGATCTTCACAGGACATGTAACTAAGACAAGATTCTCACAGATAATATTTAGCAATGACTCACACTTAACTATAGCAAACATGGGCAGGATTCACAGAGTGTAACATCCCAGCAGGTTTCACAATGAACCGACACAGGACAGCAAACACAAGGGGATGATAAAGGGAGAGTAATGAGAACATAACAGGTGACACAGATAAATTAATGAAGACTAAACAAGGGTAACAAGGCGGCGGAGTTCGGTGACGAGACAACGCAAGCACACAGCCCAAACAAATGGCCATGTGCTTACACATAAAACATGGGTCTGTGGGTCATGGGTTGTAGCTGACGCTGGAAGGTCAGCTCAGGGGATGATATTTTGGTGATTTGAGTGGTTAATGTTTATTTTGACTTTATAGTTTATTTTGTGATTTCATAGTTTAAATGTGTATTTCTGTATGGTGAATTTCTTAATTTGTTTGCCGTTTGTATTTTATTATTATTCTATCGTTGAAGTTGAGGTCATGTGATCCTGTGTGTGCTGATTAGTTCAGCTGGACGTGTTAGCGTCAATGTAATGATGTGATGTGAAACTAAGACCGCAGGATAGTGCTCCTGACTTAAATCTACTGTTGGTTACCAGGCGAATACGGTAAATGTTTTAATACTTTGTATATTATGTTGGTTTGTGTTTGTAGTGGTGTTGTGTGTAAAATTATGGTTTGGTTTTCCTTTGTGTCTAGTTTTCACGGTGTCTCTGGAATAAATAAACAAAAATGGACATCAGTACTTCGGAAGCGTGGACTGTTTTGTAATCAGCGAGTAGTTACAGTGAAAACGTAACCTAATTCCATTCTACCGACTACGAGATGTGCTTTGGCGGTGATCCTCCAGTTTCGGCGAGCAGCCTGCCACTTCCAAGTCTCTGCACGCGGATGAACTGTTTTCCGTGGTGATCGCCGATGCTGCTGTCTTCGGTGTGCGGATCTGTTGTGCCTTCCTTGGACTTCGCGTGCCGTTCGATTGTGTCCCGTGGTGAACTTAAAGGACTTGGCGTGCAGTGTTTGCCTTCTATGATGGACCGTTGCGAGCTTTAGTGTGCAAATCTGCTACATGACCGTCAATGGAGGATCTTCTCACGCAACTTTGTGTCAGCTGCGTATCAGCAGGTTAGATGTGCAATGTCAAATGATCCTTTTTGTAAATGATGGATAGTTTTAAGTAAAAAAAAAAAAAAAAAAAAAAAAAGTTCCAGAGATAACTGATTCTTAACTGCATGATTGTAATGTGTTTAAGATTTCTTAAGTAGATAAATGTCTAAGTGTTAAGGGCATTTAAGTTAATTTGTTACTCAGTCTAAGATTGTTTCACTACTATCTATTGCGATCATAAACGTCATATTTTGTACTATTTGTAAAAGCACAAATTTTTTAGAAAAATGTCAGTCCAGGGTGAGTCAGCTGAACAAAATGATTCTCCATTATCAGAGCAAGTAGATTTATTAGCAGAGAATTTGGATGGTGTTGTGAGGCCTCGACATGTATCATGTGCATCATGCACCGAGAAATCTGAGGCAAGGCGTAAAGAGCTTAATTCTGTGTTATTAGAGACGACTGAAATCAGAAAATCCTCCCGTGATAAACGTTTAACTCCAAAGATGCAGGAGTTAAAAGAGCAAGAACTGATTCAAAAGGAGAGGAAGTTTAAATCTGTATATGAGAAATGGAAGTCTCAAGCCAGAGATGTTCGTTCAAAGTTAAAACGTGAGTGCTCTGAAAAAGACTTGTGTGACATGATGGATGAGGTTGAGAGGCAAGAGTTTGAATTGAAAGAGTTATATGATAACATGCGACTCCAAGCACCACCAAGCCAAGAAACTAGGAGAAAAATTGATGCATGTTCGGCTGTAACGGCAGACTTGATGAAATTAATGAGGGTACGCATGGTGGAAGATGGCATAGAATTTGATGCTGAAGCTGAGAGAGCAAGGTTACGTATGCTACTGGACTGTGAGTACGCTAGGTCTATATATGGATCCACGGTGGGTAGAGCTACGGTCGTTAGCAATCATTCTAAACCTGCATCGGAGTCTGAAAGCATTTCAGCTAAGAGAGCAGAGACTGCCGCGCTGTTGGCCGCGAAAAAGGCTGAAGTGGAAATGGAGGCTGACATCGAAGCACAAAGGCAGCAACTGAAGAAGCTGGAAGATCGTAGATACATTGAGGTTATGGAGGCAAGGCTCAGAGTGTATACTGAGGAGGAGTCAAGGATAAAAAGTCAACGGTGTGATTCAGTATGTGACGTGAGTAACCACAGCCCCCTGGTTCCTAACACATGTTTGAATCAGCAAGTTACAAGAAGTGAAGTATCCTTAGTACAGGCCTTACAAGGGTCTATGGCTCTATCTCGACTCCCAGCTCCAGAACCCTTTGTATTTTATGGCGACCCATTGAAGTTTATAGAATGGAGCACCACCTTTAAAGTTCTAATAGAGGGACGGTGCTCAAATCCCGCAGATAAGCTCTTCTACTTACAGAAGTATGTTGACGGTGAGGCAAGATCGGCTCTGGAAGGTAGCTTCTACAGGAAAGATGAACAGGCCTATCAGCAAGCGTGGGAGAAGTTGAATGCCAGATATGGTCACTCCTTTGTGGTGCAACGTGCCTTTAGAGAGAAACTTAATAGGTGGCCTAAGATTGGTGCAGCCGAGTACGTCAAGTTAAGAGAGTTCAGTGACTTCCTACAATCATGTAGTGATGCTTTGCCGCATATTAAGGGTCTTCAAGTGCTGAATGATTGCGAGGAAAATCAGAGGATACTGGCCAAGCTTCCTTTCTGGGTGACAAGCAGGTGGAACCGTTATGTCACAGAACAGCTGGATAAAGACCAAGATTATCCAAGCTTTAATCAGTTTGCCTCATTTGTATCAAAAGAAGCACGCATAGCGTGCAATCCTGTGTCATCATTGTATGCACTAAAGACTGTTGAAGAGAAGCCATCTAAGGAAATAAAGCGTTCAAGAGTAAACACGTTTGCAACCACTGCGAAGGCTTTAGATGCAGCATATGCTACGGCTGAATTCAGTGACCTTACCGACCGTGAGACTGAAGAGACTTGTAGGAAGAAAACTACCTTTGTGAGTGGCCTAAATTCAGTTGAATGTATGTTCTGTGATGATCGTCATTCTATTCAGGAATGTCCAAAACTAATGGAAAGGGTAGTAGAGGAAAAGAGGAAGTTTGTCATGGAGAATAAGTTGTGCTTTGCATGTTTAAGAAGAGGGCATGGCTCCAAAGACTGCAGAAATAGAGCTGTGTGTGGGTTATGCAAGAAGCGCCACCCCACTTCATTACATGAAGATCGTCAGCCAGAAAACAAGTCGTCTCCACGGATAGCTTTGCAGACGGAAGAGAATGCATTCTCTCTAACATGCTGTACGAAGGGTGGAGAAGGTGATATAACATCTATGATTGTCCCAGTATGGCTGTCTTTATCTAACTCAGAGTCTGAAGTCTGTGTATATGCTTTACTAGACACCCAGAGTAGTCACACATTTGTGGATCAGGAAGTGTGTGAAAGCTTGCAGGCATTAATGGAACCGGTAAAACTAAAGCTTTCCACAATGATGGAAAAAGACTCTGTTGTAATGAGTCACAGTGTAAGTGGACTTCAGGTTAGAGGATTTTCTTCGGACATCCCTATCTGTCTTCCTCCTGTTTACACAAGAGACTTTATTCCCTTTGTGCCCACACATATTCCAACCTGCGAAACAGCTAAACAGTGGAGACACCTAGAGGTGATCGCTAATGAAATGCCCGTACGGATGGATTGTGGAGTAGGTCTATTGATCGGCTATGATTGCTCCAGAGCACTGATGCCACGACAGGTCATCACTGGTGGGGATGAAGAGCCTTATGCCATCAAGACGGACCTTGGCTGGAGCATCATAGGAGGAACTCCAGGATGTGTAAACTCCAAGTTTGGGACTGGTTTATGCCATCGCATATCAGTCAGAGAACTCCCCTCCGTGACACCTGCCACTGTTATTAGGGCACTTGAGCTGGATTTTATAGATATTTCATCCGGTGAAAAGAGTAAATCACAAGATGATATTCAGTTCCTGCAGGTAGTAAAAGAGGGTGTCTATCAAAATGAGTATGGCCATCTTGAGATGCCTCTTCCTTTTAAAATACGGCCTCAGCTTCCAAATAATAGGAGTCTTGCATTAGGACGGTTGAAGCACCTCAAGAGGAAACTGGACAAGAATCCTCAATTCAGACAGGACTATGTGAAGTTTATGGAAGATGTCTTCAGAGATGGAGATGCGGAAATAGCAAATGAGCAACCAGACCCGGGTAATGTGTGGTATATTCCCCATCAAGGCGTCTATCACCATAGGAAACCAAATAAGATCAGGATAGTCTTTGACTGCGCCGCTAGGTATGAAGGTACCGCGTTAAATGACCATCTATTGACAGGGCCTGACCTTACCAATGGATTGACTGGAGTGCTTTGCCGTTTCCGTAAACACCCTATCGCTGTCATGTGTGACATTGAGAAAATGTTTCATAGATTTCATGTTATTAAAGAAGATCGGGACTATCTGCGTTTTCTGTGGTGGGCAAATGGGGATACCGACGCAGAACCCAGAGAATATCGCATGAAAGTACACCTTTTTGGAGCATCATCTTCTCCAGGCTGCGCCAATTATGGCCTGAAGTATCTCGCCAATATGAATGAGAGTGAGTATCCTTTGGCAGCGGGGTTTATCAGGAACCATTTTTATGTGGACGACGGCCTTGTAAGCCTGGAATCTGTTGAGGTAGCAATCAAGCTGGTGAAGGAAGCTCAGGCCGTGTGTGCTAAGGGAAAGCTGCATCTTCACAAGTTTATTTCAAACAACCGAGAAGTGTTGGAGTCAATCAGTCCGTGTGATCATGCTGCTGAAGTAAAGAACGTTGACTTTCACCATGACTTTCTTCCAGTACAAAATGTCTTGGGCGTAAGGTGGGATGTAGAGAATGATGTATTCACATTCAAGGTTGTTCTTGAAAGGAAACCTGCGACACGACGTGGAATTCTGTCCATGGTGGCTTCAGTCTATGACCCTTTGGGGTTTTTGGCCCCATTTGTCATATCTGGCAAGAAGGTCCTGCAGGAGATGTGCCAGAAGGGCATCAGTTGGGATGAACCGTTACCCTCTGAACTGAGACCAAGGTGGGAGAGTTGGTTGAATGATCTGCCCAACCTAGGGAAGGTACAGATTCCACGATGTTTCGCCCCTCCAAATTTTGGGCCGATTCTGAGCATTGAATTGCACCACTTTTCTGATGCTAGCAGTCAAGGCTATGGGCAGTGCTCTTATATCAGATTGATGAGTGAAAGTAAGATACATTGTGCTTTAGTTATGGGTAAAGCAAGAGTTGCTCCCATCAAAGTTGTCACTATACCAAGATTAGAGTTAACTGCAGCAGTCATCTCTGCTGCTGTTAGTAGTACGTTGAAAGAGGAGTTGGCACTCAGAGTCGATAGAGAATATTTCTGGACAGATTCTCAAGTGGTCCTTGGCTATATCAACAATGAAGCAAGAAGATTTCATGTCTTTGTTGCTAACCGGGTCCAGAGAATTCGGGAGGCCACCGATCCAAGACAGTGGTATTACATCAATACAGAAGAGAATCCTGCTGACCATGCCTCGAGGGGCCTTACTGTAGAGGAGTTGATCAGTTCAAACTGGTTGACAGGGCCCAGATTCCTCTGGGAGAAAGAGATATTTGCTAAACAAGGAACGTTGGAGCTGTCGGTGGGAGACCCGGAGGTCAAGGCTGTCCAGGTATTGAGGACCGAGATTATGACTGAGGTGGATTTTCAACAGCGACTATCACGACTATCAAAATGGACTACAGCTGTGAATGTCATTGCTCGCATCCAAAGATTAGCAAGGAAGATGAAGACTCCAACATCTTTAAATGTCGAGGAGAGGAGGAGGGCCTCATTTACTCTTATTCAGCTTGCACAACAGGATGCTTTCAAAGAAGAGTTGAATGTACTCAGTCAGGACTCGGGCAGGCTGCCTTCAAGCCATCCTCTGTATCAGCTTGATCCATTCATGCAGGATGGAATAATGAGGGTGGGAGGACGATTGAGGAGGGCATGTGCTCCTCTTGAATTACGATACCCAGCAATCCTTCCAAGTAATGGTCTGATCACATACCTTGTATTGGCACACTATCATCAAAAAATTCAACATCAAGGCAGGGGACAGACTCTGAATGAACTGCGAGCCAATGGCTTTTGGATCATGGGTGGCAGTAAGGTGGTAGCGCACTACATACGACAGTGTGTTCCTTGTAGGAGAGCACGTAGGCCGCCAGAACAACAACGGATGGCGGACTTGCCCCATGACCGAACTGACCCCTCCCCGCCATTTACTTATTGTGGCATGGACTGTTTTGGTCCTTTTTACACCAAGCAAGGTCGTAAAACACATAAACGATATGGCCTTCTTTTTACTTGTCTTTGCTCCAGAGCAGTCCACGTAGAGATGTTGGAGGACATGACGACTGATGCATTCATCAACGCTTTACGGTGTTTTCTAGCCATCCGTGGAGCTGTCAGACATATTAGATCAGACCAAGGAACAAACTTCATGGGGGCAAGGAATGAGTTGAAGAAAGCTTTAAGAGAAGTAAGTAAAGAGAGAGTGGCAGCATATCTGGCAGAGAAGCAGTGCGATTTCTGCCTGAATGCACCCAGTTCAAGTCACGCTGGAGGTGTCTGGGAACGGCAGATTCGAACTGTAAAGGGTGTGATGAGTTCAGTTTTGGCACTAAGTAGTGGAAGACTTAATGATGCCTCTTTACGTACATTCTTCTATGAAGCTATGTCAATAGTCAACAATCGGCCATTGACAGTGGATGGTCTCAGTGATCCTACAAGTCCAGAGCCCTTAACCCCCAATCACCTGCTTACCATGAAGTCGTCTGTCCCACTTCCTCCTCCGGGTGCATTTGTTAAGGAAGATCTTTATGCAAAGAAACGTTGGAGGCAGGTGCAGTATTTGAGTGAACAGTTTTGGAGCAGATGGAGGAAAGAATATCTTGCTAATATCTCTCTAAGGCAAAGATGGCATGCACTAAGGCGGAATGTGCAAGTGGGGGACATTGTCATTGTTAAGGAAGAGGAAACTCCCCGCAACGAATGGAGGTTGGCTAGGGTCGTTGAAGTTTGCAAGGCTGATGATGGACTGGTACGGAAAGCTAAAATACAGATTGGTGATCGGAAGTTGGGGAAAAGGGGTGAACGCCTCACTAAACCCTCTGTTATTGAACGACCCATCCAAAAATTGGTAGTTCTTGTAGCAAAAGGTGAAAATTAATATCTTATCACTCATTAGAAGTTGAATCATGTTAGTACCATGCTGTGATATGTTGATTTGTGCTGCCCTAATGCTGGTTGACAGTAGAATGTGAAGAATGGTGAACAATTTGTTCATTTTAACAGAAGATTGTGTAATTATGAAATATGAACCTTTTTTTTGTGTTTTTTTTTGTTTTTTGCCTTTTTTGCCGATTTTCATGTTTCCTGTTGGAGCTTGGAAATTACCATTTGATTGGTTGTGTTTGTTTCTTATCACTCAATGGTAATTTGGTGGGAGTGTAGCTGACGCTGGAAGGTCAGCTCAGGGGATGATATTTTGGTGATTTGAGTGGTTAATGTTTATTTTGACTTTATAGTTTATTTTGTGATTTCATAGTTTAAATGTGTATTTCTGTATGGTGAATTTCTTAATTTGTTTGCCGTTTGTATTTTATTATTATTCTATCGTTGAAGTTGAGGTCATGTGATCCTGTGTGTGCTGATTAATTCAGCTGGACGTGTTAGCGTCAATGTAATGATGTGATGTGAAACTAAGACCGCAGGATAGTGCTCCTGACTTAAATCTACTGTTGGTTACCAGGCGAATACGGTAAATGTTTTAATACTTTGTATATTATGTTGGTTTGTGTTTGTAGTGGTGTTGTGTGTAAAATTATGGTTTGGTTTTCCTTTGTGTCTAGTTTTCACGGTGTCTCTGGAATAAATAAACAAAAATGGACATCAGTACTTCGGAAGCGTGGACTGTTTTGTAATCAGCGAGTAGTTACATGGGTCATGACAGAACCCCCACCTTAAGGAGCGGCTTCCAGACGCTCCTCAAGGAGACATCAAACACGGGACAAGACTGACTGAGACACAAACACAAACCAACAAGACATGACAAATAACAATAAAGGCATACACGAAAACACGACAACAGGGTTGGGATGCAACAATAAAAATAAACACGGGAGGGGGGGGGGGGCAGAGGAACAAGAGAGTTTGTGGGGGATAGTCCAGGGTGGATGGGTGGACTGGGGGTCTTGGGCTTTCGGGACGAGGGCTGAGGGCGAGGAATCCGGGCAGACTTGGATGGGGACACATGAGGCACAGTCTCAGGGGAAACAGTCCGGGGTGATGTGGTGACAGGGGTGACCTGGGAAACAGCAGGGGACACAACAGGACACATGACTGGGGATGTTGCAGGTGGTCGGGGAGTGGTGAGAGGCAATGCTGGGCTCTCAAAAGCAGCTTCAGAACCAGTGCTCTCCATAGCAGACTCGGACACATCGTTTTCTGCAGTGGACTTGGAAACCGCGGACTCGGGAACAGCGCTCTCTGATCCCGACTCGGGAGCAGCGCTCTCTGCAGCTGGCTTGGGAGCAGTGCTTTCTGCAGCTCTAGGCACAGGGTCTGGGGACAAGACAGGACTAACAGGGACTTCTAGGATTTTGACAAGACGTGACAAGTACTCGGACAGGGTTCATGCAGCAATAATGACCGGCATATCTTGATTAGCTGAAACTGAGCGTAAAACAGCCTCAGCAGCTGAATCAGCCGCTTCCCTCTCTGCAGCAATCACGACTGTAGACTCAGGAACAATACCTTCGGCTGTAGTGGGCTCATGGACGGCGCTTGCTGGAGCGGGCTCAGGGGGAGACAGAGTACAAGAGGCTCCCTTCTTCCTCTTCTTGGGTCACGGAGCAGAGGACATAGCCAGGCTGGTGACCGGTTGGGATAGTGCAGCAGGAAGTGTGGTCTCAGTGGAAGAGGACTCCGAAGTAGACAACAGCCATCTTTCTCGTTTGCCACGGAGACTTGCGGGTGTAGATGATGCGTCGGGAGCCGAAGTGGAGTGGGCCTTGTTTCCTCTGCATAACAACAGCTAAAATGTGACCCTCCGGGATCACTGGCAGCCTGGCAAGTGGTGACGAGGTGGTGGAAGCCTGCGGATCCTCCTGGGAGAAATGATCCCAGAGTCTTAATTCTTCAGAATCCACTCACCCTGGGACGGGACATGACCGTTGACTAATAAAAGTGAAACTTTGGACAGGTGGTGGCGCTAAAGGGAATGAATTAGAAACACCAAAATTGGTGTTTTTGATGTTGGGACTGTCCTCTATCAGAATGTCAAACCAAAACAACTTTTGCTTTTACTTTTGTTGCACCAATCCACAACAAGGTACACAACAGCTCTCCAAAACTGGGCCAGGCAGGACACAGACCATGCTCAGGAGAAAGGTTCTCCCTGATTGATACTTCAGCTGGCTTTTATGCTGTGTCCCTCCTGGTTGATAAGCAGGTTCAGCTGGAGACGTAATCAGCTACCTGCCAGAGTGAAAAATTGGGAGGAGCCAAAAGAGAGCCGGAGACACCAAAACAACAAAATATACGTCCGTGGACGTAACAATACTATTATTGAGAAACAACATTTTCAAAGCAGTCTAAGACTACTAAAATTGTAAAATTGCATTAAAAACAATCCTGTGCCAGAACTCAATGTGATCGACATCTGAAATTTAATTAAAATTCTTGTGGCACTTCCTCTAAATAAACCCAAATAAAACAAATGTGAACTTACCCAAAACTCTTAAAAACTAATAGTAGCACACCCACCGAGAGAAACTTTAGGTCAGGATCCACAGTCCTGCAAGGACAAATTAAACATTTAATAGACATTTCATCCATTTAAGTATGATATATATCATTGTGGGATAAAACCAAAAGTTGTGATTAATCACAGCAAGATATGCTGTACAGTAATTAAACAGAACCTCAATGAGATGATGAAGAAGGGAACAGTTCCCAGACAGAACACAAAGAAGGCGAGAGACTGCAGTGCCAGATAGATGTAGAACATTATAGTACATCGGCTCTCTCGTGAACACTGTCCAAGCACTGCAGACGAGTTCCCAGCACTCATTCCCCAGCTCTGGACACATGCACAGTGGAGGAATGTCTGACAGACACGTGCAAATTAAAAAAAAGAAAGAAAAGACACTCAAACACATGTAATAAAGACACTCAAACACATGCAATAATGAATTTGAGGTCAACAGTTAAAGATAGTTATTCACCATATTCTGCCCTGTGCCATGAGTGGAACTGCAGCCTGCGTGACAAGGAGAGAGGTAGGTCACTCCATTCTGTCCACACACTGGGTGCCATTGGAAGTCAGGACACCCACAGTCGGCATTGCAAGAAGGGAGTACATCACTGCTTGTATTCTGAACCTCTACAGATCTGCCACATAAACAATGGGCTCTATGCACAACTTACTTCCGCATTCTGTTTGAACAGGTCTCACCGCTTCCGGTCCAGGTCTTTTGTATGTGCTTCATGACATTTTTTGCGGTTTTACTCAAGATAACTTAAAAGGAGCGAGCAAAGATTAGCATAACCAATCTCCCTCACATATGCAGATTGATATTTAAACGTTTTATATTTTTTCGTCTTCACGGTAACGTTTAGATATTTAAATGGAATAAAACGCCAATAACAAAGTGAACTAGGTAGGTTAGCTGATTACCTTAAAAATCCATAGATATCGTAGTCAGTTCTTACGGCCGTTAACACTTTCTATGACAAGCGGATGCGATGAGACCTGTTTTCCGGTTTGGTCACGTGACGCTCCGCATAAAACCTATAGATTATATATTATTACATATTTCTGTGACCCTACATAGGGCAAGCAGTTTGTTAAATAGAAAGATTGAATTGATGGATAAACCACCACCACCAGCCTGCACAGTGGTAACAAGGCATGATGGATCCATGTTCTCATTCTGTTTATGCCAAATTCTGACACTACCATCTGAATGTATTAATAGAAATCAAGACTCATCAGACCAGGCAACATTTTTTCAGTCTTCAACTGTCCAATTTTGGTGAGCTCTTGCAAATTGTAGCCTCCTTTTCCTATTTGTAGTGGAGATGAGTGGTACCTGGTGGGGTCTCCTGCTGTTGTAGTCCATCCGCCTCAAGGTTGTGCGTGTTGTGGCTTCACAAATGCTTTGCTGCATACCTCGTTTGTAACGAGTGATTATTTCAGTCAAAGTTGCTCTTCTATCAGCTTGAATCAGTCAGCTCCTCTGACCGCTGGAATCAACAAGGCATTTTCACCCACAGGACTGCCACATACTGGATGTTTTTCCCTTTTCACACCATTCTGTGTAAACCCTAGAAATGGCTGTACGTGAAAATCCCAGTAACTGAGCAGATTGTGAAATACTCAGACTGGCCCGTCTGGCACCAACAACCATGCCACGCTCAAAATTGCTTAAATCACCTTTCTTTCCCATTCTGACATTCAGTTTGGAATTCAGGAGATTGTCTTGACCTGTACCACACCCCTAAATGCATTGAAGCAACTGCCATGTGATTGGTTGATTAGATAATTGCATTAATGACAAATTGAACAGGTGTTCCTAATAATCCTTTAGGTGAGTGCATATCCCTGTATATGATATATTATTAAAATGAAATATTAGCAATCCGATATTGTTACAGTTTTCTATTACACATGTTTATGAGGTCAGATGACTTTATGTGTTGCGTTACCAGCACCATAAAAGGGTAGCTACATCATCATATCCCTAGTTCCCATACAGTCATGTTCGATCTGAGACTCCAATCACCTTTGAGTGTTAACAAAACAAGCCAATGCACATTGGTAAATGAGATTTGCATCACAAGCCACTCCCCATTTACGCAGTTAAGCTTTTGCTTTGAAGTTGAGTGGCCATCATTCACTCTGCTCTGTCAATGAAAGATTTAGCATAAGTTCTGCCGGGAAGACTCAATTGTTAAGTCACTTTTTACCTTCTCATCTATCCAATCATGTTCTAAAACTTGTGTTATAAAAGAGGTACTTACACGTCTGAGTTCGCAGATGCTGTTCATCCTACACCACCATGATGGTTCACTTCTTTCCCCTCCATCCTCCCCCAGGACCACCAGGACGGTCCCTTCCGATACCTCACAAGGGGTCGGCTACACCTGTGAAGTTGCATCTCTTTCAAGATGCCATTCCACCCCTGTGTTTTTGTATGTGGTTGTTTCCTGGTCCCGTCTAACAGCCACAATCACTGCCTCCTGGCGTTGAGGAGACATACTGGGCCTTTTGAGGTAGTTGATGAGTCATTTACACATTGCTGAAAGATAATACTTGGCGATGTTGAGATCGAGACTCCCAATACCTTGAAAAAGGTGGAGTCCTCTCTGTTACTCCCAGAGGGTTATAGTGGGTTAAGTATGTGTTTGTTGTACAGCCGCGGATCAGTTATTTACTGGAAACGCATCATAATATGTGAATGCACTAACAGCGCGCTCCTGCACCGCAACACACACTGCAAACGGGTGTGAGACGGACGTTAGATCCACCTACAGTTCTTAGAAACTTAGATGTGTTTAAGAACTCTTTTTTTCGTACAAAAGCGGCACTCATCTTGTTTGTTTATTAGTGGATGCGGATGACCAATCGTAGACTGGAAACTGATATGCCGACTTCTGACAAAAGCGGAAGTTCGAAACTACGCTTGTGCACATAGCCTATAACAGGATCCCTAAAAAGTGTGAATAAGAGAAAAACCACATGGTCCCTAAATTGAGAAGATGACACACAACAAATAAAGAATACTGTAATTATGTGCCTTTATATGTTAACAGTCCATTTTTGCTGATACATCAGTGTTATTTGCGTGTATTATTCTTTTATTCTGAAAATAGACACAAAAGCAACACGATCCCTTAAAAACGTGAAACAATAGAAAAACCGCACGGTCCCTAAGTTAAGCGTGAGCTTACAAACGCGGAAGTTCATATCTTTTAAGGTGGAACGGATAGCGTAAATAAGAAGCTGCGAATAAGAAGCTGGATTCATCCTCCTTTCTTTATGTAGTGTACGCGGACCTATGAATATGTTAATTGGCCCCGCCTCCACATTCACTCGGCCAACTCACTGAGGTAAGTTCTGCAAAAAGCATATGCTTTTTTAGAACACGAGAGTAATGGTGGGATAACGATTTTTTTTATCTAATGTTTTTAATGCCCTTTTATAGAGACTTTCTCTGTTTTTAAGTGTTGTGGGGCCAAAAATGTGCAATGTTACTTAGGCTACTGTTGAATTACGAAAAATAATTGCAGTACAATGAAGTACAACTGCAGTAAAACTGCAGTTTAAAGCAGTATAACTGCAGTACAATGAAGTACAACTGTAGAATTGCAGTATTAACGAAGTATAACTGCAGTATAGATACAATGTGACTGTAGTACATTGAAGTGCAACTGCAGTAAAACCACAGTACAAAAAGTACAACTTCAGAATAGTGAAGTAAAACTGCAGTACAACTGTAGATTTGCAGTATTAACAAAGTATAACTGCAGTATAGATACAATGTGACTGCAGTACAACTGTAGATTTGCCGTATTAACGAAGTATAACTGCAGTATAGATATAATGTGACTGCAGTACAACTGTAGATTTGCCGTATTAACGAAGTATTACTGCAGTATAGATATAATGTGACTGCAGTACAACTGTAGATTTGCAGTATTAACGAAGTATAACTGCAGTATAGATACAATGTGACTAGAGTACATTGAAGTGCAACTGCAGTAAAACAGCAGTACAAAAAGTACAACTTCAGAATAGTGAAGTAAAACTGCAGTACAACTGTAGATTTGCAGTATAATGAAGTAGTTGCAATTAATATCAGTTCAGTGATACACTTTAAAAAGTGATACACTTTTTTTGATAGAGAAAACTAATCAATTTTTTTTTATCTTTTTGTTTTTATTGGGCTCTCAGGCAATGATATCAGTTTTGCCATTAAAAAGGGAAATTACTGAACCTAAATAAAGGAGCAAAAAAAGACAGATGAAGTTTTTGTTTTTTGCATCTGAAGTCTTGGCCTACCAATATTAAACTGTACTGCAGTTCTGCTGTTTTGTGCGAGACATAGCCCATGTGACGAGCTTCCTTCGCGCGCACGCGCCGCGGGCGTTGTCCTGACAACGAGTCTCGAGAGCAGCTGATGCTCATTACTGTCAGTCAGCGTCTTTCCGCGTAGTGTCTGCTCCATAAAATATGGTTTGGTTGATTTCCTCACTGAAATTATCGTTCATATAGGTTCATATTTATGAACTATCACAATTAAAACACAAAGACATGACAGCATTACTCGTGGTGACGACGGTCATTAACAAGTGGAATGGAAGAGAAGCGTTTTCTGGAAGCAAAAAAGAAGTTCATTGCGCGAGGCCTTGTCAAGTCATTCAGCTTAGAGGTGAGTAAATTATAACATATAATGTCCTCATATTTCTCTTTTTTTATTTTAGATTGGTGTAAAAAAGACTTTACGTATATGTTGTTCAACCCGGTGGGAAAATAAGAGGAAACGCCGCTTCTATTCTGTAATGTTAGTTTTACCATTCTCCGGTTTAACGTTACACTGTTTAACTGCGTCACAGCAGATTGTGTAACTTATGTTTGCCCTTTGCAGCATATTGTCTATCACTTTTAACAGATTTTTTTTTAAAACTATCTGTATTGTATGAAGTGCTATACACGGTGACTTTACTTGTTTAAATTTAATATCAGGAATATTAGATATATCAGACACTAACTTACTGGAAAATACAAGCAAATTATGTTCAGTAGTTTGACATTATGTGTAGAAAAGATTTTTTTTTTTTTTTTTTTTTAAGTAGGCTAACTTACTTTTTTTGTGTGATTGCTATTTCCAGGAAAATGTACTGGTAACAACTAAAAACAGAAGACGATGGCTGGGGTGAAACAAATATGCACTCACAGACTTTAAAAATTGTGTGTCTCTGCTTTTTTCCAGAAATGCATGTTATTGGGCAAATTGTGTAGACTGTCAATGGAGTGACAGAAAGATTTCATCAAAAATATCTTCAGTTGTGTTCCCCGTGTCTTGCGGGGTTGGAATGACATGAGGGTGAGTAATTTAACTTTTTATCTGGAGTGTTCAAACTCATTATTAATGCTGAACAATAAACCATAAATTAACATAAATAGGATGTAATTCAATAAGATTAAATCTAATATGGATATGTCTAGATATAGAATAACATTTTGCTAAAGAAAACCTCAAAAAGGTTCATTATAGATACAGTAAGATACAGTAAACACCTGTTCACTGGTCATTTTCCACAGCTGTATGCAAAGGCAAGTGGGCTTCTCCTGGGAGACTAAATTAATCACCTAGTTTAGTGCTGTCTACTGTTTTAGAAGAGGAAGTTGCTCAACTGCATTTGTGAGAAAATTGAGCCGAGATCTCTTATATAAAGCCAAGTGTTAGGGACGCACGATGACATCAGCACGACATCGGTATCAGCCGATAAAAGCTTAATGATCATCGGTATCGGCCGATAGTAATATCTCTGCCGATGAGCCTTGCCAATATGTGGTGGATATACTATGCGCACGTGACGACCGTGAACGTAGCATGAGCGCCAGCAACTTAAATGTCCAGCTGTGTGGAGGAAAAGGTGCGCTTCAGTATCGAGTTCTTTTTCAGGCTTGAACAAACCATAACACACACACAATATGTGCCAAAATGTCAGTTTTGTCGAGTGTCCTCATTAGAGCAGTTTTAAAGGTCCCCTGACATTTTTTTTTATTATTATTTTATAATGTTTCCTGGGTTGCCCTTATGTTAGTATGTTTTTTAGATCAAAAATAGTCATAATTTCATAATTTCAAATGACTCAGAGCCGGTGTTGTGCCTATTTTCCACCCTCCGCCAGCGGAGCGCTGATGAGGGGGCGATCACATTAACACATGTCACCACTCACCACTCTTTTGCCATGTTCAATATTCTCCCCAACACTTTTTAAAACATCTTCGTGGCAAGGATGTACCAATACAAAATAATAAAACATCTCCAGTTAACTTTCAGACCATTCAATTTGTTTGTTTGTCAAATTAGAGTCCATCTAGCTCTGAAATGTGTTGTTTTTTTAAATCAAGTGATCACTTTTTGGCAGGTAAAATACTGCATTATAATGGTTGTATTGGCCCTTTACAGGTATTTTAATAGGTCAAAAGTACTGGGTGAGTAATAATCAGTCAGATTTAACCTCATTAATATAAGCAACACATTTCAGGGCAGAAATAACCTTTCAATCAATAAGTAGAGGCTTCAATCACTGAAGGTTGGTTGTAATAATGGTTGTACTGGGTGAGTGATGTTTATTTGCACGTTATGTCTGCTTGATCCACATAAAAGCAACTGCATTCGTAAAGTGAATGGGCGATACACCTGTGACACGCGGCGCGCGCTCCCGCGGCCGGCCATCAATCTTCGGCGGACCATCACTTTTCGGCTACGAGTCATTTGAAATACAATAAACGTACAAATAAATATTACAGATTAAAAAACGATCGGAAATGTCGTCCAATTTTCTAATACTATTGTTTGATGACAACAATACATTTGGAAAACAAAATACAGCCATTTCTGATTTTTTCTTTTAAACAAAAAACCAAGTTGCACCCTTTTTTAAATGTCATCTTTCATTCCGAAATAGAATAATGAATGAACGAAAAAGTACACGGGCCGTGCGTGTATTTTTTTATATATATATATATTATTATATGGGGGGAAATGTGTATAAATATCGGTATCAGCCAAAATGAGTTTGCAAATATCGGCATATCGAATATCGGCCAAAATCCAATAATTTGCGTCCCTACCAAGTGTCTCACACTGCATTTTCGCTCAAATTGACCTTTTCACTTGCGCATTGCTTGCTTTGTTTATGAGTCGAGTTTTCCTTTAACCCTTTGATGCGCAAGCTATGGATACCCCTTCTAATGCGCAACATGGGTCTAAAAAGACCCGTATTCATTTCCTATGGTATTTCAGTGATGGCTGAGTGTTTTCTTTGCTAATCTTTAAAATATATGTATTTTATCATTTGTTATTCCAGGTTTTCATTAAATATCTTGTTTTTGATTTCCACAAATCATTGGGTTTATGTTTCCTTTCTTACTTTATAAACAAACACAGTTTTTGTATTTCTACATCAATTTTACATACATGGGTCTAAAAAGACCCGTATTCATTTCCTATGTTATTTAATGCATGGCTGGACTTTTCTTTTCTTTTTATCTTTTGAGATCAATTTATTTAAGCATTTAATATTCCATTATCTATAAATTTCATGATTTATAAATATTTAAAAAATATTTTTTTTCAATTACCAAAAATATTTTTTTTTCTTTTTTTTTCTAGGTTTTGTGTTACTATATCAAATGTACTTATCAAGCATAATAAAACAAAAGAATAAAGACAACTTTTTGTTAAATTAATCATCTTAGAAGTAATTTAGACAACACATTTAACACTTGAAATGTTTATTTGCCACTTTGTCTCGCATAGCATTCACATGTCACAGATAACTGATAACTGATAACACTGACATTGAACTGTGGTGTAGTGTAACTCTATTGAATTGTGGTGAATGTGATCAAAGAAAAGAAAACAGAAAAAATAAAATCACACTGGTACAGCGGCATCTCAAATTGCCATCTTAGTGCTTACATGCCTCACAAATGACAACTACATGTTTGTGCTCCTTGCACACAGGCCTGGTGCTCTGGGAACACCAGCTGCTGAATTGTCTTTAGCAGAGCTGGGCATCATTTCAATCATAGAATGATTTCAGTATAAGAATCATTTCAGCATATGAATGATTATGAACTGTTAGGCCTACTAAATGTAAATAAGCTTTAAAAAACAATCTTTTTTTTTTAGTGTATAGTTAACATTAGCTAGCTAGAATATGTCAACAGCTAGCTAGCTAATAGTATTGGACATGTTTCTCCTCACAAGTAATTTCTCACTAGGTTTACAAGGTCAAGGTAACCATAGCCTAATATTGAGATATTATGTTGTAATCTTTTACAATATATAAAAAAATGTCTGTGGTTAAAATAAAATAAGATTAATAATAATTTTTGACCCATGTATGTAAAATTGATGTAGAAATAAATAAATAAAAAACCTAACATAATGATTTGTGGAAATTAAAAACAAGATATTTAATGAATACCTGGAATAAGAAATGATTAAAAAACATATTTTAAATTAAAGATTCAGCAAAGAAACACTCAGACATCACTGAAATAACATAGCAAATGAATATGGGTAATTTTAGACCCATGTATGTAAAATTGATGTAGAAATACAAAAACTGTGTTTGTTTATAAAGTAAGAAAGGAAACATAAACATAATGAGTTGTGTAAATCAAAAAATAAGATATTTAATGAATACCTGGAATAAGAAATGATAAAAAAACATATATTTTAAAGATTCAGCAAAGAAACACTCAGCCATCACTGAAATACCATAGGAAATGAATACGGGTCTTTTTAGACCCATGTTGCGCATTAGAGGGGTTGCTATACAAAAACTATTTTTATTCAAAAAGTAAGAAAGGAAAAATAAAAATAAGGATTTGTGATGATCAAAAACAAGTTAATTGAGGAATACCTGGAATACTGAATGATGAAATTAATTTCTTGCAAAGATATAGAAAATGAAAACTGAGTCGGGTCTATTTAGACCCATGTTGTGCATCAAAGGGTTAAAAAGCAGATTGAGTTTGTTTGCAAATGCTGGATTTGTTTGTTTAATTATGGCACATTATTAATTCCATTGAATAACTCCTATTTCAAAAAACAGTGGCGTGTTCCTGCATTAACTTGCAGATTCATTTTAAGCATGATATATGCCTGTGGTGAAGAGTAACTGAAAAGATTGTCTCTGATTCTTTTTGTTTGTTTATTACAGACTACTTCCAAAATTGTGTTTCCACATCTGAGATGAAGGCAGTGAAAAGAACGAAGTGGAATAAGAATAAGCTCTTCAAAAAACACAACTTCTCTGAATAATGTGGGGGAAGATGTTTGCATGATTTGTAAATAAACACTTTAAATACATTGTCTAACTCTCAGCCTGTTATTTGAAATAAAATAAAAATAAAAATCACGTTATTTGTTGCATTGCAGTTTGAGACATTCACTGTTTTGTACCTTAATTCATTATTGCAGATGTGTGAACTTATTTGGGATATTCTGGTTGTATTCCAATGGTATTGTACAGCATTTTATTTGTATTGCATTTCAGTAGTATTGTACTTTAGTCGAATTATGTATTGCAGTGCTTCCGCAGCTATATTGCAGTATTATTGCAGTACTACCGCAGTTATATTGTAGTACTACTGCACTTATATTGCAGATCTACCGCAGTTATATTGCAGTATTATTGTAGTACTACTGCAGTTATATTGCAATATTATTGTAGTACTACTGCAGTTATATTGCAATATTATTGTAGTACTACTGCAGTTATATTGCAATATTATTGTAGTACTACTGCAGTTATATTGCAATATTATTGTAGTACTACTGCAGTTATATTGCAATATTATTGTAGTACTACTGCAGTTATATTGCAATATTATTGTAGTACTACTGCAGTTATATTGCAATATTATTGTAGTACTACTGCAGTTATATTGCAATATTATTGTAGTACTACTGCAGTTATATTGCAATATTATTGTAGTACTACTGCAGTTATATTGCAATATTATTGTAGTACTACTGCAGTTATATTGCAATATTATTGTAGTACTACTGCAGTTATATTGCAATATTATTGTAGTACTACTGCAGTTATATTGCAGTATTATTGTAGTACTACTGCAGTTATATTGCAGTATTATTGTAGTACTACTGCAGTTATATTGCAGTATTACCGCAGTTATATTGCAATATTATTGGAGTACTACTCCAGTTATATTGCAATATTATTGGAGTACTTCTGCAGTTATATTGCAGTATTACCGCAGTTATTGCAATATTATTGGAGTACTTCTGCAGTTATATTGCAGTATTACTGCAGTTATATTGCAGTATTATTGTAATACTACCGCAGTTATATTGCAGTATTATTGTAATACTACCGCAGTTATGTTGCAGTTCTACTGCAGTTGTACTCCAACTACTGTATACTGCAATAATGCAGTTTTTTCGTGTCCAAAAAACGGCATTTTTTACATGCAGTATTACTTCTAAAAAAACTGCAGTAATTTTTTGTAAGGAATTACACTGCTTTACTGGGCTTGCCTGTTTGTTTTTTAATAGCAAGTTATGGATAACATTATCATGAAGTGTGAATTACATATAGAGAGTAAAAGAAAAGTGGTGATTGTGTGAATCACACCGTTGCAAACAGAGTCCGATCGAATCTAAAAAACATAAGTGTTTCGCCCTCCTGTGGTGATTTGTGTGAATTACACCGCTGCAAATTTCTTCTGTCTTCTCTGTTCTGTCCTTATGTTAAAATACATACATACATAACGTTACACACACACACATATATATATATATATATATATATATATATATATATATATATATATATATATATATATATATATATATATATATATATATATACAAAAAACTAGACTTTCTCATTCAAAGGAAATCATTATTTTCTGCACCACAGAGCTTGTCAAACATGTTGCTGCTGTAATTTCACAGGAACTTTAATCCAAAGTCTCAGATGTGATCTGACGAGAGCTTGACAACATGACACTTGATGACAATCACAACAACGCGAGCAGATCCTGCAGATGGGAAGATGACAGCTCTTAATGTCACTTTAACAGCACATATTACAGCTCAACCGCAAATAAAACCGACGCAATCAAACGACACATAAATGAGGAACCGAGTACGGCACAAGACTCACCTGTAAGTAACTTTTACTTTAGCATGAAGTCAAGTTCTCTTGTCAGTCGCTATTGTAGCGTTACCTTTTTAATCTTTGAATGAATCGCCCTCTGATATTCACACTGTAAAGTGTAATAAGAAGGACTCAGTTGATATTGCAGTGTTTTCTGGGTGTATGTGAGAGTCAGCAGGAGTTGTGTCTTGTGTGAAGCTCTGATGTTCTCCTGTTGCTTCCTGCTTTTATTCTACTTCCTGTTATGACTGGGATCTGAGAGTGAAAACTGCCTTTAGAATGGTATGCAATTAAAATGTCACAGTATTACTACAAGCATGAAACAATACAAGTAAAGAGCAGTGACTAGACACTTTGCAATTGGTTTTCTTTGCATAGCATTTCTAATATTGTTCTGATGTTTTTGTAGGTTTGGCTTTCTGTGAATGGGGAGTTAGTTTTTAGTTCTGTGTGTTCAGTGTTTTTATAATTGTGTGTGGCCTGTAAGACAGTGATTAAGTTGAATCTCTAGTTGTTGTTACATGTATAAGATTCAAATGAATCGTCCTCTGATTTATGTGTAGTGAAGTAGAATAATAAGCAATTGTTTCTAGTCTCTTTTGTTATTAGTTGTCTTACTTTATGTAATAATAATCTAGCGGATTGATGCGTGTTAATAGAATCAGTTGATGTGTGTGTGTGTGAAGTGTGTGTCTGCTGCTTGTATTGTATCGTAGAGATGCAGTGCCTTTCTTCTAATGAAAACTGCCAGGATCAATCCTTGTGCAGGAACATGTCTTTTAGGGTTACTGTTGTGTGAAGGAAGGTTTCATCTTAAAGTTATAACTCCACTTGGGCAGTTCTTTACAGTGTACATGTTTAAGCATCAAGCGTCAGCGCTCGCACCGAAGGCTTTATTTCTATTCAGTGTTTGTGTCCATTTGTAGCCTGTAAAACTGTAATTCAAATCATAGATTATTATTGATACAGCCTTACTGAACTATACTATATTATTATAATAGTAATATATTTTCACACTGTACAACTTTAGGCTTTTAATTTATTCCATTTCCTTTTATTAACTAGTCTTTAGACTAACTTTCACATTGTCATTTATAGATGTAGAATATTGAGTATTTCTAAAACTAATCTTTTTTTTTCTTGTCTTTCCTTACAGAAGGAATGTGTTTGGACCATTACATCCAGTCATCAGAAGCAGAGCTGTGGGACGTGTGGACAGACATTGACTGTAATGATGGACTTCTGCTGATGGACAGGTATGTACATGCTTATGTTTTACTGTGCTAAACATGTAGGTTCCCATCATTTTCTTTTTGGAGGGTGACCCCTTTAAAAAGCAAATGATGGGAACCTAAATAGGTGGGGAAGGGACGGCAGGGCAAAATTTTTAGACAGCTAAATTTTTAATGTATAAAAAAAGCATAACCCCTGCTGTCCATTGTGGCGGGGCTCGGGGGGGGGGGGACCCGAATCATCCCCGGCCCCCTTCACACATACAGCATTCTCTCGTATCGCGGAGATCTGGCTGGGATCGAACCAGCAACCTCTGAACCCGTGAGGCAGCGCCCTTACCTGTGAGCCACAGATCTCTTGCTGATACATGTGCTGGAACTTATATTTCACTCTTCGAGCCCTGCGATTTTACAATAAATCATGCTGAGGTGGGGATCGAACCCACGTCTCCAGTGCAACCCATCAGCCGAGAACGTGTGTTGAGCCACTGCACCACTGAATTTTGTCTGTATCATGTTTTATTTAATATTTATTCAAATGTATCTGAAGGGAGGAATATTACCTTTTTTTGTTGTAATTTCCGCCTACCCAGATCTAAAGTCCCCCCATACCCATATGCAATGCTATAAATGCAAAATTCCAGTGTCATATTACAGAAAACCCTTTGTCATTTCATAAAACACTGTTGAAAGTGGTAAATATTTTAGTGTATGTTGTCTGTGTTATAATAAACAAAAACAAAAGAGACGCTTTTTGATTTTTAGGTTATAAATTCATTTTTGAAAGTGTAGATCTCAGGCCCTGTGTGCTCTAGCACCATGCAGACAGTTTTGGTTGATTCCAGCACATGTCAGCAAACACTGGAAAAAAGAATTATGTCTCTATCATATTGTAAGGAAGAGTTATTCTAAAGCACCCGAAGGGTGGTAAAATACCTTTTTTTTGTCATTCAAGTATCCAAGTTCCCCACCTGACGCTTTTTACTGCCTAATATAACAGACACAGTGTCCTGTGTTTCTCTGCCTTCAGACAGACTCCAGCTTCTCTACATAGGACAAGTGTTTGGAGAATCCTGGATGGAGAGCAGGCATGTGTGCATGAAACCAGAGACCAGATTAATGTGTTCATGTACCCCACCTTGTGGACACTAAGTGTATCTGCATTAATATATGAAAACAGCATGAAGAGGAAAGAGATTTAAAAAAAAGTCCCTAATCCTGCTCCTGATGAGCCACTTTCCTGAGTTTATCTCCAACCCTGTAAAAAACCGCTCTAGCAGCTGAACAATAAATTGTTGTTTTAATGAATGCTGTTGCTAAACTAAAAAAACAACCACAATGAACCATATCAAACATCACACAAATGCCGTGGCTCAGTGGCTAATCATTTGTCTTTCATTCAGTTCTTGGTCCAAATCCCACAGTTGCTAATATTTTTATCACAGAAAACAAAGCCCTCAATAAACTCAAAAGAGTTCAGTAAATAAATGGTTGCGTTTGAATCTTAGATTGCCTATGTTAAAATGCATATCCAACAAACTGCACCAAACAACAGATGATATTGTGAAAGCCACGATGGTGCAGTGGTTAAACACAACACATTTTCCAACTCTTCCTAATCAATCACACCTGAATCGACTCATCAGCTCGTTAGTAGAGACTCCAAAACCAGACATATATGGGTCAGATAAGAAAGACGTCGAGGGGTGTGCAATGTTGGTGTGGCTCTTGGAACAGGTTTGTAAAATACTTGTATAGCTCGTAGAAGGAGTCTGTATGTTAACTTGTTGTTTTGGATTAACATCAAAGTGACATTTAATTCTATTTTGTAGCTTGATTGATATCTTACAGATGCTGTTGCATTGGTTTAATTGCTCATAAAATGAGCATGCGTTTTCACCTCCTATGATCTATATTTATTCTATAAACAATCACTTTGTTTCTTTCGGAGATTTGTAGCTTCCTAGGGGAAGTTATTAGTGAAATTTGAAGTGTTTCTGATCGTCTCACTGCTGTCTGTTTGTAGGGATCTCTTGGTTTGAGCTGCTGGAGGTCATGAGGAAAAGCAGTGAGTGACTTTGCATGGAGTATTTTGAGAGGAGCAACCGCCGAACTGTTATGCATCTGAGCCTTTTCCTGACTCAACCTGTTTCTGTTTTGAACTGGCATGTTTTTGACAATGATCTACTTAAGTTTGTGTCCAATAAAATGGTAAATGTGACATTTGTGTGCTGTTCATGATTTCCAGCTGATCTTGGCTTTCTAAACATCAACACCTCCTGTTACTGACTCTGTTGATCAGTCAATTAACTAATTATTCAGATGATGTGTGGCCCACGTGGTTTAGTTTGTCTATTAATTTGGACAAGCTGTGACTGATTTGCAATTTAATGATTGCCAAGATAAAACAGACCAGTTAAGATTTCCTCATTACAAATCCAGTTTATTAATGTATTTGTAGTCTGAATTTTTCAGCATGTGTGTAAGTGGGAATGCCTTTCAAGTGCTGGTTGGTTTCCCCATGAAAGCAACAGCTGAGATTTGAACCTTGATGGAGTGCAGGTACAATCAACAGTAAAGGGGAGTGTCCATAAGCCACGCCCAAAAGGGGGAGTGTCCATAAGCCACGCCCAAAAGGGGGAGTGTCCATAAGCCACGCCCAAAAGGGAGGAGTGTCCATAAGCCACGCCCAAAAGGGAGGAGTGTCCATAAGCCACGCCCAAAAGGGAGGAGTGTCCATAAGCCACGCCCAAAATGTTGACTTAGGCTTTTTTGTGAAAAATTTTTACATGTAATTTTTTGAAAATTTGGACTCCTTTTACATAACCGCTGCTTGAGATTGTCTTGGAAGTCCCAGGGGGAGCGGTTTGGATATGTACTCCCCCCTTCGTGTCCTGCCTTCTCTCATCCTGGTCATGACCTGATCCGCTCAGTTTTGCAGCTTGTCACAGCTCACGACTGGATGTCCTTCACGCAACCATGCTTCACATACCAGGCTGGGGTTTGAACCCAGATCCTTCTGACCCCAGGAGGACATGCTCAGACCACTGAGCCACTGGTACTTCCACTCTTACTTATGAATTTTTGGTAATTTTGTCTTTTTTATTTGTTGAAAAACCATTGAAGCTAAACACCACAAGAGAGAGACTCGAACCTGGGTTGCCCACACCAAGATCAAACACTCAGACCACTGAGCCACCAGCACTTCCACTCTTACTCACCAATTTTTGGTAATTTTGTCTTTTTTATTTGTTGAAAAACCAATGAAATTAAACACCACAAGAGAGAGACTCGAACCTGGGTTGCCCACAACAAGCTCTACCGCTCAGACCACTAAGCCACCAGCACTTCCACTCTTACTCATCAATTTTTGGTAATTTTGTCTTTTTTATTTGTTGAAAAACCAATGAAACTAAACACCACAAGAGAGAGACTCGAACCTGGGTTGCCCACATCAAGATCTACCGCTCAGACCACTAAGCCACCAGCACTTCCACTCTTACTCATCAATTTTTGGTACTTTTGTCTTTTTTATTTGTTGAAAAACCAATGAAACTAAACACCGCAAGAGAGATTTGAACCTGGATTGCCCACGCCAAGATCTAACGGTCAGACCACTAAGCCACTGGCTCTTCCACTCTTATCTGTCAATTTTTGGTAAATAAAAATGTCCTCATGTGGTGATTTGTGTGAATTACACCTTTGCAAATAGAGTCTAAATAAACTTAAAAATATTTTGCCCACCTATGGTGATTTGTCTGAATTACACCGTTGCAAATCGAGTCTAAATAAACACAAAAGTGTTTCACCTTCTTGTGGTGACATTACCGCAAATCGGCTTAACCCACCTGCCGAGATCTTCGTGAATTACATCGTCTAACGAGCTAGTGTAAATGCGCTACACTTCTGTAAGAGGGTGAGAGGAGAAAAACGAACTTCCAAACAGAACTATTTACACTATCTATGTTCCGTCCTGTCTTCTGTTCAAAATTCAAATAGATATATTTGCAAATAAAAACACCAAAACAATATAAGTCCAAAGAATGTAAAACGGGGGTCGCCCTCCTGTGGTGATTTGTGTGAATTAAACCATTGCAAATCAAGTTTAATAAACATAAAAGAGGGTCGCCCTCTGTGGTGATTTGTGTGAATTAAAATGATGCAAATCAAGTCTAATAAACAGAAAAGTGTTGCGCCCTCCTGTGGTGATTTGTGTGAATTACATCGTCGCAAATCGAGTCTAAATAAACTTACAAACGTTTCGCCCTCCTATGGTGATTTGTGTGAATTACACCGTTGCAAATCGAGTCTAAATAAACATAAAAATGTTTTGCCCTCCTGTGGTGATTTGTGTGAATTACACAGTTTCAAATCAAGCGTAATAAACATGAAAGAGTGTCACCCTCCTGCAGTGATTTGTGTGAATTACACCATTGCAAATCAAATGTAATAAACATAAAAGAGTGTAGACCCTCAGTGGTGATTTCTGTGAATTACACCATTGCAAGTCAAGTCTTATAAACATAAAAGTGTTGCCCCCTCATGCGGTGATTTTAGGCCTAACAAATTCAGTCTTATTACCGCAAATCAGCTTAACCCACCTGCGGAGATTTTTGTGAAAACTACATCGTCTAACGAGCTAGTGTAAATGCGCTACACTTCTGTAAGAGGGTGAGAGGAGAAAAACATAAGAACTTCCAAACAGAACTATTTACACTATCTATGTTCCGTCCTGTCTTCTGTTCAAAATTCAAATAGATATATTTGCAAATAAAAACAACAAAACAATATAAGTCCAATGAATGTAAAAGTGTTTCGACCTCCTGTGGTGATTTGTGTGAATGACACCGTTAAAAAGACCAGTTAAGATTTCCTCATTACAAATCCAGTTTATTAATGTATTTGTAGTCTGAATTTTTCAGCATGTGTGTAAGTGGGAATGCCTTTCAAGTGCTGGTTGGTTTCCCCATGAAAGCAACAGCTGAGATTTGAACCTTGATGGAGTGCAGGTACAATCAACAGTAAAGGGGAGTGTCCATAAGCCACGCCCAAAAGGGGGAGTGTCCATAAGCCACGCCCAAAAGGGGGAGTGTCCATAAGCCACGCCCAAAAGGGAGGAGTGTCCATAAGCCACGCCCAAAAGGGAGGCGTGTCCATAAGCCACGCCCAAAAGGGAGGAGTGTCCATAAGCCACGCCCAAAATGTTGACTTAGGCTTTTTTGTGAAAAATTTTTACATGTAATTTTTTGAAAATTTGGACTCCTTTTACATAACCGCTGCTTGAGATTGTCTTGGAAGTCCCAGGGGGAGCGGTTTGGATATGTACTCCCCCCTTCGTGTCCTGCCTTCTCTCATCCTGGTCATGACCTGATCCGCTCAGTTTTGCAGCTTGTCACAGCTCACGACTGGATGTCCTTCACGCAACCATGCTTCACATACCAGGCTGGGGTTTGAACCCAGATCCTTCTGACCCCAGGAGGACATGCTCAGACCACTGAGCCACTGGTACTTCCACTCTTACTTATGAATTTTTGGTAATTTTGTCTTTTTTATTTGTTGAAAAACCATTGAAGCTAAACACCACAAGAGAGAGACTCGAACCTGGGTTGCCCACACCAAGATCAAACACTCAGACCACTGAGCCACCAGCACTTCCACTCTTACTCACCAATTTTTGGTAATTTTGTCTTTTTTATTTGTTGAAAAACCAATGAAATTAAACACCACAAGAGAGAGACTCGAACCTGGGTTGCCCACAACAAGCTCTACCGCTCAGACCACTAAGCCACCAGCACTTCCACTCTTACTCATCAATTTTTGGTAATTTTGTCTTTTTTATTTGTTGAAAAACCAATGAAACTAAACACCACAAGAGAGAGACTCGAACCTGGGTTGCCCACATCAAGATCTACCGCTCAGACCACTAAGCCACCAGCACTTCCACTCTTACTCATCAATTTTTGGTACTTTTGTCTTTTTTATTTGTTGAAAAACCAATGAAACTAAACACCGCAAGAGAGATTTGAACCTGGATTGCCCACGCCAAGATCTAACGGTCAGACCACTAAGCCACTGGCTCTTCCACTCTTATCTGTCAATTTTTGGTAAATAAAAATGTCCTCATGTGGTGATTTGTGTGAATTACACCTTTGCAAATAGAGTCTAAATAAACTTAAAAATATTTTGCCCACCTATGGTGATTTGTCTGAATTACACCGTTGCAAATCGAGTCTAAATAAACACAAAAGTGTTTCACCTTCTTGTGGTGACATTACCGCAAATCGGCTTAACCCACCTGCCGAGATCTTCGTGAATTACATCGTCTAACGAGCTAGTGTAAATGCGCTACACTTCTGTAAGAGGGTGAGAGGAGAAAAACGAACTTCCAAACAGAACTATTTACACTATCTATGTTCCGTCCTGTCTTCTGTTCAAAATTCAAATAGATATATTTGCAAATAAAAACACCAAAACAATATAAGTCCAAAGAATGTAAAACGGGGGTCGCCCTCCTGTGGTGATTTGTGTGAATTAAACCATTGCAAATCAAGTTTAATAAACATAAAAGAGGGTCGCCCTCTGTGGTGATTTGTGTGAATTAAAATGATGCAAATCAAGTCTAATAAACAGAAAAGTGTTGCGCCCTCCTGTGGTGATTTGTGTGAATTACATCGTCGCAAATCGAGTCTAAATAAACTTACAAACGTTTCGCCCTCCTATGGTGATTTGTGTGAATTACACCGTTGCAAATCGAGTCTAAATAAACATAAAAATGTTTTGCCCTCCTGTGGTGATTTGTGTGAATTACACAGTTTCAAATCAAGCGTAATAAACATGAAAGAGTGTCACCCTCCTGCAGTGATTTGTGTGAATTACACCATTGCAAATCAAATGTAATAAACATAAAAGAGTGTAGACCCTCAGTGGTGATTTCTGTGAATTACACCATTGCAAGTCAAGTCTTATAAACATAAAAGTGTTGCCCCCTCATGCGGTGATTTTAGGCCTAACAAATTCAGTCTTATTACCGCAAATCAGCTTAACCCACCTGCGGAGATTTTTGTGAAAACTACATCGTCTAACGAGCTAGTGTAAATGCGCTACACTTCTGTAAGAGGGTGAGAGGAGAAAAACATAAGAACTTCCAAACAGAACTATTTACACTATCTATGTTCCGTCCTGTCTTCTGTTCAAAATTCAAATAGATATATTTGCAAATAAAAACAACAAAACAATATAAGTCCAATGAATGTAAAAGTGTTTCGCCCTCCTGTGGTGATTTGTGTGAATTACACCGTTGCAAATCGAGTCTAAAAAACATGAGTGCTGCGCCCTCCTGTGGTGATGTGTGTGAATTACACCATTGCAAATCAAGTGTAATAAACTTAAAAGAGTGTCACCCTCCTGTGGTGATTTGTGTGAATTACACCATTGCAAATCAAGTGTAATAAACATAAAAGAGTGTTTCCCTCCAGTGGTGATTTGTGTGAATTACACCATTGCAAATCAAGTGTAATAAACTTAAAAGAGTGTTTCCCTCCAGTGGTGATTTGTGTGAATTACACCATTGCAAATCAAGTGTGATAAACTTAAAAGAGTGTTTCCCTCCAGTGGTGATTTGTGTGAATTACACCATTGCAAATCAAGTGTAATAAACTTAAAAGAGTGTCACCCTCCTGTGGTGATTTGTGTGAATTACACCATTGCAAATCAAGTGTAATAAACATAAAAGAGTGTTTCCCTCCAGTGGTGATTTGTGTGAATTACACCATTGCAAATCAAGTGTAATAAACTTAAAAGAGTGTCACCCTCCTGTGGTGATTTGTGTGAATTACACCATTGCAAATCAAGTGTAATAAACATAAAAGAGTGTTTCCCTCCAGTGGTGATTTGTGTGAATTACACCATTGCAAATCAAGTGTGATAAACTTAAAAGAGTGTCACCCTCCTGTGGTGATTTGTGTGAATTACACCATTGCAAATCAAGTGTAATAAACATAAAAGAGTGTTTCCCTCCAGTGGTGATTTGTGTGAATTACACCATTGCAAATCAAGTGTATAAAACATAAAAGAGTGTATCCCTCCTTTGGTGATTTGTGTGAATTAGACCATTGCACCTCAATTCTAATAAATATAAAAGAGTCGCCCCCTCATGTGGTGATTGTAGGCCTTGCGAATTCAGTCTTATTCCCGAGAATCAGCTTAACCCATCAGCGGAGATCTATGTAAACTACATCGTCTAACGAGCTAGTGTAAATGCGCTACACTTCTGTAAGAGGGTGAGAGGAGAAAAACATAAGAACTTCCAAACAGAACTATTTACACTATCTATGTTCCGTCCTGTCTTCTGTTCAAAATTCAAATAGATATATTTGCAAATAAAAACAACAAAACAATATAAGTCCAATGAACATAAAAGTGTTTCGCCCTCTTGTGGTCATTTGTGTGAATTACACAGTTGCAAATCGAGTCTAAATAAACTTAGAAATGTTTCGCCCTCCTGTGGTGATTTGTGTGAATTACACCGTTGCAAATCAAGTGTAATAAACATAAGAGTGTCGCCCTCCTGTGGTGATTTGTGTGAATTACACCGCTGCAAATCGAGTCTAAAAAACATAAGTGGTGTGCCCTCCTGTGGTGATTTGTGTGAATTACACCGCTGCAAATCGAGTCTAAAAAACATAAGTGGTGTGCCCTCCTGTGGTGATTTGTGTGAATTACACCGCTGCAAATCGAGTCTAAAAAACATAAGTGGTGTGCCCTCCTGTGGTGATTTGTGTGAATTACATATAGAGAGTAAAAGAAAAGTGGTGATTGTGTGAATCACACCGTTGCAAACCGAGTCCGATCGAATCTAAAAAACATAAGTGTTTCGCCCTCCTGTGGTGATTTGTGTGAATTACACCGCTGCAAATTTCTTCTGTCTTCTCTGTTCTGTCCTTATGTTAAAATACATACATAACGTTACACACACACACACACACACATATATATATATATATATATATATATATATATATATATATATATATACAAAAAACTAGACTTTCTCATTCAAAGGAAATCATTATTTTCTGCACCACAGAGCTTGTCAAACATGTTGCTGCTGTAATTTCACAGGAACTTTAATCCAAAGTCTCAGATGTGATCTGACGAGAGTAAAGTGCAGTTTTCCTCCGCTCCTCAAGGCGGCAGAAGCGGGTTCTCCTTCAGTCTGACGCTTCTGCTGCTTGACAACATGACACTTGATGACAATCACAACAACGCGAGCAGATCCTGCAGATGGGAAGATGACAGCTCTTAATGTCACTTTAACAGCACATATTACAGCTCAACCGCAAATAAAACCGACGCAATCAAACGACACATAAATGAGGAACCGAGTACGGCACAAGACTCACCTGTAAGTAACTTTTACTTTAGCATGAAGTCAAGTTCTCTTGTCAGTCGCTATTGTAGCGTTACCTTTTTAATCTTTGAATGAATCGCCCTCTGATATTCACACTGTAAAGTGTAATAAGAAGGACTCGGTTGATATTGCAGTGTTTTCTGGGTGTATGTGAGAGTCAGCAGGAGTTGTGTCTTGTGTGAAGCTCTGATGTTCTCCTGTTGCTTCCTGCTTTTATTCTACTTCCTGTTATGACTGGGATCTGAGAGTGAAAACTGCCTTTAGAATGGTATGCAATTAAAATGTCACAGTATTACTACAAGCATGAAACAATACAAGTAAAGAGCAGTGACTAGACACTTTGCAATTGGTTTTCTTTGCATAGCATTTCTAATATTGTTCTGATGTTTTTGTAGGTTTGGCTTTCTGTGAATGGGGAGTTAGTTTTTAGTTCTGTGTGTTCAGTGTTTTTATAATTGTGTGTGGCCTGTAAGACAGTGATTAAGTTGAATCTCTAGTTGTTGTTACATGTATAAGATTCAAATGAATCGTCCTCTGATTTATGTGTAGTGAAGTAGAATAATAAGCAATTGTTTCTAGTCTCTTTTGTTATTAGTTGTCTTACTTTATGTAATAATAATCTAGCGGATTGATGCGTGTTAATAGAATCAGTTGATGTGTGTGTGTGTGAAGTGTGTGTCTGCTGCTTGTATTGTATCGTAGAGATGCAGTGCCTTTCTTCTAATGAAAACTGTCAGGATCAATCCTTGTGCAGGAACATGTCTTTTAGGGTTACTGTTGTGTGAAGGAAGGTTTCATCTTAAAGTTATAACTCCACTTGGGCAGTTCTTTACAGTGTACATGTTTAAGCATCAAGCGTCAGCGTAACCCCTGCTGTCCATTGTGGCGGGGCTCGGGGGGGGACCCGAATCATCCCCGCCCCTTCACACATACAGCATTCTCTCGTATCGCGGAGATCTGGCTGGGATCGAACCAGCAACCTCTGAACGCGTGAGGCAGCGCCCTTACCTGTGAGCCACAGATCTCTTGCTGATACATGTGCTGGAACTTATATTTCACTCTTCGAGCCCTGCGATTTTACAATAAATCATGCTGAGGTGGGGATCGAACCCACGTCTCCAGTGCAACCCATCAGCCGAGAACGTGTGTTGAGCCACTGCACCACTGAATTTTGTCTGTATCATGTTTTATTTAATATTTATTCAAATGTATCTGAAGGGAGGAATATTACCTTTTTTTGTTGTAATTTCCGCCTACCCAGATCTAAAGTCCCCCCATACCCATATGCAATGCTATAAATGCAAAATTCCAGTGTCATATTACAGAAAACCCTTTGTCATTTCATAAAACACTGTTGAAAGTGGTAAATATTTTAGTGTATGTTGTCTGTGTTATAATAAACAAAAACAAAAGAGACGCTTTTTGATTTTTAGGTTATAAATTCATTTTTGAAAGTGTAGATCTCAGGCCCTGTGTGCTCTAGCACCATGCAGACAGTTTTGGTTGATTCCAGCACATGTCAGCAAACACTGGAAAAAAGAATTATGTCTCTATCATATTGTAAGGAAGAGTTATTCTAAAGCACCCGAAGGGTGGTAAAATACCTTTTTTTTGTCATTCAAGTATCCAAGTTCCCCACCTGACGCTTTTTACTGCCTAATATAACAGACACAGTGTCCTGTGTTTCTCTGCCTTCAGACAGACTCCAGCTTCTCTACATAGGACAAGTGTTTGGAGAATCCTGGATGGAGAGCAGGCATGTGTGCATGAAACCAGAGACCAGATTAATGTGTTCATGTACCCCACTTTGTAGACACTAAGTGTATCTGCATTAATATATGAAAACAGCATGAAGAGGAAAGAGATTTAAAAAAAAGTCCCTAATCCTGCTCCTGATGAGCCACTTTCCTGAGTTTATCTCCAACCCTGTAAAAAAACGCTCTAGCAGCTGAACAATAAATTGTTGTTTTAATGAATGCTGTTGCTAAACTAAAAAAACAACCACAATGAACCATATCAAACATCACAAATGCCGTGGCTCAGTGGCTAATCATTTGTCTTTCATTCAGTTCTTGGTCCAAATCCCACAGTTGCTAATATTTTTATCACAGAAAACAAAGCCCTCAATAAACTCAAAAGAGTTCAATAAATAAATGGTTGCGTTTGAATCTTAGATTGCCTATGTTAAAATGCATATCCAACAAACTGCACCAAACAACAGATGATATTGTGAAAGCCACGATGGTGCAGTGGTTAAACACAACACATTTTCCAACTCTTCCTAATCAATCACACCTGAATCGACTCATCAGCTCGTTAGTAGAGACTCCAAAACCAGACATATATGGGTCAGATAAGAAAGACGTCGAGGGGTGTGCAATGTTGGTGTGGCTCTTGGAACAGGTTTGTAAAATACTTGTATAGCTCGTAGAAGGAGTCTGTATGTTAACTTGTTGTTTTGGATTAACATCAAAGTGACATTTAATTCTATTTTGTAGCTTGATTGATATCTTACAGATGCTGTTGCATTGGTTTAATTGCTCATAAAATGAGCATGCGTTTTCACCTCCTATGATCTATATTTATTCTATAAACAATCACTTTGTTTCTTTCGGAGATTTGTAGCTTCCTAGGGGAAGTTATTAGTGAAATTTGAAGTGTTTCTGATCGTCTCACTGCTGTCTGTTTGTAGGGATCTCTTGGTTTGAGCTGCTGGAGGTCATGAGGAAAAGCAGTGAGTGACTTTGCATGGAGTATTTTGAGAGGAGCAACCGCCGAACTGTTATGCATCTGAGCCTTTTCCTGACTCAACCTGTTTCTGTTTTGAACTGGCATGTTTTTGACAATGATCTACTTAAGTTTGTGTCCAATAAAATGGTAAATGTGACATTTGTGTGCTGTTCATGATTTCCAGCTGATCTTGGCTTTCTAAACATCAACACCTCCTGTTACTGACTCTGTTGATCAGTCAATTAACTAATTATTCAGATGATGTGTGGCCCACGTGGTTTAGTTTGTCTATTAATTTGGACAAGCTGTGACTGATTTGCAATTTAATGATTGCCAAGATAAAACCGACCAGTTAAGATTTCCTCATTACAAATCCAGTTTATTAATGTATTTGTAGTCTGAATTTTTCAGCATGTGTGTAAGTGGGAATGCCTTTCAAGTGCTGGTTGGTTTCCCCATGAAAGCAACAGATGAGATTTGAACCTTGATGGAGTGCAGGTACAATCAACAGTAAAGGGGAGTGTCCATAAGCCACGCCCAAAAGGGGGAGTGTCCATAAGCCACGCCCAAAAGGGAGGAGTGTCCATAAGCCACGCCCAAAAGGGAGGAGTGTCCATAAGCCATGCCCAAAATGTTGACTTAGGCTTTTTTGTGAAAAATTTTACATGTAATTTTTTGAAAATTTGGACTCCTTTTACATAACCGCTGCTCGAGATTGTCTTGGAAGTCCCAGGGGGAGCGGTTTGGATATGTACTCCCCCCTTCGTGTCCTGCCTTCTCTCATCCTGGTCATGACCTGATCCGCTCAGTTTTGCAGCTTGTCACAGCTCACGACTGGATGTCCTTCACGCAACCATGCTTCACATACCAGGCTGGGGTTTGAACCCAGATCCTTCTGACCCCAGGAGGACATGCTCAGACCACTGAGCCACTGGTACTTCCACTCTTACTTATGAATTTTTGGTAATTTTGTCTTTTTTATTTGTTGAAAAACCATTGAAGCTAAACACCACAAGAGAGAGACTCGAACCTGGGTTGCCCACACCAAGATCAAACACTCAGACCACTGAGCCACCAGCACTTCCACTCTTACTCACCAATTTTTGGTAATTTTGTCTTTTTTATTTGTTGATAAACCAATGAAACTAAACACCACAAGAGAGAGACTCGAACCTGGGTTGCCCACAACAAGCTCTACCGCTCAGACCACTAAGCCACCAGCACTTCCACTCTTACTCATCAATTTTTGGTAATTTTGTCTTTTTTATTTGTTGAAAAACCAATGAAACTAAACACCACAAGAGAGAGACTCGAACCTGGGTTGCCCACAACAAGCTCTACCGCTCAGACCACTAAGCCACCAGCACTTCCACTCTTACTCATCAATTTTTGGTAATTTTGTCTTTTTTATTTGTTGAAAAACCAATGAAACTAAACACCACAAGAGAGAGACTCGAACCTGGGTTGCACACATCAAGATCTACCGCTCAGACCACTAAGCCACCAGCACTTCCACTCTTACTCATCAATTTTTGGTACTTTTGTCTTTTTTATTTGTTGAAAAACCAATGAAACTAAACACCGCAAGAGAGATTTGAACCTGGATTGCCCACGCCAAGATCTAACGGTCAGACCACTAAGCCACTGGCTCTTCCACTCTTATCTGTCAATTTTTGGTAAATAAAAATGTCCTCATGTGGTGATTTGTGTGAATTACACCTTTGCAAATAGAGTCTAAATAAACTTAAAAATATTTTGCCCACCTATGGTGATTTGTCTGAATTACACCGTTGCAAATCGAGTCTAAATAAACACAAAAGTGTTTCACCTTCTTGTGGTGACATTACCGCAAATCGGCTTAACCCACCTGCCGAGATCTTCGTGAATTACATCGTCTAACGAGCTAGTGTAAATGCGCTACACTTCTGTAAGAGGGTGAGAGGAGAAAAACGAACTTCCAAACAGAACTATTTACACTATCTATGTTCCGTCCTGTCTTCTGTTCAAAATTCAAATAGATATATTTGCAAATAAAAACACCAAAACAATATAAGTCCAAAGAATGTAAAACGGGGGTCGCCCTCCTGTGGTGATTTGTGTGAATTAAACCATTGCAAATCAAGTTTAATAAACATAAAAGAGGGTCGCCCTCTGTGGTGATTTGTGTGAATTAAAATGATGCAAATCAAGTCTAATAAACAGAAAAGTGTTGCGCCCTCCTGTGGTGATTTGTGTGAATTACATCGTCGCAAATCGAGTCTAAATAAACTTACAAACGTTTCGCCCTCCTATGGTGATTTGTGTGAATTACACCGTTGCAAATCGAGTCTAAATAAACATAAAAATGTTTTGCCCTCCTGTGGTGATTTGTGTGAATTACACCGTTTCAAATCAAGCGTAATAAACATGAAAGAGTGTCACCCTCCTGCAGTGATTTGTGTGAATTACACCATTGCAAATCAAATGTAATAAACATAAAAGAGTCAGTGGTGATTTCTGTGAATTACACCATTGCAAGTCAAGTCTTATAAACATAAAAGTGTTGCCCCCTCATGCGGTGATTTTAGGCCTAACAAATTCAGTCTTATTACCGCAAATCAGCTTAACCCACCTGTGGAGATTTTTGTAAACTACCATCGTCTAACGAGCTAGTGTAAATGCGCTACACTTCTGTAAGAGGGTGAGAGGAGAAAAACATAAGAACTTCCAAACAGAACTATTTACACTATCTATGTTCCGTCCTGTCTTCTGTTCAAAATTCAAATAGATATATTTGCAAATAAAAACAACAAAACAATATAAGTCCAATGAATGTAAAAGTGTTTCGCCCTCCTGTGGTGATTTGTGTGAATTACACCGTTGCAAATCGAGTCTAAAAAACATGAGTGCTGCGCCCTCCTGTGGTGATGTGTGTGAATTACACCATTGCAAATCAAGTGTAATAAACATAAAAGAGTGTTTCCCTCCAGTGGTGATTTGTGTGAATTACACCATTGCAAATCAAGTGTAATAAACTTAAAAGAGTGTCACCCTCCTGTGGTGATTTGTGTGAATTACACCATTGCAAATCAAGTGTTATAAACATAAAAGAGTGTTTCCCTCCAGTGGTGATTTGTGTGAATTACACCATTGCAAATCAAGTGTATAAAACATAAAAGAGTGTATCCCTCCTTTGGTGATTTGTGTGAATTTGACCATTGCACCTCAATTCTAATAAATATAAAAGAGTCGCCCCCTCATGTGGTGATTGTAGGCCTTGCGAATTCAGTCTTCCCGAGAATCAGCTTAACCCATCAGCGGAGATCTATGTGAACTACATCGTCTAACGAGCTAGTGTAAATGCGCTACACTTCTGTAAGAGGGTGAGAGGAGAAAAACGAACTTCCAAACAGAACTATTTACACTATCTATGTTCCGTCCTGTCTTCTGTTCAAAATTCAAATAGATATATTTGCAAATAAAAACAACAAAACAATATAAGTCCAATGAATGTAAAAGTGTTTCGCCCTCCTGTGGTGATTTGTGTGAATTACACCGTTGCAAATCGAGTCTAAATAAACTTAAAAATGTTTCGCCCTCCTGTGGTGATTTGTGTGAATTACACCGTTGCAAATCGAGTCTAAATGAACATAAAAGTGTTTCGCCCTCTTGTGGTCATTTGTGTGAATTACACAGTTGCAAATCGAGTCTAAATAAACTTAGAAATGTTTCGCCCTCCTGTGGTGATTTGTGTGAATTACACCGTTGCAAATCAAGTGTAATAAACATAAAAGAGTGTCGCCCTCCTGTGGTGATTTGTGTGAATTACACCGTTGCAAATCAAGTCTAAAAACATAAGTGTTGCGCCCTGGTTTGTGTGAATTACACCATTGCAAATCAATTGTAATAAAAATAAAAGAGTGTCACCCTCCTGTGGTGATTTGTGTGAATTACACCATTGGAGACTGTACTGGTTTCCTTCTCCTTCAAGCACCTGCTGCTCACACACACTCCCATCACAGAGACCTCTGAACCCGTGAGGCAGCGCTCTTACCTGTGAGCCACAGATATCTTTCAAGACATGTGCTGGAACTTATATTTCAGTGTTATCCTGAGAGTTTCCAATAAAGCAGTTAAAGTGAGAGTTGAACCCATGTTTTCATCACAGTCTTGTCCTCAGAGAGTGTTTATCCACTCAACCATGGATTTTACAACAACAACTGGTTTTGGGGACTCCTTGTCTAATGAGAACAAGTGAAAGTCAGCAATAGTGTGATTTGAACTCAGAACACTGTGATTGAAATGGTGTTTTCCCCCAAAAGGGGGCGTTACCCTTCGATGACGCAAAAGTGGCGTTGGTCTATCACATCTGAGACTTTGGATTAAAGTTCCTGTAAAATTGCAGCAGCAACATGTTTGACAAGCTCTGTGGTGCAGAAAATAATGATTTGCTTTTGAATGAGAAAGCCTAGGTTTTTTTGTATGTATGTATGTGTGTGTGTAACGTTATGTATGTATTTTAACAGAAGGACAGAACAGAGAGGACAGAAGAAATTTGCAGCGGTGTAATTCACACAAATCACCACAGGAGGGCGAAACACTTATGTTTATTTGACTCGATCGGACTCGGTTTGCAACGGTGTAGTCTCGCGTAGCCAGACCTTCAGACTGACGGCTCGGTTTAGCCAACGTTCCGTGGGCGTGACGTCTGAGGCTGAGACTAGCAACGGTGTAATTCACACAAATCATCACTTTTCTTTTACTCTCTATATGTAATTCACACAAATCACCACAGGAGGGCACAGTTTTTTAGACTTTATTTGCAACGGTGTGATTCATACAAATCACCACAGGAGGGCTAAAATAATTTTAGATCTGACTTTTTTTGCATTTATATAGAAAGACGATAGGACAACACAATTCACAACACACACACACACACACACACACACACTGATACAGTTGATACAAAGAATAACTTAAAAATAAAAACATTTTTTTATAAGAATAGATCTGAGTAGTCAATGAATTATTAATCAATGACGAACTTTTACATACGCTAAGAACTTTAAACTTGAAATCTAAAACAACATAATTGACTCACAGGCTCAGCGTATAGTTGTCAACCTCACCAACCAGAAAGTCCTGTTTCAGATCCATGTTTGTTAAAGTTATTCATCATTTAACACACAACTCTGGATCAAACCGGTTGAAAATGCTCTTCATCTCGGCAGACTCAGTGGCTCAGGAGAGAAAGAGTTGTGTTTCAATCACAGCGTCCTGAGTTCAAGTCCCACTATTGCTGACTTTCAATAGTTCTCATTAGACAAGGGGCCCCAAAACCAGCTGTCAACGTGAAATCCATGATGGGCGAGCGGATAAACACACACTCTCTGAGGACACGACTGATGAAGACGTGGGTTTGAATCTCACTTTAACTGCTTTATTGGAAACTCTCAGGATAACAGTGAAATATAAGTTCCAGCACATTATCAGCAAGAGATCTGTGGCTCACAGGTAAGAGCGCTGCCTCACGGGTTCAGAGGTTGCTGGTTTGATCCCAGCTAGATCTCCGCGATAGGAGTGGATGTTGTGTGAGTGGCGCGCCCAAAGGAGGGGGATACCAGTACGGTCTCCCCCCGGAGCTTCCGGGACAGTCAGCAGCAGGGGTTATGCTTTTTGGAAACAAGGAAAAAAAATATTTTTTTTTATATAAAAATTTCGCCTCCTCGTCCCTTCCCCACCCGCTTAGGTTCCCATCATTTGCTTTTCAAAGGGGGAGGCCCTTCAAAAAGAAAATGATGGGAACCTACATGTTTAGCACAGTAAAACAAGCATGTACATTACCTGTCCATCAGCAGAAGTCCATCATTACAGTCAATGTCTGTCCACACGTCCCACAGCTCTGCTTCTGATGACTGGACACTCCAAACACATCCCGTGTCCTGTAGAGGAAATACAGACACAGACATTACTACATACTGAATAACATTCAACTTAAGTTCATCTAAATAAAAGTAGACTGACTACTAAAAAACAAGTCTTAAATCTGTGTGAAAATATGTTGCAAAGTACATGAAAATGATGCTATGATTTGACACAAACACTGAATAAGGAAAAGGCCTTCTTTCGGGTGGAAATAAGGCTTTTTCCCTATTCAGAGTTTGTGTCCATTTGTAGGCTGTAAAACTAATTCAAATCGTAGCATCATTTTCATATACTTTGCAACATATTTTCAGTGTGAGAGCTGATGCTTAAACATGTACACTGTAAAGAACTGCCCAAGTGGAGTTACAACTTTAAGATGAAACCTTCCTTCATACAACAGTAATCCTAAGACATGTTCCTGCACAAGGATTGATCCTGACAGTTTTCATTAGAAGAAAAGCACTGCATCTCTATGATACAATGAAGCAGCAGACACACACACACACACACACACACACACACACACACACACACACACACACACACACACACACACACACACACACACACACACTTCACACACACACACACACACATATATATTAATGAATGTTTACTTTGATTTTGTATGTTATTTATCCATCAGCAATCTAGGAAGGTTTGACTGATCGCCTAAGAGCAATGGGAGAAGTGTCAGCAGACAGCATTACAGTAGAGATGCTCAGAGAGGCCTGTGGGACTGTGAGATTCAGCCCGCTGGATGTGATCAACACACCAATGATCCCATGGTGCCAAACCACTCTGCCGCTCAAAACATCCAGCGAAATTCACATCAAACTGGAGAACATGCAGAGGACAGGTTGGTTTGTGTCTGTTTGATTAGGTTATTGTAGCATACAATTTTTTAAACGTGTCTTTCCTCGTCTGCAGGTTCTTTTAAAATAAGAGGTGTTGCAAACCAGTTTGCCAAGAGACTCAAAGGGGACAATTTTGTGACCATGTCTGCTGGGAATTATGGGAAGTCTTTTGCGTATGCATGTAAGCATTATGGATCCAAAGGCAAAGTGGTGATGCCAGAAACTGCCCCCATCTCCAGATCTCTGCTGATACAAGTATTACACACTTTATTTAATACACTTTGCAGATGCACTTCTTTTCTTTATTAAATCTTAACGAAACAAAACCTGTCAAACATTTGTAGAGTTTGGGAGTTGAGGTTGAAAGAGCGCCAACTACTCATCTAATGGATGTTGTTAACCGATGTGTTCAAGAGGACGGCATGACTTTCCTACATTCCTACGATGATTCGGACCTTATCGCTGGACATGCCAGGTTAAATACATGTCTGGGATTTAAAGAAATATCATCCAAAGTATGAAAATCCTGTTACTTACCCTCATGTCATACCAAACCTGCCTGACTTTCTTTAGTTTTACACAACAGGAGGTATTTTGAGGAATGTTCTATGCTTTTTCCTCTATAGAGAAATTGAATGGTGACTGTGACCAGTGTCGGGGAAAGTTACTTCTAAAAAGTAATGAGTTACAAATTACGCTACTCCCTAAAAAGTAACTAATTGTGATCTTTTTATGGTAAGTAATGTGCAATGTTAGCCTGGTTAAAACCAGACCATTCTTGGTTGTAACTGAGTTATGGTCTGGCAAAGCGTCATAGACAAATCATTTCCAGTGGGGCATCACCAAAGGACGTCGCGGTAGACCTAAAACCAATCGGAGCGATGAAGGAGATGACGTATGCAGAGCGGCGGCCAGCGGAGAAACATCTCCAAGTGTTGTTCTTTGCTCAGTTTTTTAACAAAAAGGAAATGTTCAAATCACTTAAAACAGACGTGATTGCTTATTCGAACGAGTGATATTCGACGGCGGCATCCATCTTTGTAATGTAGGCTACAAAATCTACTTCCAAATCCCAGCGCTGTCGTCATCGTGTAAAGCCCGCCCCAACCTTTCTGATTGGTGCCGTGATTTCGACGGATTTCAAATAAGTAACTTGCGTTATTATTTGAAAAAGTAACTCAGATCTTTTGTAAATTAAAAAGGTAATTTGTAGGGTTGGGTATCGTTTGAATTTGAACGATTCTGATTCCGATTCCTTGTTTCGATTCCGGTTCCTAACGATTCTCGATTTCGATTCTTTTAAGAGGCAGGGTCAAAAAAGTTTAGCTAACCTTGCTAACCAACGGTCTTTTTGAAGGAAATACTCCTGTCACAAATACTTGTCACAAATTTTGCATTTTGCCGAGATTTCGTTAATTTTTAGAAAAGAGAAGCCACACTTTGGACCGCCGACGTAAGCTACTCATGTTCGACTGGCGCGGTTATGCCAATACTTCCGGTAGACGCTTCTTCGTTGGTGTTGTTCAGCGGTTTCTTCTTCCGCTCGGCGGACTGTGAATATCGAAACTAGGAATTGAAATTTAAACTTTTGAACGATTCCGGGAAAAACGAAAAGTTAGTCCCGGTTCCAATCGATACTCGATTCTCGATACCCAACCCTAGTAATTTGTTACTTTACTTGTTACTTGAAAAAGTAATCTGAATATGTAACTCATTCTATTTGTAATTCCTTATCCCCAACAGTAACTGTGACGGCCAAGCTCCAAAAAGAACATTAAAGTTATCATAAATGTAGTATCAGCATTAATGAATTTTTTTATGGAAAAGAGCTGTGTGAACCTGTCCATAATCTACTTTTGGGTTGCAAAAACTAGAAAGTAATGCCATACAGGTTTGAAAGTCTTCAGAGTTGGTAAATGATGATGGGATTTTAATTTTGCATCAAATAACCCCAAACTCACCATCATGACGAATTGAACACATGCATCAATAATAGATTGTATTATAATTGGTTCACTCATGCTAGTGTCTTTTCCAACGATAGCTTAGGTTTTGAGATCCTGGAGGTTGTGCCCTGTCCAGATGTGGTGGTGGTTTGCTGTGGTGGAGGAGGGTTACTTGCTGGTGTGGCAGCCGCCGTCAAACTAACTGGTTGTGAGAACACAAAGATCTATGGAGTGGAACCAGAAGGAGGTAAAAATGCCAAGTGATTTTTAAGAGTCGCGCTCAAGAAATGTCGCCAATTGAGAAATGTTGCCTTGGAAAATAGCTGAAATAAAATTTCAATTTACAAATAATGACAATTTTCCTATGGGTGGAAGTCTCTGGACCAAAAAATGTTCGTCCAATCATTGCATTCGGACGGAACGTAATGATGGTCATCAGCACAGTCAGTGAGGCCTTTTCCAGTTCCTCCTGAACCAAAACAACGAGCTTATGCTGTGTTTTCCGTAATTACATGATAGCAACCTGTGACCTTCTTATCAGAGTTGTTCCAAGTGCACATTGTTAAACCTTCTTGATTTTCAACAGCGTGTACAATGTACAAGAGCTTCATTGAGAAGAAGCCTGTTGGCACGGATGCTAAAAGCATCGCTTCGGGGCTAGCGCCACCATTTGCATGTATGAAATGAAACTTTACGGCAGAAGTTTACATTATTTAAGATTCAGGATTTTTATTTGAGCTAATCGAAACTTGTATGTTGGGATTGAACCTCAGGTACCTTGCCGTATGAGCTTTGTCAGAAGCACGTGGAGGACATCGTGCTGGTGACCGACGAGGAGATCAAATCTGCCGTTTCCACGCTTTATAAGGCTGGTCTCGTTGTTGAACCTTCAGGTACTGCGGCGTTCGCTGCCGTCGCCAATGACAAAATACCAGACATCAGGGACAAGAGTGTGGTGGTCATTCTCAGCGGAGGAAACATCGGCAAAGACGAGTTTAGCAACTTCCCGGACTAAGCACAAGTCAACTCTTTTTCACAGTGGCCTCCAGAAAATCATTGTATTAAAAAAAGCAGTTATAGAAAATGTCTTCTTTTTTCTTTCTCCTGTTGTCGATAAATTTTCTTCTTACAATCGCTTGTTTTATGATTAAATACATGAATAATAATTTAAAAGTGCAAAACACTAAAATTTTACAATAAACAATTATTCATATTATTAGATATTAATAACTGTAATGGTCATCATAAAAAAGCGATTATTGTCAAAGCAATAGAATACAATTTTAGGTTTTAAATCACTCCTCTTCTAGTTTATTTTCTAGTTTTTTTTTTTCTTTTTCATTGTAATTTGATAACTTGCCTAATATGCCGATTGTGTTGTCTAATCTCTTTTTAACATTTGTAATATAATTAATATACACGACTATAGTATCTTTTTGCATATTTAACATACTGGAGGTATGAAATAAGTATGTTAGACATAACAAAATTTGGCTTTTTCAATTAAAGTAAACATGCATATGAAATATATGATATATATATGCTGTTATGAAGGACTAACAATTCCTATTAAATGTACAGTTGATTTATCAAGGTATAAATAAAAAGTAATCTCTGTGATGAATTGCTTGTGTAAGTCACTTTAGATGAAAGTGTTTGCTAAATACATGAATGTAACCACTTTTTAGATAATCTCACCAGCTCACATATCTGCATTAAAGAAAGTTAACAATATTACAAGGTGCTGTTTTTTCTATTATTAAAAAGTTCTAATTTTCTGATTTTTTTGTGTGTAGAATATCTGAAAAATAGAGATACAGCAAAGTAGCCAATGACTTTCAAGAGGATGTATTTATTTTAAAAATATATATATATAATAAAACCAAGGAATTTCAAATAAATAGGCTTTTGTTTACAGATCAACACCTATATATTCTCTATGCAACATCTTTAGTGGCCATCCTGCAAACAACAGCGTCCAAAAGACTGCCGCACTTTTCCTCCTGCGGTGCGACTTTGTAGAGCTGCAATGAGAGACAATTGTACTTTCAATAAACAAGATCCATCTTAAATTGTTCTACATCAGTACTGTCAAAAAGGAGACAAACCTTTTTAATTTTTGCTGCATCCATCAAATCGGACACTTGATCAACAGGAATCTGTTGTCCGTCCACCTTTGAGATGATGTCATCGACGTTCAGGTTCTCTTCTTTATTGTGTACTAACACAATGTGAACCGCACTGTCACTGTCTGAGACCCCGAACCTTTTGAACGCTTCGGATATCTGCGAGGTCCAATACACTTGAATGTTAAAATTTCACCCTGTAAACCAAATAAAGTTAGTGTCAGCTGTGTTCCTGTACTGGAACGTCACTTACGTTGTTTGTGGGTGAAAGATTAAAAATGATTTCAGAATAAAGGCTCCGGGTTTTCATTTTCCCAATTTCATGGAGGTGAACTGCTTTATTTGCTGCCACAAGGATCTGGAATGCGTCCACGACCTTTACAGAGAACAAGAAATTAGTAAATATACAGCAAATCTCAATCTATGATAGCAACTGAACAATACAAGAAGGTTACATCAATTACCATATTGTATAATGGTATCATGCATGCACCAATGCTACGCTTTTCTAAATGTTATAATCATTTGTTAATAAACAAGTATTCATTATTGTTTCTGTATTAAATTAATACATCGTTTAAATTATTACCTTTTTGTGATTTTGTATACATTTCTGAAATACATAACTTAGACAGTTAACTCTGATAACAGATCACTAATTGTAATGTGAACTCTGCTTTGAAATAATGTGTATTGTGAATTGAATTCAATTATAGTATTCTATGGTAAATGTTCAAAAAACTTTGATACAAACATGTGACTGTCTATCTATCTTCAACAGTATTGCCATATCATACATCCAATAAATGGTAAGTTATCCCCATTGTACTTTTTTTTGAGAGCATAAGATTTCGACGTGAACTATGGATACCATTGGTGATTTTCTGCAAAGTTTAGAATCATAAAAAAAGTCTGTAACGTTAACTTGCATTTGCGTGCTCTTACCATTGACGGGTTGATCAAGGCGCCTTTTATCTCGCCATTCACTGCCATTTTCCTCAACTCCGTCGCATTTTTCACATCTTTGAAGAGAAGTTGAGTCACCGTGTAGTTAGGAAACAGTTCCAAATCGTGTGTAAGCTGCATTATTAATATTTTAATGCGTTCAGTACATCAACTTTATCTAGACAGCACGCGCTACCCAGTGTCTACGGACGGAATAATAACAATGTGACACCATCCGACTTGCGTTGGTGATATTCCGATATTCCATATATTATATTCCTATTTTAAATGGTCATCGTTAAATAGTCTACGTCAAATATTCGTTTATAAAAGTATAATACAGCTAAAAAAAACAGCTAAACTAAAAAAAAAAAAAAAAAAAAACAACGATTCCAGTAATAATAATAACACTTGTATTTTAACTCTTTATTGTGTATTTTTACAGATGGAATATGCAGAAAGTTAAATCAAATACTTCTACAGTAGAAAGCAGATTTCATGTTTGTAAGGCAAATTACAATTTCGAGATGACTTGTCATGATTTTCAGTAAGGAACAATACTATAGAATAGGTGATGTATATATTCATATATATCAACAATAGAATGGACAAAAGAATTATTGTTATTATTTTAATGATTAATGACAAAATCTGTGTGGGAACTAAATATCCACGTTTCCATTTCCACACGGACTCTAGTATGTGACGCACCACTAAGCTGTCAAAAACCAAAACTTAAAAATGCGATTTTTGCATATATTTGCACATTTTTGAAACTCAAGAAGCGCGATTACAAGGAACGAATGCATCGCATGCTATCTTAACCATCCATTTCCATAAGCGTAATAACATCAAATATCGAGTTTGTTTGTTTGAATAAGGATGGAGAGATTTGAGGTTTATATCTTCACGGCTCTGTGCAGCATTAACTTTCTCATATCCTGCCTTCTTTTCTCCAAAATCACTCGGGAACAGAGAGATCCGTACATGGATGAGATATTCCATGTCCCTCAAGCGCAGAAGTACTGTGATGGGAAGTTTAATGAGGTATGGTTGTAAATGATGCGTGAATCTCTCAGTATTTGTGTGTGTGTTTGGTCATTAATGGCCATGTGTGTTCTTCCACAGTGGGATCCGATGATCACCACTCTTCCTGGGCTGTATCTGGCATCAGTGGGTCTGATCAGGCCGCTGGTTTGGCTGGCAGATCTGAAGGGCAGGGTGGTTTGCTCTACTGCCATGCTGAGATTCATCAATCTGCTCTTTAATAGTGGCAATCTCTACATCATCTATCTGATCATCTGCAGGCTGCACATCAAAGACAAGGTGTATGATTTGATCTCATTTTTCCCCCCATATAAGTTGATTCTTTAATTAGGTGCACGCAAGTTTAAGTTAAATATTGGTAACACTTTTGTTTAACATGAAATGACAATTAGAAATATTTCTTAAGCTATGTGGTTGCTAAGGTGTGTATTGTCAGCAGTCAGTTGGTTTGCAGTCTATTTTTTTTATAGCTCATTTCATTGTCAACCAAGCGAAAACAATAAATCTGATCGCTTAGAAAAGTAATAACATCATCAAAGGCCAACAGAAACCACCTGAGCAACAACATAGCCTCAAAATCAATACTTTCATCATATTTCATTCTCTCTCTCTCTAGTCCCGTTCTGCGTCTCGTAGAATATTCTCTGCCCTGGCTCTGTCAACGTTCCCCGTGCTGTACTTCTTCACGTTCCTGTATTACACGGACGCCGGCTCCACGTTCTTCACCCTCTTCATGTACCTCATGACTCTGTACGGATGCCACAAAGCGGCGGCGTTCCTCGGCGTCTGCGCCGTCCTCTTCCGGCAGACCAACATCATCTGGGTGGCGTTCTGCGCCGGTACCGTGTTGGCCCAAAAAATGGACGAGACCTGGCGAACCGACCAATCGAAGAAGCGGGACGAAAAATCCCCCTCTCAAATCCCTCTAACCATCAACGGTGCGATGCGAGTGATGCGTTTCCTGTTGGATTTCCTCAAATCGCCCTCCAACATAAAAGCAGTGTTCTTGTCCACGTGGCCGTACATCGCAGTGGGCGTTCTTTTCGTGGTTTTCGCGGCGTTGAACGACGGAATCGTGGTCGGAGATCGCAGCAGTCACGAGGCGTGTCCGAACTTCCCTCAGATTTTCTATTTCCTGTCGTTTGCGCTCGTTTTTTCTCTTCCCGCCTCGTTGAGTCACCAAAGGGTCATCCGGTTCTTGCAGTCTTTAAGAAAGCAACCCTTCATTTATGCCGCGCTGATGACGTCCTTCCTGTTTCTGGTCTGGAAGTTCACTTTTGTTCACAAGTATCTTCTCGCGGACAACCGCCACTTTCCGTTCTACGTTTGGAAGAGGGTTTTTCAGAGACACGACCTCGTCCGTTTCCTTTTAGTCCCTGGATATGTGTTCGCAGGGTGGAACTTTCTAGATACTTTGAGGTCCAAGTCTTTGTTTTGGTGTCTGGCGTTCTGTACGTGTCTGGTGGCGGCGACCGTTCCGCAGAAACTCTTGGAGTTTCGATATTTCATCCTCCCGTATCTGTTATATCGCGTTCACGTCCCTGTGCCGTCTTTACCCAGACTGCTTCTTGAGTTTAGCTTCTACACCACAGTCAATGCTGCTACGATCTATATATTCATCTATAAAACATTTCAGTGGCCCGACAGTACGGCTGCGCAAAGATTCATGTGGTGACTCCACCTGAATAATGAATTATTGCTGAGCGTGTCATATTTTCTATTCGCGAAAGAAATGTTTTCACCATATATCAATAATAAAAATGAATTTTATGTGACATGATGCCATGATATTGCAATACCGCTTCAAATGCTTCATTTTCATGTGTTTTTTTTTTAAGCCGCTGGTGATTTGTTAATTTATTTGTACATGTTTAATCAGGAGTTTGTTTTTAGTTTACTTTTAAAAATGTTGGCTAAAAAACCATCTGTCTGACCAAACCATTCAGAATTCATTTTTTTTTTGCTGTAATTTCACCTCACATTAAAGGGATAGTTCACTTTGAAATACATTTTTGGTATGTTTTATCTTACCTCAAGGGCATCCAAGATGTAGGTGTCTTTGTTTCCGCAGTATTTTCAATTTTGATATTTTTAGGTCAAACCGTTGTTGTTTGTCAGTCATATAATGGAGGTCTATGGTCACCACCTCAAAGAGCAAGCACAGAGAAGTCCAAATTAAACATGATTTAATGACTCGTAAATGTAAGTACACATTGATGGCCTAAGACACGAAACGAGCGGTTTGTGTGAGAAAACGAACAGTATTTATATCGTTTTTACCGCTTGTAACCACAGCCACGTCCAAGTGATCTGAAGGCACAGGCGCTTCGGTCTGCACAAGCGCCGGAAGTGATCTTTCGCGCGTGTACGTCACACATTGTTTACACGGATATTTTGGAAGTGTTACCTTTGACTGTGACGATCTAAACATATTTAGATATACAGGAAAGCACAATGGAAGACGATTTCGAAATATCAACAGAGCTGTGGTTGTGGTTACAAGAGGTAAAACGATATAAATACTGTTCGTTTTCTCACACAAACCGCTCGTTTCGTGTCTTAGGCCATCAATGTGTTCTTACATTCACGAGTCATTAAATCATGTTTAATTTGGACTTCTCTGTGCATGCTCTTTGAGGTGGTGACCATAGACCTCCATTATATGACTGACAGACAAGAACGGTTTGACCTAAAAATATCAAAATTGAAAATACTGCGGAAACAAAGACACCTACATCTTGGATGCCCTTGAGGTAAGCTAAAACATATCAAAAATTCATTTCAAAGTGAGCTATCCCTTTAAGGACAAGCAGTGTTTACACCTGTCATTCATGTTGTGTTTGTGTTTTCAATCCTATGTGAGTTCATTGAATTAGAATAATCATTTTATGGTGGCTGTTGTTAATTGTGGTCTTATTTTGTATTTCATTGTTAAACCTTTGTTTTTTTGTTATTTTTATGGTAGACTTTAGTTTTCTCTTGTACTAATTTCAAATGCTAATTTCTCACTAGTTTGATGTCAATGTTTTCCAAGTTCTCTTGTTGGTCTTTTGTGTTTTTCATTGGTCTTTCCTCTCATTCTTTTTTGAGGGGTATTAAATTTGTTTTGATACAGAAACTGAAGTGAACATGTTCATTATCTCCCATTGTTTTACTGTCAGGTTCTGAGTAGTTCAGTAAAGTTGAGCAGGTGCCTTTGTTTATTCTACATTAGAAGCCTTGTGTTTTCCACAAGGTGGCAGTCTAAAGTTTCTTCTAGAAATGTATGCATAATATCTCAGCCTCAGACTGTAGCAGCCAAGCCATCATAGTAGCGAAGGTGAGCAAATAAAGAAACCCGGCCCTCTGTTTGCACCAGTCATCATAGAGTTCCTTCAATGTTTATTTTTTTTTTAGAAATATCACAGGGTTTCTGTGGGTCCTTTAAAAGTTTTAATTCTCCCTTACAAAAATATAGGCCTTAAAACACTCCTAAATCAGAGCACAAAGTCTTAAATTCAAGTATTTATGTCCTGTTTTCTATTACAAATATCTGAGGAGAACTCCGGTGCAAAATGAACCTTTGGTCTAATAAAACATTGGTACCTAGTCGACCGTTCTCTGAGATTTGTTTTCATGATAATCGAATGTAAAGAGTTTTATCTCTAAAACTGTTTAATGCTGGGCAATAGAGTAATGGAAAATAAAAATCAATAGTTGAAAAATCAAAACCACTAACAAGGGTCAAAATAGCCCCACACTAACACCGTAACATAATGAGGGTCCATACATGCAAACCAAAGCATTGAGAACGTTGTAAGTGTACAGACCGTTTAACAAGAAGATATTTTACAAAGATGTTCGTGGTTTGGCTGGTCAAGACTGTTTTTCAAAGATGGCTCCTGCCTGTATACGCAAAGTGGACTGTCTTTATAAAATATCTTCTCATTAAATTCGAAACTGGCCGGCCCAAAGTTTTGAAAGACATCGTTAAAATGCTGAAAACGCAAACTTTCGAAAACATGATTTAAAGTGCGAGCTTTTGAAAATGCTACCATTATCGTCTTTACATAAACCACAAAAATGTGATTTGATGAACATGGTGACGCCCAACCCGATTTCACGAGAATTCGTACGAATTTTACGAGGTGGCTAATTCATAACAATTCGTACAACCTCACTCATACGAATTAGTACGTTTTTGCTAAATCGTACATATTTTACGAATTGGCCAATTTGTATGAATTCGTACGAATGACCTACCCCTGACCCGCCCCTAAACCTACCCATCACGTGGGTTTGGACAAATCGTACAAATTCGTACAAGTGAGGTCGTACGAATTAGCCACTTTTTAATCACTCGTACGAATTCGTACAAATTGGTCGTGAGATAGCGTAGGTGACGCCATGTTTTCAGTCTATAGGCGCGTAGTGTTTCAATAAAAATTGACATCGCCAACTACTGGCCTGGCATGAATAATACAACATTTTAGTCGTTTTCACGGATCCGTATGAACGGGGATCGTTTAGAAAAGTTTACATTTGTCAATGAAGAATACTAAGGAAAAACTTTTCCAATTTTAGTACATTATTGTCATTGTTAAACAACCGTTGTGTGAATAATTCAAAGACTTACTCATAAAGACAATCACCCCCTGATATTAACTAAAAAATCCCAAAATCAAAAGAGCAAAGAGAGAAAAGTCTTAGGAATGTATGTCAGCAATCTCAGCCAATAACGTTTGAGAACTAACTGGTGCCTAACAGATATATGCCTAATAGATTAATACAATTGGTCTATTGAATGCCTTTCATTAACAAAACACTTTTGGTACTACAGTGATTTTCGTTCATTCTTGGGCCCATAAAGATCTTAGTTCAGCCACTGAATTCTAGGTAATAGCTGAACTCAGTTTCACTTATTTTCCACGGAAGATGACAACTCTTTCCTACAGTTTAATAAATTACCACCTGTCAGTGTGAAAATGGGCTTTCCTCCTTTTTGTTGCTTTTTTATTTTAGGAAATAATTACAGATATTTGGATGTGAAAGGAAAACTTGATCTACTCGGCGCACAACAGCAGTATGCGAAGGGCGTGTGACATTTATGACATTATGACGTTGCACCTCCCAGAAACTTCCCTTGCAAACCAATTAGCACACAAAATAAAGGCAGTGGGGTGCCATCGTTTGTTACTTTGTATATTATTCATCCCATGTTGTTGTGGAAGTTTTGGCAAAGCATGCTGATATGGTCCCCTTTTACTAATACAAATGACCCTTGTGTCGTAATCAGAGACACAATATTTGTATCACACAATATTAAAAATGAAAAGATAATTACGTCTAATGTAATGCAGAGAAATCTCACTACATAAATGTCTCTTTGTTTTCAAAGAAGATTAGAGGTGTGAAAAGTGTGTTTGCAAACGCGTACCTGTGTGAACGTGCACTTGAGGAGGCGAAGAAAGTTCATGCTATACACTCACCTAAAGGATTATTATGAACACCATATTAATAAGGAGGTGTTTGACCTCCTTTCACCTTCAGAACTGCCTTAATTCTACATGGCATTGATTCAACAAGGTGCTGAAAGCATTCTTTAGAAATGTTGGCCCATATTGATAGGATAGCATCTGGCAGTTGATGGAGATTTGTGGGATGCACATCCAGGGCATGAAGCTCCCGTTCCACCACATCCCAAAGATGCTCGATTGGGTTGAGAACTGGTGACTGTGGGGGCCATTTTAGTACAGTCATGTTCAAGAAACCAATTTGCAATTTGGCCATAAAGGGATGGACATGGTCAGAAACAATGCTCAGGTAGGCCGTGGCATTTAAACAATGCCCAATTGGCACTAAGGGGCCTAAAGTGTGCCAAGAAAACATCCCCCACACCATTACACCACCACCACCAGCCTGCACAGTGGTAACAAGGCATGATGGATCCATGTTCTCATTCAGTTTACGCCAAATTCTGACTCTACCATCTGAATGTCTCAACAGAAATCAAGACTCATCAGACTAGGCAACATTTTCAAGTCTTCAACTGGAAATATTGGACAAAAATGATCCTTTCTAGGGTGCATTTTCCATTTTAAAAGCATAATTTAACTATTTTCTTTTTTGCAACATCTCTTAGATAAAGAATGTTAATGGATACAGTTCTGCAGGACATTTTGTACCATTCCATCGAGAAAAAAAAAGCCAACAGGATTCTGAATTATTGCAGGAATTAAGCCAACAAAGGTTTACGATTCGATTCGCTCATCAAGATAATCTTCACAAATTAACAACTTTTATTGATTTCGAAGCCTAAATAATAATTGCCATACGAAAAAAAGAGCTAAAGTTAGGCTATAAACAATATACAAAACGGTTTGAGCTTGTCCACTTTTGACCACTTCCAGAGCCTAGTTGAAAACGTATTCAATGGGATTGCTTTTGTCGTGTAAACGCTCATGTGGTTGAAAGCGTTCGAACGAAATGTTGTGTTAAAGGGTAGCTCCACCTCTGGAAAGATGAATGTGTATTTAAAATGGGCCATATATGTCGAAGAAATGTGAAATTATTTTTGAATTTGGAGCTTTCTAGACTGAGAAAAGCCAGAAAATGTATTTTTGGCTTAAGTGGATGAAAGACTACAACTCCCAGAATGCCCTTGCTCTGCTTCCCTAGGAGGCCACGCCTTCCAGTAACAGAGCGCAGTAATTAAACAACAAGTCTAGGCTACTAGTGAGTCTCTGTGATGAGTCTGCCTGAAAATGTGTTTCGAGATCGCCCAAAATGTCCAGGATTCGGCTTTTGCGTTCTACAGTCGCCATTCATCAAGTTTACAGTGGCGAGCAGGATGAGCCGCGGGAGAATGGCGCGAGGCCGGTGGCGTGATTAGCGATGAGCGACACCTGTGAGACGCATCGGTCTCGTATCTCTCAGGAAGGAGCGGGAATTTTCTTAACAATGTTAAAACGCACATCAACTGATCACTTGTTTAGCGTTCATGTAAGATTCACCAATCGGAATGAATTCAGTTAGACTGAAACAAAAGGTGCATGTAAACCATGAATGGCAACTGCAGAAATCAAAAGCTGAATCCCGGACATCGACGGCCAGACATGTCCGGGAAAAAGAGGACGGTAACACCTAAAGTTACTACTCGGCTTTCTCCACAGAACAAGAGCCTGCTAGCTTAGCTTCCAAAAAAGATGGCCGACACTATGTGTAATCCCAATCCTCCATAATGCATTCGTCTGCGTATTCAATACCTTCGTCCATATTTTCTAAACGTTTTTGCCGGTGAAATCAAACGCACTGGCACTGATCTGTGATTGGTCTGTTAGCGAATTAGGCCCCACCCCCTATGTGTGGGTTTGAAAGGGTGGGAACTAGTGCTTGTAGTCTTTACAGAAATCCCCCCCTCTTACACTGACGTAAATTGACGATTTTTGCGTCATTGTAGAAGGAAGTGAAAAAGGTAAATAGCAGATTTCTCTCGTCTCAGGGGAAAATGAGAGAGTGCACGACCATTCAATAGTTTAACTGGGTTTCTAAACCTTAATAACACGACCCAAGTTAAACCCCATCATATGAATAATGTGCCTTCTTTTCTAGGTAAAAAAAAAATGTAGGAAACAATTCATTGATAATGTTCTAGATGGTTCTTGTAGATAAAAAGTCCACCCAATGACAAAATCATTTCAAAACGTAATGAATATTTGATTTTCCTCCATAGATCATGATCTTTATATGTCAGTGGTGGTGTGTGTGACTGGAGGAGTGTGTGGACAGAGCACAGGGGATGTAAATTTAGCCCAGGGTGATATTAATAGATTCAGTGTCGGCCATGCCTGGCTGGTGAACACCTGCACACAGGCAAAATCACACACACACATACACACGCACGGTAAACCATGCACAAGTATACACACAAACAGGCATACACACACCTTGCTGGTGACGGGGAATTTTGTGTCCTTGATCGGGGTTTGGACAGGGGGTGCTGGTGTCCTCTTGTCCTTCATTTGGAGGTTGGTCGGGTACATCTGAGATGCAGTGCTTTCCAAATGTAGATAATGTTACCTTCACTGCTGGTATCTAGTGATGTGATCTTTACTTTCACCATTATCTGGTCCAACTTCAAAAAAAGAAAAAAAAAATGTCATGCTTTTATTTTATATAATATGATGACAATATGAAGAGAGAAAACAACTTTCATCCAGTTTCATTTCATTTTTACAAATACAAGATTAAAAGTAAGTAAGATTATATTCTGACATGTTTATAACAGAATAAAGCACTTTTTTTACTTTTTTACTTCGGACCAAATGCAATGATTGGATGTTTTATTTGTTTTTTTTAGTCCCGAGACATCCAGAGAAGATATACATGCATGTTTTAATATTAAAACCACTGCCATTATTGATTTCTATCAGGATGTGAAGAGAATTTGACTCAATATAACACAATATATCAGTATATAAAAACATTGCCTACCTTGGAAGTGGAAAAAATAGCTATTTGTTTTAGTTTTTATAAATATGTGGTCCTAATATCACTCTAAAAATGACAATTAACATGTTTATTACACAATTTATTACTAAATTCTGATCATTTGACATTTTTAGTCTGATTCAACAAAAGAATCTTTTCACAAGAGTCAGACTAAATAAACTGACGGTGCAATTGTTTTCCATGTCTACATTTATTGTCTTTTTTGTTGTTGTCGCTGTAGATTTGACTGTAAAACTGGTTTAAATAACACAACGTGATTTGACACCAGGCTTGAAATATGATTACAAAGGTTTTGTGTGCCTTGATTTATGAGTGGGAGAATTGGGAAATGTCAAGATGGGATTATCTGTAATTTAGAGGTGTGGAGATATTGCATTGTGTTGTGTAAATCAGTTCCATGTGGATATCCCGAGGGGACTGCAAATCCAAGAACAACATTCCCCTTTGAGGAACAGGTTGGCACACACTTTCAGGACCAGTTTTTTCTTCTTTGTTTTCTAAATCATTTTAAGTTTTATGCAACATTTCCTTTACAGACTATAACTTATAAGAGATATGCACAGAGAATTAAGACATGAGTAATTAACAATAGCAGCTTAATTATTCTTGCTTTCGCCTCCTAGTCACACAAATCTGTTTATAGAAAGTAAGAGGCGGCCACATGCGCTATTAAAATATGTATATAATGAGTTTTATGTAGGAGGTGGTGCACATGGCAAAATGTGAGATCTTTAAGTATTTCTAAAGATTTATGAGGAAAGAAACATTTAATATGAGAAAGAGAAGAGAGACGATGATAAATAGAGCAGCACAAATGTAAAAAGTTTTTTTTTCATTATCCCAATTTTTTATATAGTTTCATCTAGAGCATCAAACATAGCAAAAACATGTAATTTGGTGTATATATATGAAATTCTGGGTTTTAACCCTCAGGTGCTCTTCGTTTCAGAGTCACACTTGTTATCTTCCTGGTCAAAAGTGACCGGACACCTACAAATTAAATTTCCTCCATCCCAGTAAAACCAATGCAATTTATTTTTGTTCTATAATATTTATTCTTTGTAATTTAGTATTTTAAAACAGTTTGATTGAATTTATTAATATTTATGCAATATTTATGGTCTATTTTTGCCATGGAAAAATATATATTTTTTTCTATATATATATATATTTTGTTTTTCAAAAAATTATTAATGCAGTATTTTAGTTTAATATAGAGTCTAGGCCTTCAGAAAAAATTTTTTTTTTGAAGAAAATTAGCACCATCTGGTTACAGTATAGAGAAAAAGCGTAGACTCACGGTGTAACCACTAGATAGCATGTATAGCTCTCTATGGAGAAGCATGTGAATTCCCCAGATGTTTCTGAAAACATTTTTTTTTTTTTGTGAAATTGAATATATAGTTGAAACAATCTCAAAAACGATTTTTTATTTAAAAAAAAAAAGTAAAAAATAAATAAATAAATAAAAATGTGTGATTTTTTTTGTTTTTGTCAATTTCCCATTTGGGGGTCATTTTTGATTTTATTTTTTTAAGACCACTTAGCATGCTCAGTTCATGACCTCAATTTTTTTTGTGTGTGTTCACATACATAATGCCATAAAAGTCACCAAATTTCGTAACATTCCGATGAAGCTGTGATTTTTAAAAATTCAAAACATACTTTTTGTAATCAAAATTTATTGGTGTGTATGTATATAAAAGTGTGTTTGTATGTGTGTGTGTGTGTGTGTCTGTTTTGCACTCTAGATGTTAACACAATGTCACCCCTTTCCTGCGGTGTACTTTTTTTTTTTTTTTAGAATTATGGCCGATTTGTAGATTGCACGTACAAAAATTCAGAGAATTTTTTTTTTTTGTCAATTTCCCATTCATTTCCTATGGGTCGGTCATTTTTGACCGAAGACCACCACAAGTGTGACTATTTTTTTTACGACCACTTAGCATGCTCGGATTTTTTTTGTGTGTTCACATACATAATGCCATAAAAGTCACCAAGTTTCATAACATTATGAGGAAGCTGTGATTTTTAGAAATTCAAAACAGAAAATTTGGGTTAATGTAAATCAATGAGATTTCTACAAGGAGATGACACATAAAATACATATAAAATGCTTTAAATAAGTTTACTGTTAAAATGTATTATTTGAAATTATTGGTGCATAAAGGGATGGTCAGAAACAATGCTCAGGTAGGCCGTGGCATTTAAACGATGACCAATTGGCACTAAAGTGTACCAATAAAACATCCCCCACACCATTACACCACCACCACCAGCCTGCACAGTGGTAACAAGGCATGATGGATCCATGTTCTCATTCTGTTTACACCAAATTCAGACTCTACCATCTGAATGTCTCAACAGAAATCAAGACTCATCAGACCAGGCAACATTTTTCCAGTCTTGATAATGGGTTAAAAATGCTAAATAACTTCTACTTGTAAGTTGAGATGGTACAATGATTAAACAAAATTATTGTTATAATCATGTTATAATACAATAAATATTTCTTACAAAGTCACTATATAATTCGTCTGTTCATCTGCAAGCTCTTTCGGCAGCCGCTAAGTGCAACCAATCTATAAAAAGATGTTTTGTTTTGCAAGTAGTTAAAAGACCATTCTTCTTTACCAAACATTAAAAGTTCATTTGCTTTCATGCCAGTGACAGTTCTAAAGCCAATTAAAATCTGTATAGGCGATACTGGAAAGCTGCCCACACTGTACAAGCAACTGTAGGCTACAGCAGTCCATGCAAGTACTAAGCGCAAAGTAAGATGAAACTAATTGGCTGTTCTGTCAGAGAATAGAAATAGACTTAAAGGCCACTGCGTTACCCGGGTGTAATGTGAAATATTGCGATGATGGCTGGCTCACACTTTATACTGCAAGCTGTAAATATCTGTGTGTGAGGGGATTACATAGAAAGGTATGTGTAGGTGCAAATCAAACATCAGTTGCACACTAAACCATCCTGGTCAATTATTCCAAGTATGAATTTAGAAGCAGGGACCAATTCAAGGAAAATTGAAAACAAAAAAATATATTTTAACAAGAACATAAAAACAAAATCAAGTTCTGAGCATTAGAAAGGTTGGATGTGAGACATATCACATTAGGTTTTATCAAATTACAAGTTATTGTAGCGATGTGGAAGATGAAGTGCTGCACAGGCACAGGCAGACTTCATATTCTCCTCAAATAAACATGAGTCTTTACAAACATTGTGTTTTTTGAGTAAAGAAAAAGCTGTGCTTATTCAAAGAACCAGTCCCTTGCACTGCAAATAAGCAGAGACCGTCTAAAGCGCGTGCAACTCATTCACAATCGGGGCTGTATGAGGTTTCGTACAGTTTGAGGATCCACTTTTTAAGTTATAATATTATTAACTGGCATTTTTTTCCCAAATCAAACCATTTTCAGAACGGTATGTTACAGCACGAACAGTCGAAAAAGTTAAAATACTGAACCAAAGTAATGATTATTTTTTGTTTTTAAACCCCGTTTAGAAGTTGACCCTCTGTATCTTCTAAAGGTCCACATGGTTTAGCACTCTGATATAATTGGAGTTTACCAGCCAGATAATCTGCTCCTTCTGTAATTACAATGTCACACCAATATGGAAAACAGTTATTATTTCTAAAGGCTCTCTAGTCAGAAAGAATAGGAACAATATTGGAACTCTGTTCCAAATTTAAACGCTTCCCAAGGGCATAAACTCTACATGCTACACAAATAGCACTCCTCACATTGAAGGCTAGGAGACTTGACTTATAACTGATTCCAGTTTAATGTTATTATGTTCCTAAGCTAACAGTACAGTACCAAAGACAGTCAGTGATCCTTTAGGTGCGGTTACATTTACCGTTTTTTTGGAGAATTTTCTCAGGCAAAATCCAGTCAATTGAATCTATGTGATAGGGAAATTCATATTTGTTTTTTTTACCAATGTTGACGAACAGAAAGCAGTTTGGTCTGAAAGTGACTTGTGCTTTATCTCTACACTAGTTGGGTCATCTATAGCAGTTCCGTGACCGTGGAGAGCGAAGGTTCATTTTTTACTGGATTTGTCCTCTATAAAGGTTAAAGAAAAAAATGAGCCTGGGAAATAATTTGCTAAAATTATTTTGAACCTTGTATTTTTTCAATGGTCAGATTCGTCACTTCAAAATATATGCAAATTAGTGCCTATGTAATTAGATATGGTCTGATTAGAATATTTAAAACTCACAATACATTATTTTCTCCCATTCATGTGAGTAATTAACTGGTACAGTTTTAATGGTGATATCTGTAAGTAAAAAAAAGTACCCTATTCACCTGTAGTGGTGTCTCACCTTAAAGAGCCAATTGGCGGCCATCTTGAATTTGAAGGTCAAAAATAGGTAAAATCAATAAATCTATATAATTAATGAATTTCTTGACCCAAAATTGTCTCAGAAACCATTTATTATGCAGCACTGTGGGCAAAAACATTAAAAAGTTCATTTCCAACTTGGCCGACGGCAGCCATTTTGGATATCGGGCTCTCACAAAAATTCCCCACATTTTTGTGAGGGGCACCCCGGCTCAATTTTCTTTAACCTTTATAGATGACAAATCCAGTGAGAAACGAACCTTCGCTCTCCACGGTCATGGAACTGCTATATATGACCCAACTACACTGTCCGACAAAAGACAACAGACTTTTACAGAAATTTTACAGAAATATGACTTCACTGGCACTTTTCTAAGTAGTTTTGTAGTATAAATAGTAGTTCAACCAGAATAATCAGAAAATCCCATTTCAGACTCATAAAGCAATGTGTATACTGTATATTAAGAATGTTTATTCCAAAATTAGTACTTGATACAGAAATAATAATTTCATCATATGGACTTACTAGACAATCAGAACTTCAATCATGCTTTCTCCGTTTAACCACCGATTCCAAAAATTACAATATAATTATTTTTTTTTCATACATGAGTTGTGCAAAGAAAATATACACTAGAAAGCAATTGTACACTAACACAAAATATATAACAATTCATCTGAAGGCATCACACAATTCCAAGAATTCAGTGAGAGATTAAGGCCATTTGTACAGTTATTTTCCTGTTTTTTTAAGTTTTTTTTACTCAAAACACTAACAATAACAAAAGACTTGGTGAATCTCTTGTAAAACTGTACATGCAAACATAGTGCACGCAATATTAAGATCTGAATAGCATACAATATAATATTTGGATATCTTCAGTAAACAAATTTCATGTGAGTCGAGTCACACATTTAAAAACACTTCGATGATGCTTGCCAAACTGACACACTCTCTCTCACACACACACACACACACTCCCTCACACAGGTGCATACTTACAGGTGAATGGGCTTGCCAAAGTGGCAGCTGCCGTGGAACCAGCAATGCAGAGAGGAACTAAACTGAGGGCAAGTACAGGAATGTTGAGAGCCAACATTCCCAGGAGAGAGATATGATCGTCAACTAAATCCCAAGGTTCAAGTGCTGCTTTTTCACACATACATTATTCTTCAACTGACACTCTGTGCAGTTCATGCATGCCAAAGTCAAGACAAATTTGCTCCTCAACATTCTTAAATCTTTTGATTTGATGCATTACACTTACATATGGAAGCTTGTTTCCACCACTGAATAAAAAAATAAAATAAATAATTGTGACTTTTTATCTCACAATTCTGACTCACAATTGTGAGTTTATATCTCGCAATTCTGAGAATCAGTAAAAGTCAGAATTGCGAGATAAAAAGTCAGAATTGCGTGATATGAAGTCGCAATTGCGAGATATAAAGTCAGAATTGTGAGATATAAAGTCAGAATTGCGAGATATAAAGTCAGAATTGCGTGATATAAAGTCGCAATTGCGTGTTATAAAGTCAGAATTGCGAGATATAAAGTCGCAATTGCGTGTTATAGTCGCAATTGCGTTATAGTCGCAATTGTGTGTTGTAGTCGCAATTGTGTTATAGTCGCAATTGCGTGTTATAGTCGCAATTGCGTGTTATAAAGTCAGAATTGCGAGATATAAAGTCGCAATTGCGTGCTATAAAGTCAGAATTGCGTGTTATAGTCACAATTGCGTGTTATAAAGTCAGAATTGCGTGTTATAGTCACAATTGCGTGTTATAGTCGCAATTGCGTGTTATAAAGTCAGAATTGCGTGTTATAGTCGCAATTGCGTGTTATAAAGTCAGAATTGCGTGTTATAGTCACAATTGCGTGTTATAGTCGCAATTGCGTGTTATAAAGTCAGAATTGCGTGTTATAGTCGCAATTGTGTTATAGTCGCAATTGAGTGTTATAAAGTCAGAATTGCGAGATATAAAGTCGCAATTGCGTGTTATAGTCGCAATTGCGTTATAGTCGTTATAGTTATAGTTATACTCAGAATAGTTTAAATCTCACAATTCTGACTTTATATCACAAATTTCTGACTTTATAACACTCAATTGCGACTTTATATCACAAATTTCTGACTTTATAACACTCAATTGCGACTTTATATCACACAATTCTGACTTTATATCTTGCAATTGCAACTTTATATCTCGAAATTGCGACTTTATATCAAGCAATTCTGATTTTATAACACTCAACTGCGACTTTATATCACACAATTCTGACATTATATCTCGCAATTGCAACTTTATATCTCGAAATTGCGACTTTATATCAAGCAATTGTGACTTTATAACACGCAATTGTGACTTTATATCTAGCAATTCTTACTTTATATCTCGCAATTCTGACTTTATAACACTCAATTGCGACTTTATATCACACAATTCTGACTTTATATCTCGCAATTGCAACTTTATATCTCGAAATTGCGACTTTATATCAGGCAATTCTGACTTTATATCTCGCAATTTCGACTTTCCATCTTGCAATTCTGAGAAATAAAGTCAGAATTGCGAGATAAAAAGTCGCAATTAACTTTTATATTTTTTATTCTATGGCGGAAACAAGCTGCCATACTCACATGATGGAAAGTAGTTTTGCAGACAAATTTAAATTGAGTCCACTTTCTTTCTGAGTGAGTTGAGTTGATAGTCAAGAAAAAGCAGTCTACGAAGTATTTTTATAATAATATTATAAAATGATTAGAACACCATACCAGCTTCACTTTTTTCAGCCAATTTCGCAATTATGTTTAAGGTGATTTGTTATGATTATATTCAATCAGTAATTAAGCGTACCAATAATTGACATACGTTTTGGTTTTATTTTGTGACTTTTGTTTCAAACCTAAAATACATTTCTTCGGCAAATGTTATTTTTCTATAAAATACTTTTTTTTTTGTAATAACATACATCATCCTACATTTGCTCAGTATGCTTGGCACTAGTGTTTTAAAAGACTTTTTGCAGCTACTTTATGTGTAATATTTCAATATTGTGTGTGAAAAAGCAGCACAACTGGGGAAAAAAAAAAGTTTTAACAGGGAATGTTCCCCCTCAACACGAGGCTGTCACCCAAAATAGTTCACTAGTGTGTGATGAAAAAATGAGTTGCTACATACTATAAGATTCACATTTACTATATGAGAAAAAAAGGTTTTGTTTTAGTATTTTGCAATGGTAATAATCAAGAAAAAATTGTCAAAAGTTGATATGTGATTTAATTATTTTTTCTGATACTAGCAGCACATTTCTAAAATAATGGGATCAAAAATATTTCTAGAAAAGACTTTTGTAAATTAGGTGTATCTTATCAGGTTTCAACACTTTAATATTCACAATGAAATCCAAGGATTTCGTAATTCCCTATCTTTGGGCAAAACTACTATGTACTTATTAAATATGATGAATGAATCTACATGTTATTGGAAAAAAACATTACACGGCATCACCAAATCAACAGAAAAATGACAAAACATCCCTACAAAAAGTTTTAAGACAGAAAATAATAATGGCATCTGTGTTTTTGACCACTGGGCTCTTATTTGAGAGCAGCTGCTCAGAGATAAATGTTATGGAGCACGTTGCTATGAGGTTCTTTATGCACAACGAGGTGCCCGTCAAAAAAAATTAAATAAATAAAAATAGAAAGTGAGTGAGAGAGAGAAAGAGAGAGAACAAGAAAAGGCCAAATAACATGAACGTTGCACGACATGCATCGCATGCCTGAGCACACCATTTCCATGCGAGAAATGTGGTTTTCCGCGACGACACCAGCCGCTGCGACCTGACGGGCTTGGCAAAGATAACATGCTGCGAGGATCATGTTGAAGATATACATTTATAAAAGTCAGATCCAACAGTAAGAAAATCATTAACATGTAAACATTGAGTGAGAGCTCATAGAAGAAAGAAGAGGAAGAGATAAGAAATGACGGGAAAAAAGTCAAATTTATGTACAACAGTCCGTTTGAGACTGGTGATTTGTTAGCCTTTTCCCAGTCTGAGGAAGAGGAAGCTGCTCTGCTGTTCTGAGACGTGGCGCAACATCGTCAGCTCGTTTCTTTAGTCATTCCGTCACACACGCTCATCCTTCTTTTCGTGGTGAGCCAGAAACGTGAAGTTCATTCTATAACATGGCTCTCAGAAAACAAGCTAGCCAGGCATCGAGAGACAGAGAGAGAAACGGAGAGACATCCTGACAGAGAATGCCTGTAATGGAAGTAAACCTGTCCTCATAACCCTGTCGAAGCATGGTGACCATCTACAGCCCCCATAGTGCAAAGAGAAAGGGACAGAAAAAGCTGAGGAAACTTTCACCTCACTGAGTGATTTGAGAGATAGATACTGAGATACTGCAAGGCTCGCTCCTGGGCCCGTTTCAGATCTGAGTTTGCAGCGGGTGTCCTGGCGGTGTGTACGGAGGGGGAGCGGGAGATGGCTTGATGCCTCTGGTCTTCATGTAGGATAGGAACTGGTCTGGGATCTCAGCAAGAACGTCTTTGGCCAGGCGGGCCATGCTGAGGATGTGATTCCCAGTGCGATCGATGTAGTCTCTGAATGGAACAAACTGCAAAAGCAAAAAAACACATTCGAATCGATATTTGATGTTCACTAGAGCCCGACCGATAAAGGATTTTGAAGGCCGATACGATACAAATATTTTTGGGTTTTAAAATCCGATATTCCGATATATCGGCCAATTTTTTTTTTATTATTAAATATTGTTGGATTGTTCACTCCTCGCAAGTCTAACTTATATTTTACAATGCAGGGACTGTAACTAGAGATATGCTAGTTATAAATACAGTAATCATTACTTTAATTAGGCAGAAAAAGTTCATTGTGGTTTCCAAGCTCATTAATGTTAACGTTAGCGGTCTTCCACTGATGATAGTGGCATTAGCTAGCTTTGTGGTTAGCTAGTCTATGATGAGCCATAATTTAGCAATAGATAACATCACACTGCAAATTGTAAAACATACATTTTCAATATAACAGGCCAAGGAGAGATGATTAAAGCAAGTTTCGTCCGTTTTTATTTTATTTTTTAAATATTCATTTATCGGCCATTATAACTGCCGATACCGATATTATGGAAAATGCCTAATATCGTCCGATAATATCGGCCGGCCGATATATCGGTCTGGCTCTAATGTTCACAGACTGTTATTTAGTGATGTGCATAAAGAAGTTTTGTTTTGTTTTTTTGTCTGAAAATGCTCCCGAACGAGATGGGTCACTGATTTTTATTTGTTTATTTATTTATTTATTGGTTGGGGAAAAATGGAAAGAGCTAAATGAGGTTTCTTCAAAGTGATTATTGCTAAAGACTTGGTGCAAATAAAATATATTACCATCTTTAATTCAACAATATAGTAGGCTATTTAAAACAAAACAAAAATTCACATAAGATATTAAAGGAGTAGTTCACTTTTAAAAAACTTTTGCTGATAATTTACTCACCCCCATGTCATCCAAGATGTCTTCTTTCTTCAGAAAAGAAATGAAGGTTTTTGATGAAAACATTTCCAGCATTTTTTTTTTCCATATAATGCATTTTACTGGTAACCAAACGGTTTAAGGTCCAAAAGACACTTTCAGTGCAAACTGCAAACTGTTCAAAGGGCTTTTAAGCGATTCTAGGCGACGAATAAGGGTTTTATCAAGTGAAACGATCACTCATTTAATAAATAAATAACAGTTTAAATTTTCTAAGCTCAAATGGTCGCCTTGCTCTGTTCTGTAATGCGTGTTCGTGACTCTCCTGTACGAATCTTTTTCTGAGTCATTTGGTTCATTCAACGAACAAAACGAACGAATTGACTCGTTCATTTTGATGAACGAGTTCGAACAGGAGAGTGAACGAATGAACAAATCTTTTTCCGAATCATTTTGTTCATTCAACGAGTGAAACGAATGAATTGATTCGGAAAAAGATTAGTTCATTTTGATAAACGAGTTCGAACAGGCGTCACAGAACAGAGCAAGGCGACCATTTGAGCTTATAAAACTTAAACTTAGTTATTTATTAGTGTTGTGTTATTCATCGTCTGGAATTGTTTAAAGCCCTTTGAACAGTTTTTTTGGACCTTGAACCGTTTGGTTCCCACTGAAGTCCATTATATGGAGAAAAATCCTGGAATGTTTTCATCAAAAACCTTAATTTCTTTTCGACTGAAGAAAGAAAGACATGGACATCTTGGATGACATGGGGGTGAGTAAATTATCAGCAAAAGTTTTTTAAAAGTGAACTACTCCTTTAACATAATTCAACATCCATGTCGAAAAGCGTACATGATACATCGCACGTCAGATATTGTAATTCAACACGTCTGTTGGCAGTAAACCAACATGCATGATATAATGGCGGAAACAGACCAAATTCGGGGAATGTTACCAAATACATGTCCACGTAGAGTGGATTTTATGGTATAAACACACTCTTTATGTTGACTTTCATCAGGTGAAAATAATATGAAGCAGGTCTCGCATTCATCTGCATTTCTGTGAGAATTTGCAAAGCTGAAAAGAGCGATTAACCTGAAATGAGGGCACAGCCATCAAATGCTCAGCATGCCAATCAACTCAAAACGCCTTTGAGACTGAGAGCCAAATTATCCTAAGAGATACGGCTGTTTCTGAGAGCACTACACAGCCGATTAGTTAAGAAAAATTGGGCTTTTAAGTATGTGTTGGGCGCCGGGAAGCCGGATCCACTGGAATGTGTGTGTATGTGAGGGTGCATCTAATTGGACAAGCCTCCCTAGCCACCTATGATAGTTGATCATGCACACTGCCTGTTAACATATTCCTAACAAGCATGGAGCGACCCAGGAACATAATGATGACTGCCTCGGCAAGATGAGCGGGAGGAGCATGGAAAAAACATTAAGAAATACGATTTCGAGAGAGACAGAAAGAGCTCCGTTCTTAATTATAAAAAGCCAGCGGAGTTCAGTCAGAAGAACACAGAATGGCTATGTACTGTATGATGGTAATGGCTATAATGAACATAATTTGCATTCAAATTCATCAACTTACATGGTCTATGTTTTTAGACCTGGATAAATTCACAACACATGTTATCCACCATTTAAAAGAAAAATCTGAGCATTAGCATTTTAACATTAAATATCCAAAGTGGTGTGGCCCCTGGACCAGGATTTGAAAGGCTCTTTCACACCAAAAACAATAAATATAAAGATATGGTGACACTTCATTTTAAGTTACACATTACTACATGTACTCAACAGTACATTATGCATACTTACAAGTAACTAAACCTAAACTGAATCCTACAGTAAGTACAGGTAGTTAATTAATATTATGCAATACTTATTTGAGTTAGTATTTTGTTAAAATAAGGTGTTACCGATAATTATGGTAGCATCCACACAATACATTTCTGTTACTATAAACAGTATAATAAATATAGTAATAACAGTAAAATTGTCAGTAATTATTAGTAACTAACCCTAACTCTACAGTAAGTCCATATTGTTAATAAATATTAATACCGATAATTGTTAGCATCCACGCAATAAAGTTCTTACTATAGTAATAGCGTACATTATGCATAATTACAAGTAACTAACTTTAATCCAAACCCTAAGAGTAACTCTACAATAAGTACATGTAGTTAATTAATAATACTTAAAATGTATCTACGTCACAAAATAAAGTGTGACCGATAATTATATTAGCATCCACACATTAAATTCTGTTTATTATAATAATCGGAGTAAATTATTATTCCGTTAAAAGCGCGAATCACCGATGGCATTCAATAAACTTGGCTTCCTACAGTATGTGGCAAAAAATGTTTGAAATCGGTGCTACCTGACTAGAAAATACAGAAAAAAAAGGCTGTTGTATTTCAAGAGTAAACGTTTAGTGGGAGTCAGTTAGTCAGTTAATTTGGAAGAAGAAGAATGGGGAGCACCTTCTGCCCAAATAAAAGTCCCAAAGCAAAATGCTGTTGAGTGCCAGTATAGATGGATGTTGCATTGTTCCAAGAGCAATACAATTTTCAGTTTTGAACATACTTTTCTCAATCGCTGTTTTATTAATAACCCTCTGTTGATCTGACGGTCCATGCGCGAGAATACAAAATTGCGGAAGTACAGTGTGTCATTTTTACAAAAGTGAGCGAGCGTTTGAGCTTATAAAACTTAAACTTTGTTATTTATTCATAAAACGAGTGATCGTTTCGCTTGATAAGACCCTTATTCATCGTCTGGAATCGTTTAAAGCCCAGTTTGTACTGAAAGTTTCTTTTGGACCTTGAACCGTCTGGTTCCCACTGAAGTCCATTATATGGAAAAAAAAATCCATTAAAACCTTAACTTCTTTTCGACTGAAGAAAATAAGACATGGACATCTTGGATGACATGGCGGTGAGTAAATTATCAGCAAAAGTTTTTTCAAAAGTGAACTACTCCTTTAAGTAATATAATTAATAAACATAAAATTGTAGTTTTTTGTAATGTCCCTTTATTAATGGTGATGGTTTAATGTTTGAAATACTTCTGATACCTGTACGATGTCTCTCTCAGCGTATCTGCCCCTCGATGAGATTCTGACTTCATCACCATCCAACTCGATCATGGCTGAGGACACACACAACAGATAAAAAACACGCATGAGGAGTTAGCTGTGTGTTTGAGTGCCCCGTGATTGTTGTTTTGAGTATTTTAGTCTTGTTTCATTATTACTAAACCCATCTGCATTACTGTCAGCGCAACGAGGGAAACGGCTGTCACATTACGTGCTCATTTACTCTGCAGTAGTACACAATCCTTTTATCCACTCAAGATCAAGACCTGAGCATCACTATAAAGCACAAAGCACATCTAGAGGTACAATGAGCTGAATACAAAAATGAGGATACAAAGAAAATAGGTAACACTTTAGTTTAGGGTCCAATTCTCACTATTAACTACTTGCTTAATATGATTGAATATCACTAGGATATTGGCTGTTTATCCGTACTTATTAATGCCATATTCTACATCCCTTAATCCTACACAATACCTAAACGTAACAACTACCTTATTAACTATTAAAGGCATACATCTCCTCTGGAAAGATGAATGTGTATTTAAAAGGGGTCATTTATGTAAAAGAAATGTGAAATTATTTTTGAATTTGGAGCTTTCTAGACTGAGAAAAGCCTGGATGGAAGACTACAATTCCCAGAATGCACTTGCTTCGCTGCCTTAGGAGGCCACGCCTACCGGTAACAGAGAGCAGTAGTTAAACAACAACTCTAGGCTACTAGTGAGTCTCCGTGATGAGTCTGCCCGAAAATGTGTTTCGAGATCGCCCAAAATGTCCGGGATTCGGCTTTTGCGTTCTACAGTCGCCATTCATTAAGTTTACTGTGGCGAGCGGGACGAGTGAGGGCCGCGGGAGAACGACGCGAGGCCGGTGGCGTGATTACCGATGAGTGACATATGTGAGATCCCCTACTACTGACTGTAGCCTCATTAGCCTCTGGCCAAAAAATCCTCCGATGACGCAATCGGAGGATTTTTTTCCAGACAAAAAAATACCTAAATCTCTCGTCTCAGGGGGATATGAGGGTGGGAAGCATGGAAATTCGAAAATACTACAGGTTTTCTACTAATACAAAGCTTAATGCTAAATCCTGAAGTATCCCTTTAAACAAGGTCAAAAGTCATAATTGGACCGTAATCTAAAGTGTGACCAGAAAATATAAGCAAAAATTAAATCTATAAGTGGAGTCTAAATTACACTTAATAACTAAATGAAAGCATCCTTTTCTTACCGTCAAACTCGGCTGGTCCAACTCCGACAATAATAATTGACATGGGAAGACATGCAGCCTGGAAAGAAGAAGAAGAAGAAAAGCAGATAAAACAAGAATTTACCATGACTAATGTGTCTTTATTAGAATTATTTTAATATTAAAATGTAAATCTATGTATTTATATTTAGAATAAACATATTTAATGCATGCATTTGTTCTTTATTTATGCAGAACATTTATTCTAAGAGCGGGATTTCGAAGTTGATCAAGAGCTAAAGACTTGTGTAGTAGACCGAATACCCACATTAACAATGGACTCTTTTGTCTGGGCCATATCTGATATCACTCCATCCGTGATGATGAGCAGGATGAAGTACTGGGATCCGTCGTTTACTGAGGCAGCGTATCTGCACGAAAGAGCACATTTTTTACATTCATTAAACATCTCATTACTGGGGGGATATGCAGCCAAAGCCTCTGGACTGTAATATTATTTCGCTGTATTACTTTGCAGTCTGGCATCCCAGCTTATGAGGTAAATAATGTGCTCAGAAGCTATAAAAACGAGATGACTTTGGCAGTCCGACTGTATACACGTTACATAAACTTACAAACACTTTGAATAAAAAGGTTCTCTCCTCTTGACACCCTTCAACTCTGTGATTTGAGCTTCAAGCTGTGGTGAAATATCTACTACAGACTTTCAGTGTGAGGAGAAAGGATGAAATGGTCTCGGCAAATGTTTACCAGCTCCCGCTTTTCTCAGATCGACTTCGGTTGGATTAAAGCTTTGAAAAACGTAATGTCCCATTGAGGATTTAGAATATGATGCACGCTTAAAACATTTCTTCACCTGTCACTGAAAATGTGTAAATCTCACACTGGCATTTCGTTAAACACACATGACTGGAAACTACGAGCTAAATTATGTTTTTTAATCAAATGTACGTTACTAATACAATCAAAGTTCCAGAAATAAACGACATCAGAAACGCAAAATTGAGGTTACAGTGAAATATATTAAAGGAGTAGTAAAAAGAAAATAAGGTTTTTGATGAAAACATTCCAGGATTTTTCTCCATATAATGGACTTCAATGGGAACCAAACGGTTCAAGGTCCAAAAGACAGTTTCAGTGCAAACTGTCCAAAGGGGCTTTAAACGATTCCAGACGATGAATACAGATTCAGATTAATACTGATCCAGATTCTGAACGAATTGACTTGGGAAAAGATTCGTTCATTTTGATGAACGAGTTCGAAGAGGAGAGTCACGAATGCGCATGTGCATCACAGAACAGAGCAAGGCGACCATTTGAGCTTATAAAACTTAACTTTGTTATTTTTTATTTTTTTTAAATGAGCGATCGTTTCGCTTGATAAGACCCTTATTCATCGTCTGGAATCTAATTGCTTTGAACAGTTTGCAGTTTGCGCTGAAACTGTCTTTTGGACCTTGAACCATTTGGTTCCCAGTAAAATGCATTATATGGAGAAAAATCCTGGAATGTTTTCATCAAAAACCTTAATTTTCGACTGAAGAAAGAAAGGCAAAGGGCTGAGTAAATTATCAGCAAAAGTGTTTTTAAAAGTGAACTACTCCTTTAATATAATATGTATTTTGCGTATACTGTCACAAAGATTCAAACTACTTTAACCAATCCTTAGAATTCACAACGTTTTAGAGTTTAAATTGTAAACCCTTGTGAAATGTGATCAATAGAATATTACGATATTAATATATTACGCATACTTCCAGCTCCTATGAATACTAAATGTTCACGCTGCACAAACAAACGGCAACAACCAACAGTTGTTGGGTCGGCAATTGTCAGTTTTGGAATGTGATGGAACGGAAACCTTGACATAATCGGAACAAAACGAGAAATATTAGTTAATCAATTATAAACGAACATTAATTTACAGTAAACAACTGTATCATTAACATTAATACTTGCTTGTTGTTCACTGTTACGATATGTATTACACAGTGTAAAGATTACAGTTATGAAAGTCCATTTGAAAGTAATGCGTTACAATAAAGTTACTCCCAACAAAATAACTAATTGCTTAGTTACTTAGTTACTTTTTATGGAAAGTAATGTGATATGTTACTTTTGCGTTACTTTTTTTTATCTTGGCAGGGCTTTCTTGTTTGATTTTTCAATGACAACAACAAAAAAGCTCAATTTTTGGCAAATGTAATGGCCCTTTCATTCTTAATTCAGCAGTAATAATAAAACTGAAACACAAATGTGATATTTAACTGAAGTCACTTATTATTATGGTTGAATGGATCATAGAGGATCAGCAGAAAAGACATTGGTTAATAAAGTGAGATTAAATACATAAAGTGTGTTTGTATTATTTACCCAGATAGCAAACTGACATTGAAACAACGTTGATCTGGCATTGTTTTGCTCATCGAATTAACGTTGAAAATCGACGCAATTGGTTTGCTTTCCTAACGTTGAAACAATGTCGATTTCAAGTTGATTTTCCGTTAGTTTTGAAAGAATGACGCGTCTGACGTTGGTTCAACGTTAATTCGATGAGCAAAACAATGCCAGATCAACGCTGTTTCGATGTCATGTTTCCACGTTGATTCAATGTCAGTTTGCTATCTGGGTAATAATTGCAGGTTTGAGTAATATTCTGAGTTCACATATCATAGTATTTTCCAGTGTTGTAGTCGAGACCACCTCACTCGAGTCCGAGTCAAGACCGAGTCCATAGAGAGTCGAGTCCGAGACCAGAGACGGTCGAGTCCGAGTCGAGACCGAGACCAGTGAGGGTTGATTACCTAATTTACTTTTATTTACTTAGAGAAATCCTTTTTTTTTTTTACTGAATTTACTTAGAGTTTAAAAATATGATCAGTTTAGGGTAAAAAGGCCACATAGTAGGTGGTGTTAAAAGTAATTTTATTACAATTTGTCATGCGCAGTTGCGCACTAGAAAATCACCAATCACTGGGCGTGTCAATCAATTTAAAGAAATATTTTATTAACATACATTAATAATCCTGAAAAATATTTTGAATTGAACTCGAGTGGACTCGGGAATAATTCCGAGTCCTAAAAAAAAAAATGTTCGAGTACGAGTCAATTCCGAGTGCAAATGGACACGAGTCCATGACAAGACCAAGACCATTAAAATATGGTCTCGAGACCGAGTCCGAGACGAGTCCGAGTCTCGAGTACTACAACACTGATATTTTCCCCATTTTGAGGAGTGAAGTGCGAAGAGTAAATGCCTGTTCAGTTAGTCTAGAACTACAATAAGCATCATGTTCACACAGCGTACACAACATCTCTGCACTTACTCACGATTCTCTCAACATGGAGACAAGAGAGATGTCAGTCAATAAATGGGAAAACAAAGTAACTTGCGTTACTCATTTAAAAAAAGTAATCCGATTACGTAACTTGTGTTACTTGAAAATGCGTAAACACTGGTTATGTTTCCCAATGACACAACATCAAAATGTTGAATTGTTGGCATTTGTTGCCACAGTTTGAACCAGCTGAATTGAAGATTTTGCAACTATTTCTCCAGTAATAATGAGCACAGTGGAATATCCAGGCAAGCAGCGCAACAGCTTTAAAAGAACAATTTAAAAGCAGTTTATTATTAAACTGCGTGGGCGCGACCTACGGCAAATACACGCGGAGAGATTAGAGCGGTGCAGTGTGACAGATCTGTCTTCAGCACAGATGAGTGGACCCCGCAGTGACTATGTGTGTTTGGAACACAGGGGTGATAATGACTTGATGGACTGTCCTTTACTTCACATCCTCAGAAAATCCATGGAATGGACATATAATTAGAAACACAGTGTGAGGACGTGTCAGTCCACTGACTGTTTGCTCCCTTTAAATCATTAATTAGTGTGGATTTAACATGGGATTTGTGAGCATAGATGTCTGAAGTGCAATAACAAAACATAATGAGTTTTAGAAACATGTTCAAGTGTAAAAACAACCGAAAAATGTTGCAATAAATGGGAACCAATTTATTTCTATCATAACACCTGTATTAAAGTGTCTCGGGTATGGCCGTCTCACAGAGATATACCAGGGAACATGCACACAGCTACCCAGATGCAGAAATGAATTCGTTTCAGAACTGATTCAGAAATAATGATTTTGGCTTTCTCTTTTAAACAGTTTTAACACTAGTAAAAATGAATATGCTTTATCCAATCAAAAAAAAATTTGTGGCAACAAATTACAAGCAATACTATTAATTAAATGTAACAAATTAGAATTGAGAGATAATTAATAAAATTCATTTCTTAAAAGTTAACAATTTAAAATGAGTAAAACTTACAACAACAACCAAAAAAACATAAATTGAAGTCACCATTGTGGTGATCGAGTTGTTTTAAAATGACGGTTTTCTCCTTCAGCGATTCTGCTTGTTAACATCAGGTGTCTTTAATGTTGGCAATTTTTGAAGTCTGTCTCTTAGTGAGATATTTTTGTTATTTTTTTGTTGTAAACTTTACTCATTTTAAATGGTTAACTTTTAAGGAATTATTTGATTAATTATTACTCAATTCTAATTTGTTAAATTTAATTAATAATATTGCTTGTAATCGGTTGCCACAATTCTAATGATTAGATAAAGCATATTCATTTTTACAGTGTACTTAATTTTTTCACCAGTACCATGACTGTTTTCAGTAAACAAATGAAATTAACAGAGTAAATTAAATACAGTTAGATTTAAAAACTCTGCGTTTTATTCATAAGGTTCTTGATTTTTTTTTTTCACATTGTAAATTTAGATGCTAAAAAAACTTGTTTGTGCTGATTCAGCTGGAACCACACTTTTTATGAGACCCGAACCATTCACTGTGATCTCTGTTATTTTGCAGCTAAGTATATCTTAAAGGAATGAAAATTCTATCATACCTTACTTACTCACTACTTATTATTTCCATAACTAGTACTGCTCCATATCTATATTGATATTCACTGAATATCTTCACATTAATTCTAGAGACATGTCCGATTTGTAAAAGAAATGCTCTTTTGGGTCAGATTTTTTTAAAAAGCGACTGATTCAAGGGGAAATTGTGCCTCAACAATTTGCATTTCTATACCAAACAAAATAAAAGAGCAAGATAATGACATTATCTTGACGACAAAGTGATTCTCTGAGGAAAGAGCTAGCGGTGAATGCCTTGCTCTCTCAATTTATTGTACGCTGTAGCAAGCCTTGTTATTATGTGGATGCTGAAATGAGCTTAGACACTTGCGCTGCAATTGATGCATAATGAATCCAGCCTTTTATTGCTGCTGATAGAGATGTAGAGGCTCGGGTTCTCGCAGCCCCACAAGCTGTTAAAAACATCCTATACAGTGTGAAATACTAAGTAAAGTGTCACTGGACATATACATAGAGCTTGGATTTTAAGAACATGATAAGATGAACTGGTCAAATTCTGCCCATAACAACTCATTTTTAATAGGACATGGAGATTTCACCATAAATATATTCATATTTCTAAAATTCATTCTACTTCTCAGCATTTGGATACACCTCTGGTTATTTACAATGACATATATTTTCATATATATATATAAATTGTAAAATTTTCAGTTAAGAAAAAAAAAAACCTAAATATTACTGTCATTCAGCTTTTTAAACCCCATTCAGAAATCATGGGCATAATTGTGATTATTTTATATTGAGTTTAATACATAATTTTGTTCAGCTCAATACAAAGTAAAAATTTACCACATAATATTTTCATAATTTATCTTGGTTTTATAAAAATGCCATTTTAAATAACAGATTAAATCATTTTGAAAACAGCATGTTGTTATAATATTATAATGTTGTTGTTTTTTCACTTACGCAACGTGAATGTAAGGAGCGCACAACAAAGGAGAAATCCGAATCAAAAGGCCACAGATTGTGCCAGCGCAAACCCTCTTTTGGCATTAAAAAAGCTACTGCCAGGATTTCCTCACGAAGAACCGCTAACATCCAATAGGAAAATTCAACTGCAGTAGCCACCGTTCAACCTGAAGAGGGCAGCACTAAGACGTTGTAGAAATAAAACACTTTATACACAAATGTCAAAAAAGTTACTCGAATCAATGACGGGTATTAATAAAGATCCATTCGTACAGATCATTAACTAAAAAAAGTTGGTTTAGGGTTTAGTCACTCATTAAGTGATTCGCGCAAAGTGATTTACTAAGGTTTGTGCTCGTCAATGTACTGGTGTTTGCGCCATTATTAACTGTAGACGCAGACGGAGCCGAGGACACACCGCGCCAGGGTGACGCTGCTGGTCCAGGGGGCTGACGGCTCATGGGGGCCGAGGCGGAGGCGGGGGCAGTGGAGCCAGTGTGACGGAGAAAAGGTGGAGCCCGGTGGAGCCAAAGGGATGGAGGGGAGCCGTGTACCCGGCAGACCAGAATTCAACGGTAGAGCCAGGGTGATGTCTGACCAAGGCGGAGACGGTGGGACGGTGGAGCTGGTGGGATTACGGACCATGGTGGAGTTGCGGGAGCATTGAGCAAAGTCGAAACCGATGGGTCGGAGGCGGAGACGGACAATCATCACACCAAGAAGAGAATAGGGACCCAGGGGGAATCCGACACACTTCAGGGGCCACACTGTGGATGAGCTGAGGGACTACCAGGAACCAGAGGAGGAAGAGCTGATGAACAAATTCGACTTGGTGGAGGAGGTGGGAGAGGGAGGCTGGGGGAGGGGGGGGGAATCACAAGAGATTCAGGGCTGGGACACGGTCCAGTAATTAAGTCCAGTATATTCCCAGTGGCCATGTTCAGCACATTCACAGCGGTGGCAGTGTGGGCAGGGCTTCCATCCGAGTCCTCAAGCTCCATTAACTCGGCTCAGTTTGGCTTGTTGTTGACAGAGGGGGGGAGAAAAAAAAGGCAAACACACCGCAAAAATAACTTCTGTTTTGGTCCGATCTTTTGTCACATAACGTGAGCACGACAAAGGAGAAATCTGATTTAAGGACTGGTGAACTTGGGAATGCTAACTTTAGCCTGCTAGCATTGAAAGCCTACGATCCCACCCTCCCTGCAAATCACCGTCCAAAGCCACGAATCCTCCAAAACAGAGACAACGTTATTGGATTACTTCATGTGTCATTCAGCCATGGACCAAATGAAATGAATGAAAGAGCATTAACCGCTTAACATAGTGATGGCGATCAAGATATGTGGAGACTTTCAACCAGACACAGGGAGTTTATATGCTAAAACAAATGAGGGAGGTAAATTACATAATTGATTAACAACACGTAAACTGAATGAGAACGGAACAGACAGGAACCCAAAAAGCATAATCCTCACAAAATGATTCTTAATACATAATATATAGAAATATATCTCCCTTTATATTTTAGGAAAGGTCTCGAATTAGAGGATTATCATATTTGGGTGTTCATGGCATCAAAAATTGTAAAAACCCAAAATACAATTCGACAAAATGATTTATATTCCTATTGGGTACTTCAAATTCCAGATCAAATATTCAGGCCATACCCATTTAATGTTTTCCTCATGATACAGACAAGGGATGATCTTATTTGGGACAGCATAAGATCAAATCTTGTTGTATTACCTCTTGCAACTCCACGGCTCATTTAAAGGTCATATATCACACCTCCGAGGCCATTTCGGATCGGATTATCTCTGTGTAAATGTGACACACTTTGTTTGGATGATGCACCTGGGGGTTAATGCACATTTTGCGAATATTTGGCTGTCGTCAATCTCTGAACATGTGCAAAATCTGCATTGTTGCAGGTTGTTGTTTGCTTGCTTCATTTCAGCAATAGAAGAATCATTCAGCTGCGCTTTATCCCAGTATTTCTAGTCAACCATCTCAGGTTTAATGTTTACCACATACAAAATTAGGACAGTTTTCCAAGGCATTTTTTTTTATCACAGTCAAAGTTGCTTTATTAAGTCGCAAAATGGCTCCAATCAACTTCCGCTGATATGAAAAGATAAATGGCGGAGTAATACGAGAGACATGAAAGTAGAACCAGTATGTCATGAACAATGGTGAAATATTTACAGTAATGGTCAATATACAAAAATAATCCACCATTAAGTTCTGTGATCAGACTCAACTATTGTAGAGAGCAAAGTACTAAGAAAAGATAATCAACACTAATAATCAGTTTAATAATCTAAACTATTGGATTATGGAAAAAGGCCTGCAATGCTGTGCAACTGAGTGTTCAAGCTTGATTTTGTGTATTGTTTTGTTAACAAAATGTATCAGATTGCATTTTTTTTTCAAGTATGTGATGCATTCTTACCACCGCTATAGTTGAAATTAGTGTATGTTGTCGTCTTCAAGAGCTGAGCAAGTTAGTTAAAAGTTAAAGCAGTTTAAAAACGGTCACCATCTAATTTTTTGAAGGTAACCTGCCTACTTAAAGTTAGCACAAATCTGATATTTTGATCAACCATCCAACTTTTCGTATCTATTGTGAGTAAAATGGCTTCTCGCATGAGAACATACTGTATTGTAAGGGATCACTTGATCCATTGAGAATCGATTGGATCATGGAAAGTCTTTTGAGTTTTGAGAAGGTTCACGTACTGAAAACAACGTTTCCAAAACGATCCCCCTTCACACGGATACACAAAAACGACTAAAAATGAGTCTATAGGCACCCAAAACTCAGTTGTCGTGTAAACAAACTTTAGATTTTAGTTGAAAATGGTGTCCTCTGAAGGCCTTTCTTATTCGATGATTGCTGAAAGAAGATCGAAACTCATCTGGTCATTGGGTAACATTGCAATACGTCATAGATAAGATGTCGCAGCGAGGAGTAGAGGACTCTTCCACCATAGTAATGCAACAATCCATAGATAAAAAGACATGTTCTGAATGTACCTGGCTACATGGTTGATGACTGGCGAGAAGTTGGTGGGGCCGAAGAGCTGAACGGACTTTAGACTCTGGTAATACGCTTCCATGACTCCTTCAATGCCATTGCAATATGGATTCTGAGGGTTTCCATTCTTTAGGAACATAGAAAATAAAATATTGCAAAATCAAATAAGGGTCCAACATCTGCTGTAGATATGATAACTCACAATGGAGACATAAATAGATGTCTACATTCTTTGAAGAGTGTTATGAAGGTGTTATGTGGTTGTTATGAGATCTTCTGAGTGGTTTTTAGTGCATTGCAATTTGATTGGTGGGACACTCGCTAAGTGGTTACTTTTTTTAAAACTACTCTCTATAATATTCTGGTCTCTGGTTCATCTTTCAATGTAAGTCTACATATTTTTTCCCTCTAGTTTCACCATTCATCAATTGTTCTATAACTTTGCTGACTGCACAAAAGCACTCAGTTCACTCTCTATAAATCAAAAATAACTAATGGTCTCATGAAACTTATACCTTGTGTCATTCCGTCAGAGTTTTGTTTCTAAGATGGAGTAAAAAGAAAGTGCAAGAGATTGAAGTAGAGGCTTGTATTTACAAAGAGGGATCCGTCAAGTGTATATGTCTAAAACCTTGTTCTGAAATTGAAAGCTTTGTGAAAACTTCTGTCTGCAGGCAACACATAGTGAGAGAACATTCAGAAACATTGATATCAAAACTTGTGTCTGCATTTCAAACCTGCATGTCTACAGTGCGTAAATCTATCGCTTCAGGATAGGTGTTTTAAGAGTTGCTTACCAAGGCGAACTCATGGGATATTCTCCCATCAGGAGGCAGTTTGGCTCCGAACCCCAGTGCAGGGAACATCTTGTCGCTGTCATAGTCCTGTATGATCTCCCCCACAGCTTTAAGTGCCATGGCGTAGGTGTTGAGCTGATATGGACTCATGTAATGAAGGGAAGTGGGCTGGGCTGGGTTGCCTGGGAACCGTGTGAAAGAAAATGTGTACTTTTAGTGCAACTGTAGTCATATAAAGCCTATTAATGCTATAAAACAATTCATATTCTAATTTTAAATATAATTCTGGTTTATTTACTTTTTAATATATGATAACCACGATTAACCACAGTGATAATACATGTATATTCATAGCTACATTATTGAAGAGTATAATAAATTATAACCCAATGTAACCCATTTTATAACCCATTTTAAAAATGTTTACAGTTATTTAACTAATTATAAGGTATATTTAAAAAATAATAAAACCATGAAAAGTTTTGACTGTTAATATATATATATATATATATATTGAGAGGGTGATATTATGAATCGAGAGGCAAAAAAAAGCTATTGATGTTTAAAAATAGATTTGCCAAGGATGGCCCAGTAATTCAGATGGTTTTGTGGTATTCCCTTTGAATCTCTGTATAATCACACAGATCGGAGCTCTTATCGCATTAAACCTCAATCATTATGATAGAGGATGGCTATTACTGGCTCTTTTTCATGCCTCATCTGCATACATTTCAATAATTTCAAACAGCCTTCTGATGGAGACGACACTCACCGTTAGAAGCTGTGAAATCAATCGCCACTGTGAAATTAATCTGAGTCCTGCAACACAAAAGAGACAGAGAAAGGTAATGGTTATTTTAGTCATGCTTCAATCTTGTGAACATTAAGTAAATTCATTAAGAAGTGGACATGGTTATAAATGCAGCCTCTTTAGGAGCTTATACGGAAATAGAGCTGTCATTTAGAGGGTAAAAAAATGGTGTTTAAATATGTTAATGTGAATCAAAAAATAACGTAAAAGGTCATGCTCTGATGTACAAGACATTTGTGCATTGTGCACCATATTTCCAGATTTTTGTCATCTGCAACTTATATTGCAATTTATGTCAAGCATGAAAAACATGTACAAATCACACACATGTGGAAAGGTACATACATTAGTGCAAGTTTATGTGTATAGCACATTTTGGGGTGAAAAAAAATTGCATTGTGTTGTTAGCTTAGCAACATGCTAACGTTTGACTAAGATGACATTGAGTCTCACATGAGGAGTTACATTTTGTTTGCGTGATTGATCCTTTAGAAAGTATTTGCCAATGCAGAGGGTTCCTAATCACTGCCCTTTTGAGGTTCCTTATCAGTTAGGATGCTCCTATATAAGCAGTAGACTGCAAGAGTTCCATAGACTGTGGAACAGAGTAAAATTTATGAGGTCTACTCTGAGTCTGAGATGTATGGTCTTTCAAGGATATTAAAATAATAAATAAGTGGCTGTTATCAACCCGCTCCAAGCAGGATTCGAACCAGCGTCTCTTCAGTGGGAGGCGGGCGAGCCTCTTGAGGCCAAGGGAGTGAGGTTTATCAGGGTTCTCAAGTCTCACCCGTCTTTGCTCCAGGCGGAGCTCCAGGGGTGGCGGGGAAATCTGAGTCTGGCCCAGGACGGGCCACCCTCCCTGGGCTGGCCAGGGAGGTCCGAAGGGCATGAAGGTTTGGACCCGCCGCACCTTTTTGGACTCTGTCGTTTTTCGAGATCAGGGCTTCAGAGTCAAGCCCAGGGCCAATTTCACCACGGGCATCGGGCTTTATTCGTGCCCAGGAGACCCGCACCCTGCCTGGGATGCACTTTTTCAGAGAAATCGGGCCGTCTTTTCCTGGAGGTTTTCCTGTTTTTCAGAGCTCCACCACAGCAAAGGTTGAATCCGCTTTCCCAGCCAGAGTGCACCCTCTCTGGCTTGGGTGAGTGCCTTGAGTGCCCTGGAGGGCCGAACCAACAGCACGTTTATGGACTTTGTCTATCGTTAGGCATCATAGACACGCAAACACACGGAAGTTGACGGAACATTCTCGCCCACTGTATGTTCGTTACTAGGGAACCAACAACATTCCCTAGCGCGAACATTTTTAGGCTAGAACATTTGATATATAGCCCATCGTATACTTTATTATTGATGCAGTCAAAAACTCTCCAACTAATTTGCAACCAGGCCAGAAGTTTGGCTCAGTTTGGCTAGCTTACATTACCTAAAACAATAAGGGAAATGTTAGTGGGTATGGGATGGAATGAAGATGTTTTTCTTCATTTTATTCTAAATTATATGTTATATTGTATTAATAGTCTTTCTTGTTACATTAAGGCTACATGTATTAAAGCAGAGTGCTCTGGGTAATATTTTATATCCTGCCAAAACATGCATTAATCATTGCCATTGCATTTGTATTTTCAAAGATGTGAGGGAAAAAGAAAAAAAGGTATTTGTTTACACACACATACACCTTAATATTCTAATATGTCCATTTGTTCACAATGTCCCACCACACAATAAATCATTATACCATTTCGACTAGACACAATCAAAATGCAAAAAGAGTTGTTTTTCCAAACTGTTTGGAGCAATTTGTTATATTTCAGCCCGTTCTCATCCTTTAGCGTGACATAAAACGCTATATGACAAAACGGCGCTATACTACGCACATGGCACCCTTTATCGTTAATATAACACACGAACCCAAGACGTCATAATTCCTTTAGCGTGAATATGACACACAGACCCTACCCCACACCTAAACTTAGACCTCACAGCGCGTGTTATATTAACGATAACGGGCGCCATGTGTGTAGTATAGCACCGTTTTGTCATATAGCGTTCTATATGACGCTAAAAGAATGAGAATGCATTGTATATTTTTGTATATTTATGTATATATAATATAACATTAAAGAGTAGGCTCTATTTGATGTGATGAATTGCTCTGTCATTTATGAGATTTACCAATTTGTGCTGGTTAATTATGAACAATGGGTAAAATTGGAGGGTGGGGATGGATGGGGGCGGGGCTTCATTGGAGCTCCTCCCCTAACCATATGTGATCTCACTCCAAGCTTTTGATAAAACTTGAGAACCCTGGGTTTATACAAACAGCTCTTACTGGCTTATGTCCGTTAAACTCACCCCATAAACCTCACTCCAATCCGGGTCACGGCACCAAATGTAACCAGTCCTACTCAACCAGCTGCAAGCGGGATTCGAACCGGCATGAGAGGTGGGGGCGCTAACGAGGACACTAAAGACCGCAGCCACTAGCCAGGGGTGTACGGTTTACACGCACATCTATTGCTGATCTTCGTCCGTTGCACAAGTATGTTTAGTCTTATTTGTTTTAACGTTGCATCGGGAGAATAGATATGCAGGATACATTGAGCCGGGATGGGTGTATGTTTTCTGGGACATTGAGACAAGCAAACTAATGGCGTAAGTACAGATCTGTCTCCTCTCATTAGACTACTCTCATTACTGAAGTTACAGCTGCAGACAGACACACACACACACACACACACACACACCAAACTAGAATTACATTCTTAAAATATATGTGCAAGAGAGTGAGGATCGTACCCAGCATGCCTAAAACTAACCACAAACTATATTATTTTCATAAATATCATAACAAAAATGGTCAAGTAAAGCCTGGATCTAGTTTGCCTGTAGACAAACAACAGATTTTTTTTATTTTAAATACAAAATATCTCACTTTGCATGTAATGAGTTTAAATGATATATTAGTTTCACCTTTTAAGTTGAATTATTGAAATAAATGAACTTTTGCACTATATTCTAATTTTTCGAGTTCCGAGTTTCGTATATCTAAGCTAAAAATGTGCCTAAAATTCCCGTTAAATGCTGTCTGTTTTATCTCAAGAGACATTTGAGTGGGTGTTTCTTCAGCTAAGGGCATTTGGTTCTGTAACAAATACAACCAACAGATTTTTTTTTTTGTTATATGAAAGCCATATTATATCTGTCCCAGAAGCATGCTACTACTAACATAGAAAATCTGTTGGTTGTATTTGTTACAGAACCAAATGCCCTTAGCTGAAGAAACACCCACTCAAATGTCTCTTGAGATAAAACAGACAGCATTTAAAGGGAATTTTAGGCACATTTTTAGCTTAGATATACGAAACTCGGAACTCGAAAAATTAGAATATAGTGCAAAAGTTCATTTATTTCAATAATTTTATAAAGAGTTTCACCTGTATTTGAACTATTACTTTCAAGGGTTGGAATCAATCATGTTTCAAATCAGTCACTCGTGAGGGTACATAACTGGTTTGGATGCTGCCTTAAAAGGTAGCAGCCTAAAAAAAGGAATTGCCCAGTGTTAACCTAGTGATTTCACAAAGGAGATGAGCATGAGGCAGCTGAGTAAAGATGTCCCACCATTACTCACATTCAGTTGAGACTGAGCCAGTCATACCATCTGTTAGGATAATGCTTACAGCTCTTAGAAAACATGTTTTTGACACAAAACACTCCCAGCGTGTCATACAGACATATTAATTGTTGAATAAAATGTTCATATTCATAAATGATTCCTGTTTCTCATGGGATTTTGATTGGTTGGCTACAATAATTCACACATTAATCCTGCCAATCATTTTCAATGAAGAGTGTTCATGTGACTAATAAAGCCTCAAAAGGCCCCAAACTAGTGCAGATGCAAATGGATATTACTAGCCACGACTCAACTTGTGAAAGACGAGAGGAAATAATCTATATTAGAGACGAAAGCGTAACTACCATCTGGTTTTCTCCAAATCTGACACAGAACCCTCTGACTGTATGTATGGAATCAAAGTGATGTAGTTGGGCAAGCCATGCAATGGCTTATAGTTCATATTTTTATGTTTCAGATTATATATCTCCATACTAATAACAGTCTGTCTAATTCTGAGTGTTGGTTTTCTAAATATATTTTGGTTATATGTCTACTCAGAATTTTTTATTTTGGGTATGTCATTTATGGCACTTACTTGCCAAAATATGGGTTGCTGGTGAAGGGGTTAACTTCATACGACAGTAGAGCTCATTATTCAGTAAATCAAAACTCAGGGGGGGTGCAGAAGAAATGCTGGTGATGTGACACAATTGAGCTCGAGAGTTCCATTGCAGGCAATAATCTCGATTGATTCTGGCAGAAACTGACAGCTAGTGTGGACACTTGAACAGAGGTGATCTTGACAGTATTTCCAGAGGTTTTACACCAACCGAACAGCTACATTCTTGAGGGGACATCTGGCTTTAGTCAAGTTATTAAATCACTAGACTACAGTTGGGGTCCAGGAAATGGACTGATTTTGCTTATGTTATGATGAATGGCTTGAACAAGACAATTGCGGCAAATGGTCTTCTAGGGTGGTTTCTACTGTTGAACACACCAGTGGCTGTCAGAGAGGATGCAATGTTCTCTGAGAACACAGAGAAAGATGTAGACAACAAAGAGTGATAAAATGTACACCTGTATCTGATCAGCAATACAATGGGAAGAGTGAATTGATGAAGAAAACAAAATAAAAAAGGACCTAAAACCGAGCCCTGTGGGACACCAACTCATTCCTGCTTTTGGAGATCTAGCTTCCTGCTGAGTTTAGAACTCTAATCAAACACATGAACCAGATAATCAAGGTTTTAAGGTTCAATTAAAAAAGTACAAACAAGGTTCAGAAGGAAATTTGTAGATCTCACAGAGCAGGATTGAATACCCCTGGTTAGGTACTTGATAAACTTGTTTGTTTGATATGTATTCATTACTATTTGCGA